TGAATGAAAATGATATAAAATACAAAATATATGAAACTGTGCAGAATCACAAACCTGATCGATATAAACAGTAACATCGGTTAGAAAGTTAAGGATGTTTCGGTCAAAATAAAGATATGAAGGAATATCTTGGTTAAAAATTGAATGTAATATATGAAATATATGAATGACTTATAGAAATAAAATTATTTTTGAGTTTTGAGTTTTTAAAATAGAAGATGATTAAATGAGTGTGTGACTAATGCGAGTGGTTCAAAACTCATTAAGGTGAACAATGTCACTCGATCAGACATCAAAACAGTGATAAATGCAATGTGCAAATGATGGAATGAATGCACCAATGAGTATTTAGGTATTTTTTCAATGTTTTCAAGGGGATTTAAAGTACAAGAGATTAAAACATGAATTAAAACATACCTAAGCTATTCTATACTAAGTTAATATATGAAAGTAAATTTAACAAGGTCATATATCTATTCAGACCTAAAACTAAGGATCTAAAGCAACTACAGAGACATTAAACCAATAAATCAAAGCATTAAAATCTATCTAACGTGGTTGCAAGTGACTTGGAATTAGTTTAGAAGTGCTACAACCTTCTCAAAGTATAAACAGTGGATGAATCCTAATTAACTCACCCCTCAAAAGACATTTGAGTGACCTACTTCTGTCCAGTTGAAAGAAACCTTTTCCTCACTAATTAGAACTCACAAACAGCCAAGTTTCAAAGCATATAATCAGCAGAAATCATAAAGAAGCCATTGTAAAGTGCATGAAACTTAAAGAAAACAAGAACGCAAATCTTGGAGCATATGCGAAGTCATGTCTATGAATCTATATTCGGTAAAAACTATTCTAAATCATGAAAGCAATAAAGAAAGCAATAAAGGATGGTGGAAGAAGAAGATACAGATCCAAAACAAGAAGAACAATGGTAAAAATGAAGAACATACTTCAAAGCATGTGTCACAAGCAAAGGACAACCCACGGTGCGAGAGAAAACTTTGAGAGAAAATAAGCCGAATTGATTTAGATCTGAATTATGAAACTTCAACTACTGTTTATGATATTAAGTTAATCATATTTATGCTCTAACTAATGTACAATTATATGATACAAAGCTTAGAACCAGAGGTGATCTAATAACTTAAGAGGGAGCTCGAATAGGCACACTAAGTTGGCTTCAATGCACTTCCGCGAACTTTAAACACTTGCAGTATTTTCAATTCTTGTCCAAATTAAACGATTTCGGTCTCTTTTGAAAGCTTTTTGAGTTAACTTTAAAACTCACCATTTTTACTATTTTAAGAGGTCTAGTGAATTTAAAAGACTCAAATTACTGAAGCATGTCTAATGGGCAGCCCTAGTACGCTTAACCTCTCTTTGATAATTTATATAAAATCCAATTTAGCTCCGAATTGAATAATTCTTGATCATCTGAAAAACTGAATGTGTCTAATTTACAATGTTTACAGAATCATGATTTTAGGAGCTCTATCGAAAAGATGATAAATAAAACAATGAATCAATATTAATACCCGTATACAATAAAATATGACTAATTTACTATTTTTATATAAAGTTTTGTATTAAGAATTCCAAAAGCCTAATAATACAAATTATGATTAATTAAACTTTGTTAACACGTTATAAACAAATAACATAACATTAATAATGTTATTACATTATTAGTTACTTTAAGTGTGTTGAAATCGGGGCACATCAATATATAAATGAGATATAAACACTTTACAAAAAGTAAAGTCTGAACCATACATGAGATATAAATACTCTACTTTTTGTACGTGTCTATGTGTTAGACTTTACTTTTGTCCGTGTCCATATCTTAAACCTGTGTCACACTTTACTTTTACTTTTGTAGAATGTATATGTCTTATAACTATGTGTGTTAGACTTTATTTTTGTACGTGTTCATGTGTTAGAATTATGTGTCAAACCTTACTTTTGTAAAATGTTTATGTTTTAGACCTATGTGTCAATACGTATCAAATTTTACTTTTGTAAAATATTTATGGATCAAACTTTACTTTTTGTACGTGTCTATGGATAAAATTTTACTTTTGTACATGCCTATATGTTAGACTTACTTTTGTGCATTATATTATAACTAATGTCTCCAAATCTTGAGATGATTCCAAAACTTAATGTTAGGATAGTTTTATTTTTGTATTTTATATGTAAAACTTCCAAGATTCGATAATGGTTCAGAATCATCCTATAAAAGTTCTTACAATGATAATAGTCTATCCATTAATCATTACCTATAAAAGTATGACATGCAAACACGTAAAAAAATAAAATCAGATACATAATCACCTATAAAAATCAAATTTTAATTACTTTTTATTTTTTTCATTTATATTTAAACAAAATTAAATAAAATATATAACTAAATGAATAATTTATTATACGATTAAAAAAAGTAATTATGGAAAAAAAAATCCTTTTTATATAGCCATCAGCAGAAACATATATGAAAATTCTTTCCGTATTCTTTATTTTATTTTATGTTTAATGTATATATTAATTTTAAAATATAAGTATTTAATCTTTGAATAATAAATTATTAGCAGAAACATAGATGAAAATTCTTTCCCTATTCTTTATTTTATGTATATATTAATTTTAAAATCTAAATATTTAATCTTAAAATAATAAATTATTGAAAAAAATGTGAAATCGAGTTTTAAGATGAAAAAGAAATTAGAAAAAAAGAAAAAAATTATATTATTTTAATTATTTATATTTATTATATTATATTCAAGAGAAAAGATTGAGAAAAAGAATAATTGAAAAACAGAAAACGGTGTGACAGAAGAAGATCTTTAAGAAAAGAGAGACAAGAATATAAATTTTTATTATTTATTTAAGAAAAAAATTAAATAAACAAGTGAGGAAATATAATATATAAAACTAAGATAATTTAATAGGGAAATTCAAAATTGAAAAATAATTTACGAATTTTCAATCTATTGAGAATAGTAATGTCTAGCATGGCAAAACGGGCTAAGCTCTGCGAGCCATTAGCCCGCCATAATATGACGGGCAGGTTGGTGTTTTCAGTCCACTGGCCGTTTTGGCCCGCTCACCAAGCTCGCTAATCCGTCGGGTTAGCCGCGACCGCCTAATTAATAAAAAAATAATTTTTTATTATAATAAAATTAATTATAAAGATAATATATAAAGTTAAAAATTTTAAAAAGAGAATTAAAAATGTTTCATTCTCATATAAAATATTCTCCTTCCTGAAATATAATATTCTCTCTTGCTCTCCTTGTTTATCTTAAGTACTCGATTATTTTTATCCTTATTACTTGAATTAAAAGTGTAAGAATTACTCAACCAAGAATAATATGAAGTTTTATCAAATAAAAAAGATATAGGTATTTGAATTTTTCAATATAAAAAATATAAATTTTATAAGTTTAACGTTATTTTTATATATATATATATATATTTTATTATTTATTATTATGTAAATTTTATTATTATTCTAAATTATAATTTCTTAAAATAATATATTAGATTTATATTATTAAATTGAAATAATATATATATATATATATATATATATATATATATATATATATATTGAATTATTAACCAACAAATAATAATCTTATTATTAAATTTATTAAAAAAATTTATTTAAAATTTTTTTTTTTTACGCAAACCCGCCAAAGGACAGGCGGTTCAAGGTCTACAATATATCGGACAGCCCGGAAAGGCGGGAGCCATACCTTAGAGCAGTATATACATCCCAAAATAGTTTCATATTTGTTGAAACAATGGCAAGAGAAATACAGAAAGTCCCCTTTATTTCTCACAACCACCTTCAAAAAATAATCCTCTTTTCACCATAATACATGGATCAACTCGTCTTATCATCATCGTTTCATTGTTCACATCAAAATCAATATATGAATTTATCAAATAAAAAAATGATTTAGGGTTTGAATAAGGCCAAGGTTGAAACCAATATGGAAGTTCCAATAATGGCGAAGGAGAATAAAGTATCCAGCAGCTGTTGCATCAGATCCCGTGCCGGCGCCGCCGTTGAAGACAAATTTTGAGCGGTGGCAACGGCGAAGAAAAAATGCTGCAAAGAGAGCAACGAAGAAGAAATTGACGGAGAATGCTTGGGATGCCATGGTTTGAAAAAGTACAGAGAGAAAGAGAATGAAGAAACAAGTGTTTGAAGGTGATGTGAGGTTTCGTTTTATTTTGGGATGAGAGAGTGAAGAAGGGTGGTCCTATTTACACCCCACTAAACGTCTTGAGGTTACTGTAAGATCTCCTTTCCCTCCAATTTCTGATTTTGTATTTTGTGTTTGAAATTTTTTAACTATAATTCAATGGTTAAACAAGCTCATTGCAAATATAAGAAAAATTTAAATTTAGTTCATGAAAACCAACCCCAATCTGGTGGATTAATCTATTTTTAATGTTTTATTTTAAAAAAAATCTGATAAAATATTTCTTGAGTTGGGTTAGCTCATTGAGGTAAGTGGGTACTCTGAGTGCACTAGTTGAGTATTAAGTTCATAAAATTTCAATCCAATGAATCTAATTTAGTTATATAATAAAAAACTTATTTGTTTAACAAATATACTATAGAAAATAATTCTATGTTTTAAAATATAAATATTATTTTTAAATGTATTAGAAATATTGTCGTTACTTAAAATGTTAAGAAGCGTTGAAAATATTTATGGAGATATTTTTTCTTGAAAACATGAAGCAACAAATAAAATTAGAAATAACCTAGCCCCGTGCAAGTTAAAATAATTTATATAGAATTTATTAACATAAGAGAAAATGTAAAAAATGGATCCAGTTCAATTGGTTGACTAGGATTCGTGAGTTGCTGTAATTTTTTTGACATTGTGTTTAATTTTTACTTATAAAAAAGATAAAAGCAAATGTTAAGAATAGAGACAGAGGTCAAAGCTCCTCCTCTCTGCATCTAAAGATGTCTGTCAGTGAAAAGATCTTCCATCAAAATCAAGTTGTAGCTGTTGAATGTTGTCTTTAGGCAACCTCTTCAAGATAGCAAGACCTGGTGAACAAAATGAATATAGAATCAGCAAAATTAGTGCATAAGTAGTAGTTTAAATTTAGCCAATAAGTGTATAAATCAACTATAAGAACTATTACTTGCAGAAACTTTTTCACTTGATATTACTTCGGTTACTGTGATTAAAGCATCAATTTTGTATTGGTTTGAACAAGTACTTTTACTTGTGTGTGATTGTTTTTTATTTTTTTCGTTAAATAGTTTGAACTTGTTTGGACAAACTTTTTACCAAGTACATAGAAGAGAAGCAAATAAAAAACAAAAATGAATCAAACTTCTTCTATGTTAAAATTATCTTATGCAGCTAAGAAGAAAGTTAGATAAGAGAAGTTTAGATCATTTTCGATCGAAGTAGAAGTACTTAGTGAAAAGTTTCTCAATATTGAAATTATTATCATGCATGTTTCCATGTGAGTCTATCAGGATGCTATTTTCAATCTCATATACCTTCAATAACTTTGTAGAGAGTAGACCACCATCTATCTGTAGGAATATTGTATTTATACAGTGTCTCTTCTATGGCTTCATCATGCTTCCCCACTAGAACTTCTTGAAGTGTTGTAACTGCATCCTTTGTTTTATCAAGGATATCTTTATTGTCCTCACCACTTGGTTTTTGAAGTTGATGGTGTAATGAAGAAAGGGTAGCATCTATGGCAAACTGGGTGGCAGCGGTCCAGTGAGTAGAAGCTAATTGTCTCATATGGTTTTCCAACTCCTTGTTATATTCATCAGAGTTGTTCTCTGTTCTTCCAAATACTAGGCTGCACAGATACTGAGCATTTGCTTCTCCAGTACTTTGAACCATCTTGTAGAAAGCTGTTCCTTCATTTTGTAGGAGTTCCTCTGGTGAACTGTATTCAAGGACCTGGAAAGAATAGAGGAGTTCAATCTTAATATTGAATCATATTGTCATTGAGAATGTGAAAAAAGAATCCCCAAATCTGCTAGGAGCAAATATGATATGTGCACAGTAAATTCCATGGATTCGAGGTCAGGATTCCTCTAGAAAGAACAAGAACTAAATAGTAAATGAATTACTACATTAGTGACAAAATACAATAACAAAATCTTGGTGGAAATATAAAAAAATGAAAAATAGAATGCAAAATACAATAACAGAATATCTAAGTGGCTATTTAGTCTCTGATATGCAATTTGATCTGTCTGTTATAATATGGAGTTGTAATAGAGTGAAGTATAGGACTATAGGAACCAAATTGAAGATAGGTATTATGTGTAGTGACTAAAAGTATCTTATTTGGTCCAACGTCATTCAATCATGTTCAATTTGGTTCTTATATTTCATCATAACTCTATGCCAATCTCATTGTTATATAGTTAATCCAATTCGTATATACATTATTCTACTAGTTCTTATAGAATCACAATACTCTGCATGTAAAAATTCAATATTTGTTACTCATGGTGTACTTGAACATACCCGACCAGAATCAAGCAGCAGAATCCGATTGCAGTCAATGATTGTGTTTAGTCTGTGTGCAATGATGAGCATTGTGCATGACTGAAATTCATGTCTGATAGTTTTCTGTATAAGGGCATCAGTTCTAACATCTACAGCAGCTGTAGCTTCATCCAGGACAAGAACCTTCGATCTTCGAAGCAATGCTCTACCTAGACTAAGCAGTTGCCTCTGTCCAACACTGAAATTATCTCCTCCCTCTGAAACCTTCATTCAATGCAAAAGATTACATTGTCATATTTCATCTTTTCAATTAATAATTCAAAATGCGTCTATAGGAAAACCAATCGTATAAAGGTATTAATATGATTATACCATAATCTTTTTACCTACCTGAGCATCTAGACCAAATGGATTTCTTCTTATTACGTCCTTTAGATGTGCCCTTTCTAAAGCCTCCCATAGATCAACATCATTGTGTTCATTAAATGGATCAAGATTGAAACGAACAGTTCCTTAGGAAAAGGAAGAAAAGTTTTTAGAAGGGAGAATTTTATGAAGCTAACAAACCATGTCTATTGACTAAATGAAAATTTAAAATAATACAACATTAATAATAATGTCTTAATCCCTATATTCGCATATGGTTATCAATATCTGAGATAGAACAGGAATTCTGTTATTGGTACATACCAGAAAAAAGAACTGGAGATTGTGGTATGATAGTAAGAACCTTTCGTAGATCTGCTAGTCCAAATGTAGAAATATCATAACCATCAATAATGATTCTTCCTTTTGTTAGTTCCACAATACGGAATAATGCATTAAGCATGCTAGATTTTCCTGCACCAGTTCTTCCAACTACCCCTATCTTTTCAGTTGGAGGTACTGAGAAGGACAAACCATGCAGCACTGGAGGAAGTTCAGGCCGGTATCTCAGAACAACATCCTCAAACTCAATTGATCCTGAGGTTGGCCATCCAGGTGGTGGACGGTTAGTCTCAATTACACCTGGAGCCTCAGTTTCCAAATTTATATACGTGTCGACACGCTCAACAGAGTTTAAACTGTTTTCAGCTCTACTTGCTTGCCTGAGGACACCACTCAAGAGATTTGTTATGTTCAAAGTATAACTGAGAAGTAAACCCATTGTAGATGCAAACAATGCCTGGTTTGAAGCTCTTGCATTCTGCAAGACCGCAGATGTTGCTATGAACCAAATCATGAGGCCTCCTAATGTTTCCAGCCTTATGGTGAGCCAACGATTTGAACTTATATTCACAAGGGTGAATCTGATGTTGTTATCCATAAATTTTCCATTAATATGTGCCATTCTGTCATATGCTTTATAAGTACGGATGCTTGGCAAACCATTCAGCGATTCACCAAAATGTGCATAGACAGGAGATCTTGTAATGGAATCCATGCGCTTCACCTCTCGAGCAGTGCTCTGTCAAGCAAGATATTAGTAAAAAAGAAATATCAATAACTCAAACTAAGACCACATATTGTCAACTAAAAATAATAAACTCTTGATTTCCAGAAATATGTTTTCTATTTGCACACCATTTTTTATTTATTTTTCATGCATTATGGTTTGTTAGTAGCTTATACTTTACTTTGCACCAAAGTGTCATTCCACTCCATGTTGATAAATTGTTTTTCATTTAGAAATTAACTTCTTTAAAGAATTTTAATACAGAATAGCAATATTGCAAAAACAATGAGAAGATGAATCAGGCTTTTGTTATGACTAGGACTCTAGCTGGCATAATGCTACTGTGATTCAGTTATGAGGTCTGGAGACTATATATTATACATCATGCATAAAGTTTTCACATGATGTAAAGGGACTTCAATCCCCAAATATGTGAAAGATTCCCAATATCTACTGCAACATAATATTAAAACTTCTAACCAAATGCATTTAGTTAATCCTGATCAGCCAATTGATGACAATGCAACTAGCCTGGATTTTGACCAAAAGAAAATCCTAAATCTCTGTAAATTTCCCTGAAAAAACATATAATGCCCATAGTGTTTCTACTTATCCATTATTTAGTTATTAGTTTTTATTCATCTATATCTCTACGCGAGTAAAAAGGAAACATCTCTATTTCAAATTATCTAAATTGAAAAAGTAGATCAAAACAACTTGGCATGTAAGTCATTCACAGTTCTAAAACTAAGGTCAAGATATGGAGCATACCTGATAATATATATAAGCTGCATAAAAGAAGATCAGAAGTGGCATTATGGCCCACAGGGAAATGGTGCTCACTGTGCCTATAAGAACAAATGTGGAAAGTAGTTGCCAGACTTGCCCCAAAAACATGTTTACCAAGTTAAAAACATTGGTATCTATATCTCCTGTATCTTTTGCAAACCTATTAATTATGCGGCCAACCGGATTAGTTTGGAAGAATATCATAGGAGCCCGGAGGATTTTATCCAGCATTGCATTGTGCAATCTTTTGGCAGCACGAAGACTTGAAACGATCAACCAATAAGAGTTTGCAAGTGCAACAGATACCTGAAAGCAGCAAAAAAAAAATTCGTTTCATTTTCCTTAAAACTGAAAAGTGTGCAGATAGCTACCTTATGGTAAGTCAGATAAGCTTGTTGAATGATGAATATTTTCTTGAATAATGCCTATTCCTTAAGGATAAGGTAAAAAATGCTAGGTACCAAGCAGAAAAAGAAATAAAGACTCATTGCATAATGACCTGTCCAAATGAGAAAAGTGCATAGATCAAAAGAAAATATGCCGGATTATAATCTGCAGTGGAATCTTGAGATGTCCACACGCTTAACCATGTGCTACTTGAAATTCGAAGAACTTCGGTTAATGTGTAGCATCCAAAGAGTATGGAAACTACCCACAGTCCTCCCAGTGCTGATTTGTACCTGTAAATTTGGATTTATAATTACAAGTCATTATCAAATAACAGCATCTAAATTTCATTCAAGCAGAAAAGAAGTTTCAAAAAGGCTATAAAATGAAATGAAAAAGGAAAAAACAACATTTTGTCATTTAATGGAGGAAATAACATGTGTTTCCAGTCCTGGTCATTTGACAATCAAGATCACCTCATTCATACTTAATAACAAATACTCAAAGGAAAATAGATTTATCTTTTTAATCTTACCGCATTATAACTTTCCAACTAACCACGCCTGTCTCCCGCTCCTCTTTCTTAATAAGAACTGATTTTCGTAATTTTCCTTTCTTCTCATAACTTGCATCACTTGCTAATTCAACACTTGCTTCATTATTCAAGGGTAAATTTGTATCATTGTCAATACTTTCGCTATCTCCATTATTATCTGCTTGTTGTTCCATTTTCCCTGCATTTTCCATTAGTTTCTGAAATAGAGGCCCACTTTTTGTTAACTCCTCAAAGGTTCCCTGCTCCTTAATCATTCCTTCACTAACCAGAATGATTTTATCCACCTGAGGGAGAAAATGTAGCTGATTTGTGACAAGAACCCTGGTTTTTCCTCGCAGCCCTTCCTTTATACAGTTCCTGAAAACCTACAAGCAATTGCAAATGAGACCATATGAGCTATAATCATAGCTATTTGAAGTGACTTCTTAAATTCAAACATTTATATATATATATATATATATATATATATATATATATATATATATAAATGTTTCTTAATAATAAAATCAAGTTAGATTTGAATCAATGTCAGTGATAATAACTGTTAAGATGGAAGTAATATTTGAATTTGAACCAATGTATCTTAGCTTCTATAGAAGGTTGTTATACCATAATCAGGACTTGTGTTCTAAAATTTGATAAGAAATAAGAATGATACCTCTTGAGCAATGTGAGCATCAAGAGCACTCAAAGGATCATCAAATATATATACATCCGAATTTGAATATACAGCCCTAGCTATGGAAACTCTTTGCTTTTGTCCACCACTAATATTGACTCCTCTTTCTCCAATCTCTGTGAAATCAAGTCCCTGAAAGGATATAAATGTGATGATTATAAAAGGAAAATTCTCATTAGTTTTAGATAAGCATTAGAGAAGATGACATTTTATAAAATATCTTACAGGTAGTAAGTTGAGATCATGCTGTAAAGCAGTGATATCAATAACCTTCCGATATCGTTCATGCTCAAATTTTGATCCGAATAGTATGTTCTCACGAACCTGAGAAAAGAATGAATTCAGAGTTATAAATGATAAGATACATTTTCTTTTATGAAAATTTAGTTTAAAAGAACAAATGAATAGTAAGCAAGCTTCAACTCACAGTGGCATTATAAATCCATGAAATCTGAGGCACAAAAGCAACAGTGCCTCTGATTGTAGCATTTCCATCGGCTAAAGGTGGTAACTCTCCGATCATTGCTGAAATAAGTGACGTTTTGCCTTCTCCAGTACCACCAATGATTGCAACTAAGCTGCCAACTGGTATTTCCACATTGATATTTGATAATGTTGGTTTCTCTTCCTGTGAATTGAATACAATTTTCATGCATAAAGTCAAGTGTGCTTTACTAATACCAAAATTACAAAATATATTTGACAAAAAAGGAAAACTGAAGCTTCACATTCATCAAAAGAAACATCATGGTCATCTAAAACCTAGAAGGAATATTATTATCCTTATTCCAGTTGATTTATATTTGTCTTATTTAGAGAGGGTGGAAGGAAGAGGGAAGCCTTATCAAATCTTTATTGTAGCATGATCTGACATCACGCTACCCTCTTGCAAAACTCAAATGAGAATGGTGTGGCACTCCTTATGTACAAAAAAGTTAAGACAGTTGTAACAAAATCGTGGCTGTGCACACAAGTATAGTTAAAAAGTTGACCTTAGGATCCCAAGAAAAGTATCCATTCTCAATTGAAATGGCTGGAAGACCAGGTTCAATAGGTGGATTTTGTTTTAAATTTCGTTCCTCAGCTAAGAACAGTTCCTCCAAACGCTGCAACGAGACATTTGCATTTGCTACCTGTATGAAAAGAAAATCAGTAAGGAATGACGTGACACAAAACGAACTAAAGCAAATGTTAACTGAATGATACAAAGGAAAATAATAACCTGACTTAGTAAGTTTGGAAGCATATTTAAAGGAAATCGCAAAACTGCAAACAGAGATAATGAGGTAAATGCCCTTGCAGGTGTCAATTCTCCACCAAGGAAAGTGAACATTCCAAATGAGGTCACCGTCACAAGAACGGGGATGCTGTTTAGTATAAAAGAATTAAGCTGCAACAGAAGACAAGACAAGTAGTTAGGAGGAAAGCTATAAATTTTCACAGTCAAGTAGAACTTCTATGTTAGAGAAAATGTTTACAAGCATTGTAAGATATTGTTCAGTTGGCACTTGCATGTATATAAATATGTAATTGTATATATTGTGTGAAAGATGAAGCTGTCTCCAAAAAATAAAAAACTGATACTAAATTCCAATAAAAGAATTTGTGGGTCCTATGAGCATGTGCCATTAAGTATAATACTTCTGCTGAAATAAGAACTAGTCACACTTTTAAACAATCTTGAGTTTAGAGAGAGTTCATAAGATATTACAAGCCTGGAATTTCATGAATGGGGACAGAGTATCCCTGGAATTAGCCCCGGATGTAGGCATTAATAGCATGTATATCAAGCTTAAGAACACTGTCAATATGCTTTCGCATTCATCCTTAGTAAAGCTAATGTGAATATTCTTACCCAAAGGAGGTCTAGCAACATAACGGTGGAGTTATTATCTTAGAAAGCCATTTTCTGATATCATACCAGGTGACCTTTTCCTTGAAAACAAATTTATACTGATAGGTCATTTATATTAAATTTGAATTTACCTATTGACCTTGAAAGCCATGAATCTTGTGCTACTTTTACGTAAAGTATTAGATAATCCAATTATTGTAAATGAATAGGACCATGCTCTCAACACAGAATATGGGAAGGAAAAAAAAATCTAAATTGTGTCAAGGCTCATACAGCATATAGCAGCTGGGCTTTGCGGAACCATGATAGCTCGTCATCTCGTATGCTTAGAATTCTAGACTGAAAGCTTGTTTCCCATGCATAACATCTGAATTTTATCAGCATACCACAAACTGTTAAAACACAAACTAAGCTTGAATGTTGTCAGTGGAGATTTTTTAAAATGTTCATACTTTACAGTATCCATGGCAGCTAGAATTTCATTCATGAGACCAACCCTTTTGTCCGTTTGTTGCAGTCCTTCCTTTGTCAGTTTTCGCATCTTGCTAATCACAAATGTCTGCTCTCAAAAACAATAAAATTATTTAATTATTCGTCGGATCAAAACTCTCAAACATTTTTACTCATATATTAAAATAAATTGAAAGCATCTTAGAAGGTGGACTTAAGCTTAACCTCATCCTAGAAAACCAACTTTTTATAGAAACATAGGCTAACTAAAAGAATACAGATGAAATACCTCAAATCTTATTGATATTAAAACTGTATAATAGCAGTTTATATAAAAGAGAGAAAACAAAACAAATGTAACACTATTTAATTGTACTAACTAACTCATTCTAATTTTGAGTTAATTCCTAACTTTCCCCCTTAAGTCAAAATTCTAACAACACCAATTGAATCTCTCATATTCTTGAATCTCTCAGTTTTAAGAGCCTTAATAAACACATCTCCTAACTGTAGTTCAGATTTTCAATATTCAACTTCAAGCTTTCCATTGTTGACTTGTTCACGCAAGAAGTGAAATCTAATCTCAATTTACTTGTTTCTTCCATGAGAAGCTAGATGTTTGACCAAATCTATTATAGATTTGTTGTCCACAAGAATTTTTGGTTGCTGAATCAATTATTCTTTTAACTCCTTTAACAGCATTCCGAGCCAAGCAGTCTGGCATGCAGCTTGTGATGCTGATATTCAGCCTCACAAGATGATAATGCTACCATGAGTATTTTTGTTGAATTCCAAGATACTAGTGCGTCTCCACATTAAAACACATATCCAGCAGTGTTTTTTCTGTCCTCCTTATCCCCACACTAGTCAGCATCTGAGAAGCCAATTAGCTCTAGCCCTCCTTCTAATTTCTTCTATGGGAAAAAGATGCCATAATCACAGTACCATGTAAGTATCTTAATATCCTTTTGGTAGCATTCATGTGAGACAGTTTTGGTTCTTGCATGAATCTACTAATTAGACCAACTCCATAGTTCAAATCAGGTCTAGTGTTTCACAAATATCTCAAACTTCCCACAATCTTTCGGTATTCAATGTTGTCAACTTGTTCTTCACCTGTTTCTTTTCCCAACTTCAGCCCAACCTCCACTGGTGTGGCAGCAGAATTACAATTTTGCATTGCAAATTTGGACATCAAGTCTCATGCATACTTGGTTTGATGCATGATGATGCCAAATTTTGTGTATTGAAACTCAATACCAAGGAAATAATTGAGGTCCCCGAGATCACTCATGACAAACTCATTTAGCATTTGAGTTTTGAATTTAGTAATAAAGTCTGTTTTACTTCCGGTAATCAACAAATCATCTATGTAAAGATATATAATGAGCTTATCTACCTTGTTATCATGATTCCAGCACTGCACATACACACCTTTTTTAGATACACACCTCTCAAAGCCAATTTTGTGCAGAAAAGTGTCAATCCTGCAGTTCCAAGCTCTTAGAGCTTGTTTAAGTCCATACAAATCCTTGTTTAGCTTGTACACCTTGTGTTCTTACTCCTTAACTTCAAAGCCTTGTGGCACATAAACTTCCTCTTCAAGAGGACCATTCAAGAAAGCAGATTTCACATGTAGTTGGTGCATGGACCAACTTTCATAGGTTGCAATAGAAACAATGGTGCGTACAGTTTTAATTCTGGCCATTGGAGCATATATCTCACCATAATCTACTCCAACTATTTGCAAAAACCCCTTTGCCACAAGGCTTGCCCTGTGCTGCATTATCTCACCTTTAGGATTCACCTTCACCTTATAAATCCATTTTAGTGCTATAGGCCTCTTATTTAGAGGTAGATCAACAAGTTTCCAAGTTTGATTCCTTTCTATAGCATCAATTTTTTCCTTCATGAACGTTAACTAGTTTTCATTTTGTATAGCATCACTAAATTCAACAGGTTCTGCTTCGGCTACTAGTGCAAAGTGCACAAAGTTTCCTTCAGCCGTGACTGCTAAATCATTCATAATCCTGGAAACGTGTAAGAGGCTGACTAATTCGGTGAGATCTCCTTACTTGTTGATTAGTATATCCCTACTGGTGTAAGGCATTTTCAACTCCTGCATTTTCATCTTCCAGAGAAATTGTGGATACAACTCCTTCCTCAGTTCCTTGATCACCAGTTTTCCAATTCCAGCATGAATTTTCATCAATAACAACATCCTGCTAATTGATACCCTTCCTATTTCAGGATCACAAAACTTATATCTAACTGTTGAATGATAGCCAATCAGTACTAGAGGTATTCCTTTGTCATCCAATTTCCCTCTTAGCTGGTCTGGCACATGCTGGAAACATAAAGAGCCGAAAATCCTCATGTTTGTAATGTCTGGCTTGTGCTCGGTCCAAGCCTCTTCAAAGGTTATACCATTTAGCCTTTTGGTAGGTGATCTATTCAACACATAAGTGGTTGTTGACACAACTTCTCCCCACAAAAAATTAGGCACATTCTTGCTTTTTAGCATACACCTTACCATATTTAGGAGAGTTCTATTTCTCCTTTTTGCAGTACCATTATGTTGTGGCGTGTATGGAGGAGTTGTTTCATGAATTATACATGTTTCTTCATAGAATTTATTGAACTCAGTAGAATTGAATTCCCCACCTCCATAAGTTCTTAACACCTTTAACTCCTATCCACACTATTTTTCAGCCAGTGTTTTAAACTGAATGAAGACAGTTAGTGTCTCACTTTTCCTCTTCAAACAATAGTCCACATTTTTCTTGTTAAATCATCAATGAAAGTGATGAAATATTTGCTTCCCCCAGGTGTTTCAATCTACAAAGGCCCGCAGATGTTTGAGTGCACTACCTCTAATTTCTTGGTCGCCTTCTGAGGTAAAAATTTGCTGAACTTGTTCCTGGTTTGTTTGCACTGAACACACTCTTTACATATCTCTTTTGGAATCAACACTTACGGCATTCCAACAACCATCTTCCTCTGGTTTAACTCACTCAAATCTCTAAAATTTAGATGTCCAAACCTGAGATGCCATAACCATTCACTCCTATTTGCAGCAGGAGCAAAGCAGTGATGTTTAAGTGCATGCATTTTGATTTGGAACGTCCTGTTTGAGGACGGATTGACATGTATAATCAGTTTCTTGGTCTGATTATATATGTTTAATGAGTTTTCTTCCAAAGTCATCCTGAAACCTTTCTGCAACAACTGGCCTAAGCTCAATAAATTTGTTCTCAGGCCCGGTACATATAAAACATCTTCCACTATTACCTCCTTGCCCTCAAAATTATTCAATACCACTTGCCCATTTCCTTCAGCAGTCAAGAAACTATCATTTGCAAACCTAATTCTTTCTTGATTTACTTCATTTAGCTAAACAAACCACTCCTTCCTCCCAGTCATGTGTTGAACAACCTGAATCCAAGTACCAAGTGTTATCCTCCATACCAACACTAGTTTGAGCCATTAACATCACAACTTCTAAGTTAGATGTTTCTTCTTGTGCTAGATGAACTTGTGACTATCCTTTTGGTCTATTTTTGGCACCTTCTCCATCCTAGAAATCGCGAGCAAAATGGCCAAATTTTTTACAATTATAGCACTTCACTTTTTTCTTGTCAAATTTCTTCTCCTTGCTTTCACCAAAATTTTGTCTCTGCCCTCTACTCTTGACAGCATCTTCGACATCATTTTTCTTGTCCTTCTTTGATTTGTTGCCTTTCTTGAAGTCTTTTCTCGATTTTCCATCGATTCTTGCTTGGAGAGCTTGTCCTTTAACATGTCTTCTTTCATTTATGTAGAACTCATGTGCTTCAAGTGAGTGTTATAACTCTTCAACCCCCATGGTGTCTAGATCTCTAGCCTCTTCAATTGCAACCACCACATGATCAAACTGTAGAGGTAAAGTTCTCAAAATTTTATCCACAACCTGTTGATCTGTTGTGTTGTTCTTGCAAGCCCTCATAGCATTCACATGTTCTTTAATTTTATCAAAATACTCTGATATGGTTCACTCTCATCCATAGTTAGAAATTCAAATTGTCTACGCAAAGTTTGAAGTTTTACCTTTTTGCTCTTGTCACCATCTCCATAGGTATTTATCAGAATTTCCCATGCCTCCATAGTTGTAGCAACCTTCGAGATTTTGTTGAAAATCTTGGGGCTTAGACATTGATAAATGAGAAACCTTGCTATCCAACTTTTGTTGCGCCTTGTAGTTTTTCTTTTCCTCATCAGTAGCTTTCACTTCAAGAACCTCAATTCCGATAGTGACTATTTCAACTACATCCTAGAACCTGAAAATGGCTAGCATCTTGATCCTCCAATCATCAAATAGCTTTCCAATAAATATTGGCAACGCTCCCTGTAGCATTCCACCGAAACCAATCATGCCTTCTTGACCAATCTTGGATGTCTTGCTATCTTCTTGTCCTTAACAAGAGATTGTCCCTTCAATCTTGAAAAAATAACACCCTTGTTATTTCACACACAACTTCTGGTCTCACTGGTGCAAGCTTCTCTTCTCAGCAGCACTGATACTCTAGTCTCAGAGTTTTGCTTCTTGGATCATTTAAAGCTCTAGATACCATATAGAAACATAGGCTAACTCAAAGAATACAGATGAAATACCTCAAATCTTATTGATATTGAAATTGTATAATAGCAATTTATATAGAAGAGAGAAAACAAAACAAATCTAAGAGTATTTAACTGTACTAACTAACTCATTCTAATTTTGACTTAAATCCTAACACTTTTAAGATGAGGGTTGCCCTCGGTTGTACATTTTGTTATTATTTCCAACAATCTTTACACATGTCCACAAGCTATAAAAGAAGAGACAAAACGTGCCTGCAGAGGGATGATAAGGACTAGCAGTAATGATCCAATAAGTGAAGCAACACCTAGTTGCTGGTATAGGAGAACCATAGCTACAGTGATACGGAATGGTGCTGACCATAATCCATGAAGTTGTTGACATATTTGCTACACATTGCAAAGAATCATTAGAATAAGGTTTATACCGTGGCATCATTTTACACCCGAAATAATAATAATAATAATAAATTTTCAGCATATAAGTAGACTAGAATATTCGGTCTAAGCAGCAAAAGAACCTGTAATGCATTGGCATCTGTTGTTATCATATTCATAAGCTTCCCAGTTGTGAACTTCTTTCGACCATCATTAGTTAGCCTCAAGGATTTTCTATATATAGCAGCCACCTATAATTAAACAAGAAAACATCATATAAACTTAGTTGACAAATAAAATAATCAATAAATTTGGATAAACCAGTTTATTGAGGGCTATCTAGATTGGATGAATAGGGTAGCTGGACTCTTAAGAGAAAGAGACATTATACCAAAGTTGATCTAAGCCGAAAACCAACACGCATAACATTCTGGAAATACTGTGCTTCGCAAAGAACACCAGCTGTCTGAAAAGAGTTGAACCACTGGTTAGCTATTCTTTTCTTCTTCTCAATAAATGCTATAAAAAGTATAAAATAGTTACGTCATTGAAAACCAATTCTATTCATTGTGAGAAAAGAAAAACACATACTCCTCTATCATTCTTCATGCATTATAGATATAACTCACTTCTCTAGGAAAGTTCTAATCCTAGTTTTAGCCATGGGAAAAATGACGGCTATAGTAAAATCAAGAGTGGAAATTTCAATTTTGGATATATCATTTATATATGAAAATACAAACTAGGATGAGATGGTAAGGGTAATTGCCTTTTGGTCTGAATTTATAACAACACCATGATTTGATTATTATGAGGCATGATCAAGAACACATACTAAACAAAGCTGTTATATTTAGGTCAAGATCTTTGAAACGTATGTACACATGCTGCTCATATACTGTAAAACCCTTAAAAAATGTTTTACATTGGAACAAAACTCTTTCAAGTTGCAAGAGCCAGAAGCCATACCACTCCAACAAATATAGAGAAGGCGTATATGTAACCAATCCAGGATGGATCTCCTCTTTGCATTGACTGTCAAAATAAAGAGTAAAAAGTGATAATGTAGCTAGAACAAGCAATAAACATACTTGTAGAAATGAAATCAGAAGCAAAATAACGAAACTTCCATTTAAAAAGGTATGATTGTGATTAGAACTAATCTTGACCTTTTAATCATGTTTTAGGGCATAAGAGTTTTCTCTGTAGTAAAAGATGATACGAACTCAAAACAAATAAACAAGTACGCATGTGAATTGACAATTGTAATTCTTGTGTGTCCATTTTTTTTATTTATCATGTCTATTCGGTATATGCACGTGTTATTGGGTTTAACACTACATGATTTTGCTTCTCTGTGCTCTTTATTTTCCTTTCACATCATTCCAATTTGGCTTTAAGGAAAAATAAACTTACGGCTAAGAGGTGATTCAGCAAAATAGGCCCCACAAACTGAGAAAGATCATTACCAATCTGCAAAGATCATTAAAAATTTCAAGTAGGGTGTCAGTACTATAAAGCTCAATAATGTTATTATTATATGCCTTTTCATGTACAATTTTTGGTAAACTCTACGCAGAATATAATCGTATATACAAATAAAAGCATTTTTTACAAGATGCTCTATTGAGATTACTGGTGCAAAACAGGATTTAGACATGTACATTGACTATCCTCATGCGCAAAGGGCTTTCTAGGCCTTAACCATACTGCTTAAGCTTTTAGTAATGTTGGTTCTTGACAAGTAGCATTTGTAATTCTTTTATTAGGTAAGTAATTAACTTAAGCTTATCTAATTTTTACTTGTTATCAAGTAAATTTATCTTATTTATGTTTAAAATGTAGTGACAGATAAACCTCTCAATCTGCAATCAGAAGTAACTTGCAGTAAGAAAATGTTTATGTATTCATTTGAACTTCGAAGCAATTAAGTTAAAGATCAAAATCGAGGGTCAAAATGTTCACCTTAAAGATGCCTCCCATCCAAAACCTAACCAAAAATTGAAACCAAATCAAATTAAAATGAGAAAATAACATTAATAAGCTCATCATGTAGAATAAAAAAAGAAAAAAACTATCAAAAGGTGTCAATATGCACCTTTTCCCCAGGCTACTGTTCAAAGCTCTTAAAAGCCATGGGTGAGAGCTTTGAAATTCTAACATCCAACAGTTTTGGAACCTGAAGTAACCAAAAAGTAGTTTAAATTATGTATACAGGGTGTAAGAATTTCATACAGAAGAATACAGGAAGCATGGAGAAAGAAATGCTAACTTCTCAGTTAATGTCTCTGTTTCATCCCATTTGTCTAGCTTCCAAACATCCTTTTCAGTTACAGGTTTTCTGTAGCCTTGCTTCATGAGTGGAGTTATCCATCCAAAACATATTCCTACATAGAATACATAAAACATATTAGTTAATAGACTCACGGGGATAGAGACTACTTGGTTGCATAAAAAGGAAAACAACCTAAAAAAAAAATAATGGTAGTCAATAAAACTAAGAAATTATTAATGCTACTCACTAGAGAATACATTGGCTTGCCTCTCGGGGAAAACTCGATCTTCTTCACAAAGAGGTTCATATTCACCATGGTCAGGTGGATCAGTTTGCATTGTTGTGGGATCAGAATAAGGAACCAAATTAGGAATATAAACAAAAAGTAAGGCACCAAACAACACCTACATCAGAAAAATAGCCTCAATAAGTTCATTGTGATGTATCTGATTTACTGACTGACATAAGATCTTTGATGTCCAGCTGTTTCATGTTAGGATAAAACGACAAAAATGACAAAAATATATTACTGCACGATCATAAGATAAGTACAAACTGCCTCAAGTATTCTCAAGGATGTTAGTGTCAGCTTTAATAAACCAACACACTTCTTAATATTGCAGTCTAGAAATGAAAATAATGTACATGTATTATGAAGATTTTTTTATCTTCACTAATGGAGGGAATCAAGAATTGACCTGGCAGATGACACTGCTAATGTACAGAAACAGAGCAGATCTGCAAAAAATGAAATCAAAGGTTAAGTATCTTGCTGCATATACTATCGTAGTAATTTTTTTCTTTTTTCTACTGTTTTATTTCATTGAGAAATCTAAAACTCCTTCATTTTCTCTGACCTTAGTTTCTTATTCTAATCATGACACACTGAAAGTAATAAACTTTTGTACAAGCAACTGACTTTTTTTTATTTTAAAAAAATATAAATTAAATATAGTTACTAATTCAAAAATTCAATTGACTTCCATGCATACTAATCTCAACCTGGTAACCCTGCATTCATTAGATTCCAGATTCTTCATTATTGTCAGTATATTGAACAGATCAACAAACATTTCAATTGGTATGTCCATATTACTGTTTGGAATATGGAAAAAGACAGTATGAAATAGAATGCATTATGGTCCTAGAAATTAAAAGACAATGTATTAGGCTTAAAATTTGATAGCTAACCTGTTGCAATAATCTTTCACTGATAGAAGAAGGTCAAGCATTACAATATCTCCCACCAAAACATATATAACTCCACACCGCACCAACCATCTAAAATTTCTGATATAAACCTTTGTTTCCAACAGGAGAAGAGTTATCATTAAGCTCCAAGTAAGTGTTTCAACAACCAGTGTCGCTATCTGCAAAACAACAAAAGCTTAAAATTTCACATTGCAACCAAATTGTACAATTTTTTATTGCAGTATGGCATCTAACTCCCAGGTATCAATAATTAAACTGAAGTCATCATCAAATATCAACTTTGAGTGAGAGAAGACACTGAATTCATCCGAAGGATAGTATGCAACCATGACACACCCACCTCAAAAGGAGCGAAGCCGGTTTCCCCACTGAGGTTGAAAGCTGATTTTCCACTTAACAATCTCAACAAAGGTTGAGCAGCACAATAAGCAGCCAACATTCCTAGAAGATAGTTATAGTAACTTGATCTCAAACAAAACCTCTGAGCCTTAGAATTGCAAGTGATTAGCCATATCCGATACAAGCACAGGCCTAGAAGAACCAAATTGGAAATGGAGATAACAAGAGTATTAATTGCACAAGGTGTATAGGAGCCAAAAGCACTATCCACTGTTTTATCCCAAATGCTGTTTTCTTCTGGCTGGCAGTACCAATTCAATGGTTCAAACCCCATCTTTTGCTCACTGGGCTAACACAAACCCTTCACAGATTTCACCAATGATGCTTGAAGATCTCTCTTTCAAACACGAAAAGGAGAAACTGCAACATCAAACCAAAATTCCTATCACATTAGAACAAAACAAAGTGGCGTTGCAAAATAAATGAGAAGAAACACCCATGAAAGTAAAACTTCAAATACAAAGAATGTGAATGTGACTACCACCTTTTGGGTTCACAGGATAAAACAAAACTGAGCAAAAGCTACACTGAACTGTGTCAGTGTTAAAAATCTGCATGAAGAGCCGTCTTAGACTTTTGTACTTCAACTGAAAACAAGGAATCTAAACAGTACCATAAGAGCAATAGCGAGTGACAGTTACATAAAAGTGAGGGTTGAAAAGAAGTGAGAACACAATTGTGGGGTGGTGCCAATGGACATTATTGTTGCATGACAAACATTATTTGATACTTTATGGATAACATCATGTTTTTTATTTAACGAGTGATGAACATACATTTAATACAAGTCCTATGAGACACGACAGAAGACAATGTTGAAAGGTCGAACCGAATCTGAATGAGAAACATTATTTTTTCCACATGAAAATTCATTGCTAACGTCACGGCTTACGAGTTAAATCCCATAGCTTATTACTAAAATGGAAATAAAGATTCTTTGGTTTCAATATTGTTTAAGAACATTTTTTCGAAGTTTAGAAAATTGATAAAAAAATTATTGTGTTCAATAACGAGTTCTTTAGGTGGGGCCATATAATGACGTCAATAGTTGGTGCCAGTGAGTGGCCACTGATGACTCCAAGAGAAACAGAGGGATTAATTCTTTCTAAAGTTCATATCATCGGTAAAAAAATTTCTTGAAATTTTTAAAACATTATACTTAATTATACAAGTCTTAAAATATCTGTAAAATAATACAAATTAGGTTGAAAAATGTGTTGGTAACCTCACTTATGGTTATAATATTTTTTTATAAAATAATAAATGAATTCAAAATTAGTTAATTTAATGATTTCAAAATTATTATTTAAATAAGAAAATAGAAGGGTAGAAAAGAGCCACATGTCATATCTTTTAGTGGTAACAGAAAACGACGATATGGACGGATTGATCGATGCACGAGAAATGAGGAGAAGGAGTCTGTATTTCCGCATTAAGATAAGATAAAAAGTCCCAAAATAAAAATTATAAAGATAAAATAAAAGTCTAACATTAATATTAAAATTTATCACGATTTTTGAATGATTATTTTCAGCGACATTTCAACATATTTCAGAATACACAATTTATAATTTATTACGTGTATAATATTATATTTCAGAACACTTTCTGTCCCACTATTTATTATTTGAAATATTTATAAAAAAAATTACGATCATGTCTTAACTAAAATTACGTAAAAGATGCTTATTTTACATAACTGAGGAATATATATACTAAAATGTCTTTTTTTCACTATTTTGAAATGATAATTTACTCGATTTCGGAATATATATATTTCGAAGCATGTTTGAATTTTCTTTTTACATTATTTGATATCCGAAATATGTGATGAAGAACTGTTTAACATATCTAGAATTTCGTAAGATTTTTGATCCAGATATATATGTGGGGTGTAAGAAGTATTGGGCGCAGTAGGAATATCCGTCTAAAATTCATGTGTTGGGGGGGAGAGATTCCAATTGTAAAAGCCGAACACCAAATAAGAATCTAGGACGAAATCAATCCATTGAATCAGACATGATTCAATTATTGATTGGGTAAGTTCAATTGGAGATTTGCCCGACAAGGCCAGTCTCAACAACAAACGTTCATTTCTAGAAAGGGAAAATACCAACAACTACTGGGAATCTTTACCAACTTTTACCCCCTGTCCCTCCCCAACTACCTCCATCACCAGAAGGAGCTGTATTCTTCCCCCAGCCTATGTTCTCATTTCCAGATCCACCATCACCTCGTTCCCAACCTCTGATGTCTTCGTCCCTGTTCCTAACATCAATTTTCACATTGTTCAATAAAACAAACACACATCAATGTAAATTTAATATAACTTAAACTAACTGGAGCACATGTTTCAGTTATTTCCAGACTTTAAAATCAATTTTAATGAACTTTAATGCAAGCTCACCTCTCTTCTTTTGAGTTGTTTACACCCCAAAGACCACGCCTTTGGCCATTACCTTGGCTTCCACTCCATCCTCTTCCTTGGTCAGAACCTTGTTCCCAACAACTATCCTTATTGACATCGATGTAGTCACCAACTGCACGGTTCTTACTCTCATGGTTATTTCCACCCCAACCACCACGTCCTTGCCCATTACCTTGGCTTCCTCTTCCTTGATCAAGACCTTGTCCCCAATCCTTATTGGCATCACTGTAGTTACCATCTGCATGGTTCTTACCACCCCAACCACCACGTCCTTGCCCATTACCTTGGCTTCCACTCCATCCTCTTCCTTGATCAGGGCCTTGTCCCCAATCCTTATTGGCATCACTGTAGTCACCATCTGCATGGTTCTTACCACCCCAACCACCACGTCCTTGCCCATTACCTTGGCTTCCACTCCATCCTCTTCCTTGATCAGGGCCTTGTCCCCAGTCCTTATTGGCATCACTGCAGTCACCATCTGCATGGTTCTTACCACCCCAACCATCACGTCCTTGCCCATTACCTTGGCTTCCACTCCATCCTCTTCCTTGATCAGGACCTTGTCCCCAATCCTTATTGGCATCACTGTAGTCACCATCTGCATTGTTCTTACTCTCATGGCTATTTCCACCCCAACCACCACCTTGGCTTCCACTCCATCCTCTTCCTTGATCAGGACCTAGTCCCCAACCACCACGTCCTTGGTCATTACTACCAGAGCTTCCCCTCCTTCCTCTCCCTCTTCCTCGTCCTCTTCCTTCACCATTGTAGTCACCATCTGCATGGTTCTTACTCTCATTGTTATTTCCACCCCAACCACCACATCCTTGACCATCATTACCTTGGCTTCCACTCCATCCTCTTCCTTGGTCAGAACCTTGTCCCCAATCTGCATGGTTCTTACTCTCATGGTTATTTCCACCCCAGCCACCACTTCCTTGGCCACTACTTTGGCTTCCACTCCATCCTCTTCCTGGATCAGGACCTTGTCCCCAACCACTATCCATATGGTTATTATTTTCACCCCAACGACCACGTCCTTGGTCATTACTACCTGGGCTTCCCCTCCTTCCTCTCCCCCGTCCTCTCCCTCTCCCTCTTCCTCGTCCTCTTCCTTCTTCCTGACCATGTTCCAAACCACCATCATTTGCATGATTTCCACTCTCATTACTATTTCCACCCCAAGGAACACGTCCTTGTCCATCACCTTGGCTTCCTCTGCCTCCTCTTCCTCTTCCTCTTCCCCTACCCCTACCCCTACCTTGTCTCCCACCATTGCCATCACCAGAACCCCTCACCTCCCAACTCTTGCCTCCAGCAAAGGAATCATCAGCATAATCATCACTAGAGCCAGATCTAGGGCCAAATCCACGTCCATTGTCTCCACGGCCACGATGAGGACCACGAGCTCGACCACCCCGACCACCCCGACCATCAATGTACGCTAAAGAAGGCAGAGATTCAAATGAATCAGCTCCAAATATACAAACTAGAAAAAAGGAGTTAAAGAATAAATTTTTTTTTTCAAGGACTTGAACCAAAATTTTATTATTTATTAAATACCCTATTTGAAGAAAAGAATGTATCGAGTATTCAAAACAAAAATAGATATTATATTAAGGACTTAAAATTTATTTAAGCCTCTATGTTAACAAGTAAGAAGGGAACACAATTTCAAGATAATCAGTGGCTCGTAAACAGTTTCATGGTGCTTTATAAGAAAAAATGAGGACAAATGCATGTGAAACAATTGGTTGATCAAAGCTTGAGTATGAAAAATTATATGAAGTAGATCATGAAAAATTCAATATTTGAGGGGATTAATATCAAATAAATTTGAACTCCATTCGTAAAGAGGATAAACATACTATTTTAACAAAATTTCAAAACCAATTTGGACACATTTAATAAATTAAAAGTACCAAAATATACAACTTTAAGAGTCCTGCTTATACCTTTTGATTCAGAGCGCTGACCTACGTTGTTGTTTCTCCATTCTCCATACTCGGACTCACTAACTGAACCAACTTTTATCCTGGATTTTGCTGCCGCAACATTATCATTGATATGATTTTGAAAATATGCCACCAGCAGCTCAATATTTTCAAATATTTGTTTCCTAAACTTGAACCCTTTTGGATGGATAGCCACAAACTCATGATGTGGATTTGTAGTTCTAATGTAAGACAAGATGAAAGTGCCAGGATGCTCGTACGAAATGCCAAAGCCATATGGTATCCGGTTCGGATATTCGTCTTTCTCATGTTTTAACAGTTCATCAACCTCAGTTTTTGTGCCATTCTTAAATTTTCGGAAATTAAGCATAGCTTTCAGATGAACTACCAATGGGTTGACATAATGTTCAATAACCTATTCCCATGATAGAGGAAATAATTAGCTGAAGGAAAGAAGTAAATCGCAAAAGCACCAATAAATGACAAAACCACAAACACAAGATAAACAAACTCAAATTGAACTGCTTTCCAAAGTAATAATCCGTGGACCAATATAAAATTAACTATGAAAATATTCCAGCATCCACATACCTACTAATATTTCTTAAATGTATAGGAATTTTTCATATCATTATGCATTGCTGTACAGGATAAGAAAAAAAGAAATTTCAAGTGTGATAAATTGATGTTTGAACGCAAACAATGAGGCAACAAAAAACACGTGGAAGAAATATGGATGAATTGAAGCCTCCTGAAATTTATTTGAAATTTGAAATAAGGATGCGAACCTGATTTATGTCCTCAAATGTTTCCTGTCCTATTTTTAATGTCCCTCCAAGTTTAGGCAAGTTTTTTAAATCTTGACTCTTTCCACCTTCCACGATGTCTTTGTGGACATAAACACCGTTACAAATTTCAAGAGATAGGGTCAAATAACATAGACCCCTTGAACTTGGGTGAAAGATATATTCTCCAACTTCCTGATCTGCAAGGAACTGTTCAATAAAGAATATATGAAATGAAATCATCATAAAGTGTCTGGAAAATTAAATTAACTCAAATATCAAACAATAAATAAATTAACCTGTTTGGCTTGGTCTGCAGTTATATTTTGAAATTTAGGGTGAGAAATCATCCTGGGCATGAAATGTTTATTTCCAAGCTCCATCTTGTCTGTTCCCTCCAGTTGACTTATTGAAATGGGATGGTAATAAGGATCCATGTCTTGGAATCTTTGGTAGCCGTCCTTCTTCAACTCACTCATCTTACAAGTCAGATTGACCCGGCATCTGCTCGTATCAACTAGTTTGATTCTGCAAGCCAGCACAGCACCTTCACACAATTTTTCTGTTAATGAGATATGTTCAGTTTCATCTGAAAAGTCGTCCTTAAAAAGTACTCCAGCCATTCCGGAGGGAAGGACACAAAATGCCAGTTGAGGTAGAACCTTATAAACTGTTGCCTGAACTCTTTTTCCTTCTATTAACACATCCCCAGTTTCTCCAGTTATCATATAGAACTCCTCATCTTGAGTTGGTTCCGCATAAGGCCTTCTAGGATCTTTAAAACCATGGAGTAATTCCATCTTTATGTCAAAAAGGGTAAACCTTTTGTATTCTCCGTTTTCTATTTCCAATCTATCAGCATATTCATTTAAATCAAAATTCTTGAGCAGTTCTGGATCATTTTGAATACATTCAATTGCATGCACTTCAGAAACATTAGCTTCCGGATTTTCCAGAACAAGTTTACTGTAAACAGCTCTTGCGAATTCTTCAGAAAGATTGTACGACTCTGGATGAATTCTTGTACGGTCCAGAGTATTGTCAGCGACATCATCGCAAGAAACACGTAAAAAGCCGACGGCATTGCAGAAAACCTTCTCTGTGTTCAGCGCAAATTTAGCAAAATCCCTTCTATTTCTCACATCAACACCCCCAAGTAATTCTCTACACAAAATACCAGCTTTCTTTGGTCCAAGACCAGAAACAAACTGCAAAGGAGCCAACAGCCAGTCATGTCTGACAGCCAAATTTATGTCTATGCCTACTTGATTTGTAACATCTGTCATGATCCATTCAATTATCTCTAACTTCTCGTCACTTGTTAGGAATTTCTCCAGGGGATTCAACTTCCAAGATACAATCTCATTTTTCACTCCACATAGCGTTGCCACCATAGCCAGTGGGTTTAGAAGGTAACGTCCAAGAGCCACAGCTCTCCTGACAATGCCTGCATATTTTCAAAAAACATGGATACTATACAATTTCCAAAAAGTACATAAATGTCAGGAAAGGAAAGGGAAGAGAGAGAACAGGAAGAATGCATATCAACTGCTTTCTTCGCTTATTTATATCCCCTATATGATTACCGTGTTGTCTTGGAAGCTGGCTAGTGGAAATTTCCGAATCTTCATAAAGACGAGGCAAGCCTTCCTCCCCTAATACAACCTTTGGTATTACTTTCATTCCTTGACTGAGGTTTTGAGAATTCTGCTCTGAGATCTTGGAAATAATCTGATTGACAGTTGAAATAATTTAGTCAATTCATGGTGTCCATTAACAAAAGATCCCAAACCATGTATTACAGATAAAGAAGCTATGAAAGCAGTTGCCATATACTGGTAACACAGCAAGATAAAATATACAGCAAACTGCATTAGCATACGTCATCAACAAATTAACGGGCTGCTGAATCCAATACAAAAGAAAATTGATAAATCTATGTTGTGATTGAAAAATGAAGAGACAATGTTTTGAAATACAGAAACTGCAATTTATAATGGAAGAAAAAAAACTACGGAAAAAAATTCAAGGCATCAATCTACTTTTCGTACTAATTTGATCATATTGTGAAAAATCCCTTTTTAAAGTTAGTTAGTGTTACCTTAACGGAAATTGAATAATATATTCATAAGTTTCATATCACAAAGCAAATTGTACAGAAAAGGAAGTGTTTCTGACATTGTGACGCAGGGCACTGTGCTAAATATTTCATCTTGTACTACGTAAATAACCTTGTTTTAGCCAGTGCTTTTTTACCCACGAAAAGCAAAAGAAAATCCAAAATAACATCCTGCAGCATTTGCATCTGCCTCGCAACCCAAACCTTCTTAGAAAATGTAAAGCAACAAAATCGACCCTTCTTTCTAAATTGGGGTGCCAGGAGCACCCCATCTTGTCATTTCGTTGTAGCTCATTCCCGTTAGGCTTAGGCCGAAGTGTTTGGCGCAGTCAAGCATTGTTGAGATTTGATTTCTCACTCGAGCCCAACATAAATATGGTTTCTCTAACTGAGATGCATGCTGTAACAGTTTCTTCCCATTAAAATGCATTACCAATCTTAAAGGGGAGGGAAGGATTAAAAATCATGTATAATCGAATAATTAGTCCCATCAAGGGACCTAGATGTGTTGAAGAATTTAGCTTACCTCATTGATGTCCTCCCTCAACCTTAAACAGGACGCATTAGCTGCTCCTATCACAATAACTTGTGGTTGATATGTTGTTAAGAACCTGAGCAAACACTGTTGATCATTTTTCCTGCTCTGCTGGTCAATGATTTTGTGAGATCGTAGTGTAAGCGACCGAGCATGGATCACATCAACCAATTTTCCTCCAGAGTCCAACATGACAAATGTTGTACCTGGCTTTCCATTTCCCCAACAACAAGCCATTACTCCCTTCTGCTGTACAGTGCCACTTACATCATTCAAATACGGTGCCACAGAGACTCTGTTCCACAATTGCATTGCATAATTCATCAATACCCAGTTCTTAGCCTTGGCATTTAACAATTCCCGTGCTTCCTTCTCCATAGAAGGCAAAATGAAGTTTGAAATGGCATCCTGCAGGATTAATTTACGCTGTTCATTCCAAAGCCTTGTAGATGTTCCTTCACTATCTTTGAGAAAGGCATCATTACCGGTCATTGTCAATTCATTTATGGTATGATCAGGCAATTGTATTTTAACTTGAAGAAGCTTCTCTTCTTCAGCCTTCTGAATTAATAGCCACTGGGAATCCTCAAACTTCGGGAGAGGTTTTTCCCGCAACCACTTCACACCAGCAAATTCATGACAGGAATCTATAGTTATATTTCCTTCTAGTGTAGGGTTAGTTGAAACTAAAGCGTTGTCCATAAATATTTTGCGCATGTATTTCCTCAAAGGAATCTCACTGCTTAACATCACTGCTGCCTGAAAATCAAAATTATAGTTTAGTAAGATAAATTTGTCCATAGACTAAGAGTTATGAAATACGAATTAATGAATTCAACAGGATACCATGTGTCTGGCCCCTTTAAGTACAGCTTCTGAAGTTTGAAAGGTTCCACACTTGAACATTGAAGCAATCTCCTCTGGAGATTCCTGTGGATCTTCTTCTGTGTTTGTTCCCTAGAGTCCAAGAATCTCTCGAGTCAATTGTTACCCAAAAAAGCAAATGTACTTAAGAAACTATTCACGAACGTGTAAACATAATCAAAATGTACCACTTGAGAAAGAGTAACTAGAGCACTGAATTTCTCAGGATTGCCAAATTTACTTGCGAGTGACCCAAGCCCTGCCTTATTGCAATTGTAATAGAATGATTTCGTCATAGGCCTTCTAAAACCGCCATCAAAAAGCTCCTCAGCAGGAGGAAAATGCAAATTAAACTTTTTATCAATATCATCAACCTCAGTCTCTGTTTCAGCATTCTTGAGCATATTGGTGATTGAATCAAAAATCTGCTTATGAAAAATGGATTCTTCAACAAGGAAAGACAGTTGATGTTCCTCCTCAAAATGTTTGTTGTAGTATTCCATGAGCAGGTTCTTCCGTTTCTGAAGAAGCAACCACTTTTTATCCAATTTATGTACTATCCAGAGCATCTACACCAAGAACGAAGGTATTCATCTATTGTTATAGTATTCCATCAAGTTCTAATGCATTAACTTCTTTCATTCAGTAAATTTTATATTTTAACCTTCTTTCCAACACAAACAGTAAATTTGAAATGATTTGAAAGTACCTTGTGCCATTTCAAACATACATTTTCTGATTCATCATTCGATTTTGGATCTTCTAGAAGACTAAGGCATTGTTCCTTCCGGTACATTGCAATAAATGGAATCTAAAGAGTAAAGAAAAGACAATTTTAAGAAAATCTAAAAAGGAATCTTAATTGTTGTATACTAAAAAATGTAGGTAAAATCATATAATCCTTACATCATATATCATTGTATGATGTAATTCCAAGAAACTAAGAATATCGTCCCTTTTTGCCGTATCGACTAGTCTGCAGGAGTTAGCCTCACTAAATAATGGATTTATGTTGGATTCTAGTTGACAGAGTATCCAAGAACACTCTTCTTCTAGACTCATTCTGTCAATTGCAGATCCTACCAGGTCCTGAATCATCTGTAAAAAATTGTGACAGATTATAATTTAAATAAAAATATTTTGATTGACACTGATATATTAGTAATCATCAAAGATTTTGAAATTATGACCTGCATCCTCTCAGGTATATCTGTATCATCATCCTCTCCAGCCACATACGTATAAGTAGGGATGAACAATTTATGCTTGTTAGAATCATCAGACGTAGTAGACTGATTTTGATCATTCCCGATGTGCTTTTCCAACCGACTTTCCTTGCCAAAGCGCCGTTTGACTTCTGTACGGTTCAACATTTTTTGTCTATAGGAAAATTTGACAACAAAATCACATATTAAAGATGTAAGAACATATCTGCTATAGGTTGAGGTTACGAGATCATATAGTGAGCCACTAAAAGAATTGCGGGTATATAATTTCACTAGACTTCATGTTTGTTAACTGCTAAATACCTGCGAGAATTTCTCTTCCCGCGGATGGCAACCTCTTCATCCACTATAAAATCTGCCATGTCATCCTGGTTAGACTCATCTTCAGCAATATCATCAAAGAATGATCCTGGAAATAAAGGATTTCTTAATCAGTTTACAAACAATAGCATGCCAAGAAATCGGAATGAAAAGAGAACAATGATCAGGCTTAATTGCTCCACAAGCAGATGATTATCTGATCACACTGCAAGCCATCATACGACATATGAAAGAGAAAATGAAGATAATAAAACCATAAGCTGATACAGCTCACCTCCGTCATCGGAAGAATATTCCATAAACTCAGAGTCTAACCCTGCCTTCCTAAGCCTCTTCATTTTTCCATCTCTCTAGAAAAAACGAATGAAGATGGAAGAAGCATGATAAATGACAAAAGTAAGGCTCTCTGGTGCTTAAAATACTTGCACAGAAGAACTATTTGTAGAGTAGAGGCAGAAACTAACCAATATTTCCGGATTGACGCTCTTGTTCTCACGAATTAACTCAAGATCCTCATCATCAAGAACAATGGTTTTCGATGATTTCCTGAAAATGGGTAGCAAAGGACACCGTTGAATAAACAATGCAGATATATGAAATTGCATAACTGGATAAGAATGTAAAATAACCTCTTTTTCTTCTGTTGTGCTTGTTTTCGACTTTCTTCGTCTGTATCATCTTCTTCATTTTCAGCGTAGTCGACAATAAACCCATCAGTCTCAAAAACTTCAAAGTCTTCGTCTGTTTTTCCATGTGAAGCCAACAAATAAATAAACCACAATTTGTTCATTCAAAGACCACCATGAATACTACTGCCGTTCTGGCACCAACGTATAAGTGTTCAAGTAACCATGACAGATTCAACATGTGATGATGAGCAACGTGATAAAGCTAAAAAATGAACGAAAAATATAGTTGATAGAATTTTACAAAACCCAAAATTGCAAAAGAAAATATGAATTTTCGCGCCAACTAAAACGGTAAGTGCTCGTGTGTATGTAGAATTGCAATTTATACAGAAAAACCCCACTGACAGGCAATCTATATAGGAATATTTAGAGTTAAATTAATTAAATATAATAATCAATTACAAAACGGGGAACAGTAATATTTAGAGAATATAATTAGTATGAATATAATTGTAAATTTTAAGATCCATTCTTTTAAAAGAAATCATTTTGGTAATTTGTTTAAATTTATTGATCTTTAGGTATTTTCTTTTTACTTGTTCAAGAGGTAAAAATTATGCATTCTATCCAATGTTTGAATAAATAAGGAACAAAGACTATGGTCATAGTGAATATTAGGTGAAAAACTTAAATTTGAATATAACTAGAAAATAAATTTATATATATATATATATATATATCAACTTTACAGCTGGTGTTTATTTTCACTCAATTTATGATTTTTTTTATATACTGAACTAGTTGTATTTATTTTTTAAAATGAGTGTTTATTTAATAATAAACCAATATATATTTTCTTTGTTTAATTAACTTAAAAAGTAAGGAATATTTGATTTATTTTAATATGTAAATCATTTATTAAATAATTTTAAAATAATTATCTTAATTTTAAACATAGAATATACTTTTTTTATGCATAAAAAAGCTAACAGCTAATTAGAAGATTATCAGAATAAAGGTTAACCACAAGAGAAAATTAAGGTGAACTTTCCATCCAAAATTCCATGTATAGTATATTAAAGATGTAAAAGATAAATAACATATTATATTAAAAATTAAAATAATATATTTATTTAAAAAATAAAAATTTTAAAAATTATTCTTTATATTATTATATTTTTTAATAATTAAAATGAGTTAAAACATATTATAAAACTTTCTTTCAAACAGTTGTTGAGTGTCAGAAAATTGTTCTGTTACAACACGCTTCCCGAGAATACGAGTTAACAACTTGCTACAACTATTTCTTCTCTGCTTTTAATATAAAAATCACATTCTTAAAATTTTTCTTTTTTTAACTCTCACCTTAAGAAATTTGAGAAAATAGTCAATTATAATGTAAAAGAGAGGTTCTATATAAAAAAAAACTTTAATATCTAAAAAGTACATAATTCTTTTTCTGCAAACACTTCACATGTTAATCAAAATAATTAGCTCAATTAATCTTATTAATTTTTAAAACAATATCATACCATTATTAATAAGTTTTATACAAATTTCTCATTATTATATATAAAAAAAAACAGAATCATATTTTAATCGTATGATTATCAAATACATTATAAAAAATCTCTTGTATTAAGATCAGAAAAAAAAATATAATATTATTATAAGTTATGTAGTTAGGATGCATCTTGTCCTTAAGTAGTATCATTAAACTCCACAAAATGATATTAAGTTGTATTTTTTTAAATAATTTTGACAGAAAAGTTCAATAACTCATTTACATATATCTTTCCAAAAAAAAAAACAATCATCTGTAAGAATTTAATATACTTTAATAATCAAAGAAAAGTAGATGTAAGAAGTTGAAAGAACACACCATGCATGTGTAAGAAGATTGTGTTTCTGTCAAAGATAAACAAAAAGAGAAGCATGCATGTATAAGATGATGGAGTTCATGGACAGATCTTACCGTCTTCTTCCACATAATCGTCTTCTTCTTCATAATCCGCATCAGATTCCGAACTTTTTCCTTTCTCTCGGATTCTCTCTGAAGAACAGAAATAAGAGATAAGAAAACAAATCAGAAGTGGAGAAGAAAAAAGTACAAACAAAAAATCACAGTATTAAGAAATGGATAAGAATGGGAGGAGAGTTAAGCGGTGTTGCTATTGATGTTCACCTCCTTCGTCGTCTGCCTTGATATGTTTTCCTCCTCTCACTCTTGCCATTGTTGTCGAAGCGATGAAACCCTAAACTCTTCTGAGAACTCTTCTGAGAGGATCTCGAAGCTGCGAAAACACAATGCAATGCAAGAGGCGTGAGTTAAGTGTGGTGCTTCAAAAAACGCAGAGCGTGTCACGCTGGCGATTCCATTTTTTATTAACCCACGAATGAACGCGCTTCTGAATTTCTCGTGTACCAGCGTGTCCTTGTGTTTTCGTTTATTTACGTGAATGTCACTGTGATTTTGTTTTCGGACATCACGGTTATGATTTTGCCACGTCGGAAGAAGGTTACGTGGTGCATGATCTAGGAGTGGAAAATACAAAATTTTTTCAAGGGTAAATAAGTAATTGAATGAAAATTTAAAGCGTAGTGTTTTCCGAGGCAAGCATGCATGGTGAGAATGCAACGTCTTCTTTTCATTAACGCACAATATTTCTGTCAAAATATTAATAATAATTTTTTTATTATGGTTTCATAAATAATTTAAATAAATGTTACCTACAAGATTTATTACTAATGACCTATAATACTAGTAATCATTTATAAGTTTTGCTATTATCATATAAATTATGTTAGAATTTTTTAATTATTAGATTATATTAAATCAAAATTGTTTAATTTTATAAATTGATTAACTAAATAGATTGTTAATTTTTGTATAAGAACAAAATTGTACATTAAAACTATATAGAACTAAAATCAAACCTAGAAACATTAAAATATAAATTTAATGTTTTTTATGAAGATTAAAATAAAATAGAATCATATGAATCTAAAACATATTTACATCTAATAATATTTTTAATCTGTGAAATATTGTCAATTTAAATGATTTATCTTATTTAATTACTTATTCATTTAGAAACTTGCATAATGAATATAAAAAGGAAAATACGGTGTATTATAACAAATTCTAGAACTTTAAAAACAAGCACACTTTTTCATAATTCTTTTAAATAGAATGCATGTTATATGATAAATAAATTACTATAACACAATTAAGTAAGTTTTTTTTTCTTGGTTATGGTTTCATGTGTCTTTAGGTTCCATGTTTTGACACTTGATGTTAATGTTAAAGTTGAAAATACTATTTTAAAAATGTTTGCCACTTCTATTATGATTATATTAATATTTATAAGTATTCCTAATTAATTAAATTTGATAAAATCACAGTTCTATTAATGAAACATAATTTTGTCACTATAATAAAACTACCATAAACACAAGTCATAATACAATAAATACTATATACTACAATAAATCTGTTATGATATAGATTTTGACCCTATACTTTAGTCTACCCTACCTACTCTATCCCTATTTATACAGCTATAAGATCTCCACTAACATAACTTTTTTTTTTTCTATTAAATACAACTTAATATAATAAGTTAATGTTATTCAGAATTAATGGAATTATATAATTTATCTTAAAATAATTACATGGGAAAATATTATCTTCTAAACTTTACAAAATATCACAGTTTTCATAAACTTATTTTTGGTATAATTTTATTGCATATATAAACATATTTTGACATTTTTTTAATTATCTTTAGGTTAATGTAAAATTAATTTAAAATTATACAATATAAAAAATTAGTATTCAATAGAATAAACATATACCTTTTAAGTAAATTAAATTTTTAACTTTGAGATTAATATTTTAACTCAATTATATTCTGTTTTAAAAATATATATATTTATAACATTTTAAAAAGTTTAAAATTACCATAAATTATTTATAATATTTTAAACAACTAAAATTAATACATTTAAATTTAATTGTCGACAAAGAATAAATAAAAATGTTTGATAATAATAATAATAATAATAACTATTATTATTTTTAAACTTGTATTATTAGGATTAAAAAATATTGTATAATAATAATAATTATTATTATTATATTGATAAGAGAAATAAATATAAATAAATTCAATATATATATACATATATAATTAAAATTAAAATTTGTATCAGTTTAGAAGATGTATTTAACATAAATTTAAAAAAATACTACAATAAAATAAATGAAAAAATAATAATAAAATTACAAAATAAATATTAATATTTACTGGTAAAAAAAAAACTCTACTAATATAGGTCTTTAGTAGCGGTACGTTTTGTTCGATATTAAAAGTTTTTTTTTTTAATTTCACGTTTATTAAATATATATATATATATATATATATATATATATATATATATATATATGTGATGATATCCTAATATATAAATAATTATAATCTTATTATACTAATTTTATAGGATGGAATTAGTTATGTCATTAATCAATTCTATTATGACTATTGAAAAACCTCTCATCTTAATTAAAAATTCTCTCTAAAAAATGTAGTGAAATCACATCAATTTATAATATATGTGAATATGGATATGAATCATAATGATGTTTTATGTAGACACAAATTGTATGAATGTTTCAACCATTCAATACAACTTTATTGCTAATCCGATAAGTTTTTGTATATGCATGGTACAGATAGAACTTGGATGTTTAGTTACAACATTTAGACAAGTATTAATAAAAATTCTTAATCGCAACATAAATAATGTTTGAAGATGCTATAATCAAAGAATGGGACAAGGAGGTGGAATTGGTCTCACAAAAGGAACCAATATGTTAAAGGGAAAAGGAAGCCTAGGGTTTCTTCTTCCATTTGCCTCCTCCACTTGTCGCTTCAGTCTCTCAATTTCACTATTTGATTGAATTTGAATCAACTCATAATTCTCTTCAGCCTTAACTCTACAAACTCTCTCTTCTTCCAATTTTTTCAAAAGATTTGCAGTTTCTTCCCTCAACTTGGACTCCACCTATATATATATTAAAATCAAATTATTTCATGGAACAAATGAACAAGTTTAATATTTCAAACACACTTTAATTAGTTACATAGCAATCCTTAGTATATTTACAATATTTCAAACACAATTTATTTACAACATTTAGAACAGACACATTTACTTAATTAAAATATTTTAAGGTGGTATTCAAAGAATGACACAAGATGGTTGAATTGGTCTTTGTCTGTCGAAAATATTGAGTAGGTTAAAGGGAAAAGGAAGAGAAGGAGGAGGATTTCTTCTTCTATTTGCCTCATCCACTCTTTGTTTGAGTCTCTCAATTTCACTGCATGATTGAATTTGAATTAACTTATAATCTTCTTCAGCCTTAAGTCTAGCAACTCTCTCTTCTTCCAATTTTTTCAAAAGATTTGTAGTTTCTTCCCTCAACTTTGATTCCACCTATACACCAAAATAAGATCATTAATTAATTATTTTAAAATAATTGAGTAATTAATATCCAATGTTAATTAACACTCATTTTCATCATGCTTAATTACAAAACTGCAATACAAAAACAAAAATGTTACGAAATAAATAAGATAAAATGATTAACAAGTACCATATTAGTCATTCGTTTTAGGTCATCATCGTATTGTTGTTGCATGTGCATTTTAATCCCCGCCATTTCTGCTTTTGAATATCCTTGAAGGGACTCAACAGCTTTCTGGTGGGTATCCCTCATCTTTGCTTTCTCCTTTTTTTTTTTTTTTTTCATGGAATAAATTTATGAGTTAATGTTATATGCGTGCAATTGTTCAAGAAACAATTTAAAAAAATGTACAAAATTTTTACCTTCAACTCCATGAATAACTCATTTGTGAAGGGTTTTCCATCATTATATGATATAACCATGTCCACAAGTTTGAGGAGTTCTTGAACTTGTCCTAATTTCTTTTCTTTTTCTTTGGTCTTGTTATCAAATAGCACTTTACGATTGCCACACAAGGCTAAAATATCCTACACCAATGTCAAAATTTTCAATCAAAATCAACAAAATTCCAAACTTTATTACTTAAATTATAATAATAATAATAATAATAATAATAATAATAAATAAAAAAATAAATAAAACCTTAAGAGGCTGTGGACAATCGTGACCTATATAATCTTCAAGTGTCTCCTCATTTTCTTCGAGTTCATCCCCTCCGGTGAACACAACAATCATGTAATCAACGATTTTGTGTCCAAACAGTGCTTGTAGGGCGAGAAAAGTAGCATATTCCTCTTCAGAGAAACGATTTTTGATCGAGTATACCATAAGAACAGCATGAATTCCTTCTTTAGCCATATCTATACATTTCACTATTTCTTTTCCAGCAGAATGAGTTCCATCGTAAAGTCCTGCAAAGTTTTTCATTTACAATTAAATATTTGTTATGTTAAATTTCAAATCACTTTTTATATATTCGAGTTATTATCCGTTTTAAAATTTTTGTTTATCATAATTTTATTCTTAAAAACGTTTCGATAAATTAAAAGAAATGATATATAAACGAAAAATTAGTAAATTTTACCTGGAGTATCAATAACATTAACAATTGGACCATCTTTTATAATAGTCCTTTGCAATTCACAAATACGCGTTACACCGGAAGAACTTCTCTTTGATTTGAAGATTGTTCTTCCAAGAATACTATTTCCTAATGCACTCTTACCATTTCCAGTTTTTCCAACTAAAACCAGTGTCATAGCATCGGATGATGAAGCTTTTCCCATCATAATATATTCAAGGTAATTAAAACTGCAAGGAAAATATATCTTAAATAAATTTTTGGTAATAAAATAAACATATAATATAATTCAAGTAAATTAAATAGCATGATGGAGTCTGAAATTTATTGTAAAGAAATAAATGCAAATTGCATAATGGTTAATATAAAATATGTATAGCATCACATGCATAAGAGAAAACTAATGATGGAATATATGTAATACATTTCTTTCTTAACTTTTAACTATATGATTAATTGAAATCCCTAATCTTGCAAACCCTTTTATATTTGGTGGTGAAAGAATTTGCTCTTGCTTGAGAAAACACTAACAATAAAAGCATATAATCTTTGTGTGTTTGAGAGTAACAAGAGAATAATATGCCTAAAGAAAGGTGGGGGAAAAGAATACTTCAACTAGGAATGGATTAGAATAAGAAATTACTTGTAAATCCAAATAGTTCATAGAATCCTCAAAAAGAAAGTTCCCAAAACATGAGAATGAAGGAAAAATTAGGAATTTGCCTCCACCAGCAATCTTAATGCACAATTAATATGCTTGTGAAACCTAGTGAAGAATTGATAAATAAATACACTTAATTGATGAAACTTTCATAATCCAAACAACAGCATCTTGTTTTACTACACCAAAAGACATATTTATACAGTTAGTTAGTTAGTTGAGCAGTTATAACTAACTCGTAACTAAGTAACAAACAATTACAATAGAACTCAGTCAGAACAAAGAGAGTCAGTAAAAGAAAATTAAGTGAATTATGAATGCAAAAAAAAAAAAAAAATATGAGTGTTCCTATGAATATTATTATCACAAAAAAAGTTACTTGAGTAATTAATTAATAACTACAACTTACTTTAATTTTACATTTTTTATTAATTAGTAAATATTCAATCACACGTTTATGTCTCTTTTAAAATATTTTTTTACAATGTTTGTCTTTAAAACATTTAGGTTGAGAAACTAAAATACGTTGTTTTTTAAATTACGAAGCTTTAAAAAAGCAATTTTTAATTTGAAAGTGTAAAAATGAACTTACTGAGAAACCAAAATTATCTTTAAAAAAAATGAGCAAATACTTTCTTTATTCTTACATGATATGTGATGTATATGTGATGATTTTTCTAATCAATAAGAATTCATTATATAAATCAACAGAAAATTCTCCACTTCAAGTTATTAATATTCAACGTTTCATTTTGAATTCAAAGTGGTTCGTTCTTCAATTAGCTCAATTTCTTCCCCAATAATGCTTTCATATTCTAGAAGTTAACTTGAGTTGAAATCAGAAAGCACCACTTTGATATTATAATATTTTTTATTAGGAGAAAAGGAGCAATCATATGCACCTTATTCAACTATCTCATTTTATATTCAAAAAATGTTTTTCTAAGTTAACTCAATTTTTTGGCAATTGACTTTCAGCATGTACGTTCTCACACAACCCTCAATAATAGTCTTTTGGATCTTGAATTCTACTATTATTTTTTTGATATTTTTTTTTGTTAGAGTTAAATATTGTAATTTACTTATATTTAATTATACATTTAAAATAAAAGAACTAGAGTCAAATTATATATATATTATTAATATTCTCCTCTGGGAACCAGAATTGTACTATATTACTATGTCTATAGATCATTCCATTACTCAACAATGGCAAGAAAACTCATTGGTAGCATCCCAATATTTGTTGGCTCCATCATCATCCTTTTCACCATGGCAAGAGCACAATCGCTAAACTACATGGGTGTTGACTGTCTTAACTCAACAACAAAAGAGCAAACCCTAACCCTAACCCTAACATTCCAAACAAACCTTAACAAAACCCTCTCGTGGCTCTCTTCTGATGCTGCCACAAGCAAGGGTTACAACCACATCACCACAGGAAATGGCAGCACAGTGGCTGATGATGCTGTGTATGGCCTCTATGACTGCAGGGGTGATGTCACAGGACCCTTCTGCCAGTTCTGTGTCTCCACTGCAGCCTCAGAGATTGTCCGGCAATGCCCTAACAGATCTTCTGCTGTGATATGGTACAACTTCTGCATTCTGAGGTACTCAAACCACAACTTCATTGGGAACCTCACCACAACCCCATCATGGGAAATTCTGGGGACCAAGAACACCACTCACCCAGAAGAGCTTCAGCAAGCTGAGGGCTACATGCAAAGCTTGAAGAGACAAGCCACTGCGGAGAGCAACAAGTTGTATGCAATGGGGGGGTTCAATTTGAGTGATGGAGAGCAAAGGTATGGGTTGGTTCAGTGCAGCAGGGACCTCACCAATGATGAGTGCAGCCAGTGTGTGCAAGCCATGATAGACAAAGTTCCTCAGTGTTGTAGCTCAGTCATAGGATGGCAGGTTCTGGCTCCAAGTTGCCTTATAAAGTATGATGATTTTATGTTCTACCAGCTTACAGATCAAACATCTTCTCCTTTGCCTAATTCAGGTACATGATTAATACTTTGTTTAGATAAATCAACTTATAAACAAAACTAAAATCAGTTTTTCAATTCTCTTTACTCTTGGTGGGTTCAATTAGTAAGAATTAAACAGTTGCTATATATTCGTAACTATCAAGGTAAACTCTTGGTTAGGTCGGTAATAGTGACAGAGTCGATGGTTTTCTGAACTGATGAATGGGATAATGTATGCTGATGAATGAGTAATGCTTTGTTGGGATATTTTAATGCTGATGAATGCAAGTTTTCAACACAATTGACTTTGGAACATATATGATCGTGCTATTAAGTGGTCGAGTTTTCTGGTTTTTATATGTTGGTAAACATCTCTATTTGATAATGACAGCTTCACTTTTCATATTATAAATCATTCTTTCATGTCGCTTTCGATTTGAAATATTCGTATCAGATTAATTTAAATTTTTCTTATGATTATCTATAAATTATCAGTCACAATATACACAAAAATAAAAAGGTATAAGTTATTATCAAACTTTCGACATGAGCATGAAAAAAAAAAAGAATCAGAAATATAATCTTTATGTTTAATTTGTAAATAATAATAAGAAGAAGAAGAAGAATTATTTGTAGAAATAATGTTTGTGATTATGGTAAACGGGTTCATATTTGGGTGAGCAACATCATATTTTTCCTCGCTTCAATAAATTATTTTTTCATTATTTTTTTTTATCTTTTGAATTTATTAATCTAAAATGTAAATTTGTATTTAGAAATGACTTAAATATATTTTTAATCCCTGGAAAATTTAAGAATGTTTTATTTATTTTCTAATAGTTTTTTTTTCTATTCTACACTTAGTCCTGCTCAATATATTATCTATATTAACATGATATGCTGTTATATGATAAAAAAAAATTCAAATATTAAAACAAAATTTAAGGATCAAAGAAAAATCTAAAGATGTTTAAAAAATAAGCACTTTTTCAGGATTAAATACGAAACATGTAAAAATTTTAAAGACCAAAAGTCATGAAATTTTTATTAGAAACTAAATTTTAAATTCGTAATCTTTTTAGAAACTAAACATATTTAAGTATTTAAAAATTAGTAACTTCTAAATTAATCCATTAATTGTGCTAATTTCCGCCCACTAATTTCTTGGCCCATCTTTCATTTATCTCAATATAAGCTTTCAGAAATTTACATCAGGCCCAACACATTATAGCTTTTTCCATTTTGGGGGTAATAGGCTTCATTTCATATTAACCAATTGCTTCCTGCACCCGTACAAGTTCTTTACCCTAATTTCTTCATCTATTTGTCCACAATTTCTGCACCTTCATCTCTCAGGACCTTCATCCTTGACCATTTAAATTTTTTTGTGTTATTACCTTCATTGAAGACATTTTCTAACAATTAAAGGTAAGTAATAATTAATATTATGTATGAATTACATGTTCCTGTACTTAAATTACACCAACAGACCAAAATTGCTTAATCTAGAACAAGTATCACGAGAATGAGGTTGAATTTTGAAAACACCCAATTCGAAATATATTTTCGGATTGGCTTTTCTGAAAACACATTCTAGAACATCCATTTCGAATACTATTATGGAGGGTGAGATGCGTTTTTGAAAATCAATTCTAGAAAGATGTATCTAGAATGCATTTCCAGATAATCAATTCTAGAAATGTATTCTGAAAAGTGCATTCTAAAATACATTTTGGAATTGATTTTCTGGAAATGCATTCCAAATTGGTGAGTACAGAATGCATTTCCAAAAATTCAATTATGGAACGCACTTTCTAGAATGTATTTTCGAAAAATCAAATTTTGAAATATATTCTGAAAAGTGCTTTCCGGAATATATTTCCAGAAATGCATTCCAAATTGGTGAGTTCAAAATGCATTTTCAGAAAATCAATTATAAAAATGTATTATGGAACGCATTTTCCAGAATATATTTTCGGAAAATCAATTTTTGAAATATATTCTGAAAAGTGTTTTCCGGAATATATTTCCAAAAATGCATTCTAGATTGTGGATTTGGAAAACACTTTTGGACTACATTTTCAAAAAATCAATTCCAGAAATGTAATCCGGAAAACACTTTCTGAAGCATGTTTTTTGAATTTTTTTTTCAATTTTCTCACTCTTTGAAATGTGTTTCTAGCTAAAATTTGTTGCATGAATACTGTACATGTAAAATTTTGATAAAAATAAAAAAAGTTAGACATTCTTACCTGTTTCTTGTAATTTTTGGAAGAATAAGAGAGGAAAGAATGGAACTGTTGTAATAGGGCTTAAAAGAATCAGTCATTGAACAAAATCAGAAATACACACTGATGGAAAATAAAGATAAGTGTAGAGTAAAATGATGTTTAATTTAATTATTGAGGTGCAGGGAGAAATTATGAGGTGCAGGAAACAACAATCTTCATATTACATTGATGACAAAATAAGTTAGGTTCAGTTGGTCCGTTCGCCAACCTGTTTAAAAAATAGTGAGGCAAATTGGTAATTTTAACTTATTAGGCCGTTTTGACTCACTCCACTTAAGTTCGCCAACCCGATGAACTAAGGACTGAAAAAAAACTTACATGCTTTTAAAATTATTACATTTTTTATTATATTTTTAAAATATATAAATATATTATAATATTATAATTTAAATTATAAAATTAATCAATTAAATTTAAATTATTGATTATAATTAGTTATTTTAACCCAATAAATATAATACTTTTTTAATTTATTTAATTAAAATATTAATTAATAAATAAAAACTTAAAAAATATTTATATAAGTAAAGGTATTACTTAAAAAAAACACATATGAAAAATTTATATAAAAAAAATTATTGATAGGTAATCATCCTATCAACCTTCCTTTTACCGAACATATTGACAAGAAGCAGTCTACTTCTTTACATACTAGATACAAACAGACAAACGTGTCAAAACAGAGCATCTCTACCATAAAAAAATATCAAAGTACGGTTCTCTTACTCACTTTCCACTTGTAATTTCTACTATCATACTCCTTCTGAAAAATGGTTAGACTCTAATACCATTTCGGACAGAGACTCCTTCTTGGCAAGATGATATGAACATCCTCGAGCATAACGGCGTCATCCTTCGGCTGAAGAACCCACTCAAGTTCATATTTCCCTCAACAAGAGAACTCTGCGGTAAAAACATTCTGATACACAGGATCCTCTTTCGAGGCAAGTGTAGAGCATATTTGCGTCTAAGTGGGAAACAATACTAAGAACTATAAGCTTCAAGCTTTCAGAGAAGAAAAACTTAGAGAGAGAACATTTTAGGAAGAGAACTTGTATTGATTTCACTCTATCGTATTCTGAGTTACAACATTACAAGCATCCTCTATTTATAGCAAAACCAAACAGGCAAAATCTAAAACTACACTAAACTAGAATGAAATTCGGACCCGAAACTTATGTTACAAGGTAGAATCCGAAATAAACTAATAAAACTACCACTCACACCTTATAATGGCCTTATAAAGGACAAAATAGCATGATCACACTTTATCATAGTCATACATATGGACAGATGGATAAGATAGGATAAGATTTCGAAAAGATAGGATATGATAGCCTGTCTCTTCGATTAGAAGCAAAGTTGATGGCTTATCCCTTGGAGTAGAAGTAAAGTTGATCCGGGCTTATCTTCTTTAACACGTATAAAGATAAGGGAATCGTTTTTTAGTAGCATGTCGTAATAAGAACCATTAACTAAAGCCTTTACTTTAGTCAGATCTGGTGGAGCCGGAATAATTCATTTGCTGGGTCTCGCTCCTTGTCATGCTTTCATGGAATGGGTCCCAGTAGGGATACATTTTCTTATGCATCATCATTTCTTCTATCAGTTCTTCATTGAAATTATCCGCTAGATCTTCAACTTTCTAAAAAGCTTCATCAGGAACGTTCATCTCAGCTTTTGATTTAAAAAATCTTATTTGTTGAGATCGTTCTTCTTTTGGGATGATCTTATCTATAGGATATTTATCAAGCGACCTTTGTGATGTGCTGACGATGGTGGGGTCTACCGGCTTGTAGCGGTAGTGATTGATCTTACAAAGATGTCTTGCCAGTTGGTTTCTGTAGCTTTCGTCAAGAGGATAAGTCTCGAAAGTACCCCAACAATATGCTTCATTTCTTGATCATAGTGGACCTGCAGAGTTTATGAAATATGGACTGTGGATGATAAAGATGGAAGTGTGACTTTTGAGAGTATTTCCAATAAATCCTTTCTACATTTGGGTATCGAGAATCTCCTTGAGTTGTTGTTTCCACCATGATAATGGTGAAAACCATTCAAGCAAAGTTCAGAAATGGAAATCATCTTTATAAGGATTTATCAATATGTGATAGGTTGTTTGGGTTTTTAGTGCAATAGGAATGAATTATTGAACAATATTGCACCATATAGTCCATAATGTGGGTTCACAGAGGTCTCAATCAAGTTCACAGAATAGTTCAAAGATTCCTCCAAAGGGAATATCAGGGTTGAACAAAGAAGATGAGACTATCTTGTATCTCATGGTCTCGTGTAGAAAGTAGAAATAGTGAATTTTAGCATAATGGAGAATATCAGCTGGTGTGGCTGGGTTTAGACCAGGTGGATAGACTTTGACAGTTTTGATTGTATTGGAGAGAGGTTTGACCATGAAAATGAGAGAAAAAGTGTCAGTAATTAATTTGATGGTCTTTTTGGGTCTAAACAAGAAATTATTAGGGACTGTGTTTAAGTTTCCTTTAACGTGCTTAACAGTAAAATCATACCTGGAAAACCAATCCATTAGCCGGAGAATCTGATGATTAGGAGACATCTTGTTCTTGTACTCTAAGATCTTTGAGAACGAAGAGTTGTCCATCTCGTACCTCAAAATAATGTCCTCTGAGATGGAAGTCAAACTTTTTTATTCCATTCTTGACGGCTAAGGCTCCCTTAAATGTAGTGTGGTAATGTTTCTCGGCTTCTTTGAATTGTCCACTGGCGTGACCACAGTAGTACATTTTTCCATTGTCTTCTTCAACGGACATTGCTCCCCAGTATTCATCACTGACATCGGTTTGCAGTATTCACTTTCCATTGCTTGGGGTTTTTAGAGCTGGAGGAGTCTGTGCTATCTTCTTCAATTCTTTAATGGCTTTGGTCCCCATGGAGGTGGATTCTTTTTCAAGAGCTTGGATATGAAACTTGTGTATTTGGCAACGTTAGGGATGAATTCCCTAATGTAATTGACTATCGCGAGAAATTGTTGAATCTGCTTGATGGTTAGATTTTCATCTAGAAAGTTGAGAAGTTCTTCTGCTATGTGAGGTTGAGGTTGATAAGTACCATGACAAAAATGCATCCCAAAAAGTGGATCTTCTTCTCTGAGAGCATAATCCCATACTGATGGACTATTTCGAAAAATTGATCCAATAACTGTTTGTGGGCGTCCATGTTTTGTGAGAATAGTAAGATATCATCAATGCACACAATCGCTCTGTCTAATATGGGCTAAAAAATTTTTGTCATAACTTTTTGGAACAGTGATAATCATATTATAAAAATCATTAATTTTTATGAAATCATATTATAAAAATAGTTTAATTTTTATGCAGTCTACCGTAGTTAATGTAAAGTTTTCTTCATTTGAACAGATAATGAATTATTATAAATATGATTTTAAAAATAATAATTATAAAAATTAACAAGTTTACTGTAGATGACATAATCGGTGGTTAAATAACAATATAAAAGCTTAAACCATCAATGTATTTAAATTAAATTCTAATAAAAATGATTAGATGAGACCTAATAATAAGGAAATGCAGTTCCTAAATGATATCATATAATTTACTCAACTGGTCATTCAAGCACCACCGATGGAAGCTTTTTTTATATAAGTCAGCCATAGATTATTTTTATGAAGAAAATAAGTACATTTGCAAAATATGTTAATTACTTGTTGAATAATTGTTTGATTGAAAACACTGAAAATTCCTTAAATTATAATTATGGGTTTTTGGAATGCATTATATATATGTATATAAGAGAATTCATATGTTCTATTGTTCCACTTGCAGCAAAAAAGGGAGGTTCAGTTAACTCAAAAACATTGATCATAATCATAGTGAGTGTATTGGTGGCACTAGTTTTACTATGTTGCTCTATCTACTACTTTTGGAGGAAGAATCTGTCAAATAAAGGTGATTACCATTACATTCACATGATGAAAGCATTTATATGTGGAAATAATGCAAAATAAAAGCTGACTAGTTTCCTTGGTAGATGGATTGGTATCAGTGAAAAGCCCTGCATCTTTCCATGGCAATGTTCAAAGAGAGGAAGCACTGAATGCAGACCTTCCTACAATCCCTTTAATCTGGATTCAACAGAGCACTAATAACTTTTCAGCGATTTCTAAATTAGGAGAAGGTGGATTTGGTCCAGTTTACAAGGTGTCACTGAATGTTGGATAGGTACAGTTTGCTTTGACTCTTTCTAGACATACTTATTTGACCTTTTCTTTCTTTCATCATTCTCTTTCAGGGTAATTTAGAAGATGGAACAGAAATTGCTGTCAAAAGACTCTCTAAAACATCTGGTCAAGGTTTGGAGGAGTTCAAGAATGAAGTCATCTTCATAGCCAAACTGCAACATAGGAACCTTGTGAGACTCTTGGGGTGCTGCATTGAGGAAAATGAAAAGCTGCTTGTGTATGAGTACATGCCAAATTCTGGCCTTGACTCTCACCTGTTCAGTATGTTTAACAAAACTTAATGCCCTCATTTTCTATTTTCCCCATTCTCAAGTCTATATAGATTACATGATTCTTGGTCTCATATAAATGAGTAAAGGGAGATTAAGTATGACCTTAAAAGTTGTTAGAGGAATTTCATGCAAGTCAACAGAGAACATGTTAGTAGCAAAATGATATTTCAATGTGGTAGGAGTTTGGAGGTGCAACTTTTTGTCAAAAACTGAATTTTTCCAGAACTAAAAATTGTTTTATACCTTTCTGAGAATAGCCGTATATGTATGTATATATGATGAAACAGAACCACAAAAATTTGTTATTGGCAGCCTTCCAACTCTGACACAAACACCTTATTTAGAAAAGTCATCTGAAAACATAACAAAATATCTCCTAATGGTTTTGGTGAGACTCATAATGTCCAAATCTTGATTATCTAATTTTCTCAATACATATAGTGTGGGGTCTTAGTATATTTTATTTTTGGACATTATTTCTGGTGTGTGTGTTAGAATTCAATGAGATTTCTTGAATAGACAAGAAAATGAAAAGTTTCTCAATCATACAAGTTCCATAGACAAGTTGGTTATTGGTTTTCTGTTCTATATATTACAGTGCTAACAACCCTTTTCCTCTGTCACTTGCATGCCAGATGAGAAAAAAAGAAAGCAACTAGATTTGAATTTAAGATTGAGCATTATTAATGGAATTGCAAAAGGACTTTTATACCTTCATGAAGACTCCAGACTTAGAATAATTCATAGAGATTTGAAAGCCAGCAATGTACTTCTGGATCAAGAGATGAATCCAAAAATATCAGACTTTGGATTGGCAAGAACATTTGCAAAAGGCCAGAGTCATGAAAATACAAACAGAGTTATGGGCACCTAGTATGTATTGGTGCCAACTCTTCTATATATATCATGACACATTAATATGTAATCAATTTCACAAATTTGCTATACTAAGTCTTCTTTTCATTTTATACAGTGGATACATGGCTCCAGAATATGCCATGGAAGGACTGTATTCAGTAAAATCTGATGTCTTCAGCTTTGGAGTTCTTCTATTAGAAATCATGTGTGGGAAAAAGAATAGTGGATTCCATCTTTCAGAACATGGTCAAAGTCTTTTGGTTTATGTGAGTTTTCCTGATATCATACCATTAAGAAACAGATAATAGTAAAGAGATATCCTTATGTTTCAACATGAAGTTCTAAGCATTTTCATGAGGCTTGATACACATCCAACAATTTGTATAACATCATTTTTCTGTGTCCGTCTCTCTATAATATCATTTGTTACATCTCAAATTTCTCTCTCAGTTACAAATAACATTTCTCTTTGCATACAGTGTTGGAGACTTTGGTGTGAAGGAAAAGGCTTGGAACTGTTAGATCCAATGCTGGAAAAGACATACAAAGCCAGTGAAATTATGAAATGCATACACATAGGTTTGCTGTGTGTTCAAGAAGATGCAGCTGATAGACCAACCATGTCCACAGTTGTTGTCATGCTAGCAAGTGACACAGTGACCCTTCCCCATCCTAATTATCCTGCATTTTCAGTTGGAAGAAAGATCAAAGAAGATGAATCAACATCAAAAGGATCCCAGGATCCTTCTGTTAATTATGTCACAATATCAAACATTTCACCAAGGTAGTGTACATTACATGCTAAAAGTTTTGCTACGAAAATCCTCATATTGTACAAGAAATTTCAAGTTTACTACAAATTGGACATCATCATCTCCATTTGAGAAGGATTTTCATGTTTAAAACTGCAATCCTAAAGTTGTATACATAGATTCAATTCATATAACAAAGATGGCAAAAATTTTCATGTTTGTTCTGACATTTTCTACTCATATAAATGAAGTTTAGAGTGTCTATTTATAATATTAAAAATTTAAAATAATTTATTTACAAAAGGAATAAAACTTAAATACTAATTATGATAAAATTCCAATTTAAGTAGAACTTATTTATTCCAAAACTAGAGTAATTTAAATTTAAATATTAATTAAGATGAAACTATAAGTACCAAAATTATTCTAATCATTGGAAAATAACTTTTTTTTTAAGTACATAGTTAGAGGTTTAATCACTTTTCTGTCTATATGAATTAAATTAGATTAAAAATTTGTAAGTAATTCACTCTTCTTTGACCAACCGAATGTTCTAATTAAAAAGTTATAAGTAAAATTTAAAAGTTGACCTTAAGACTACACTAGCTATTAATAATAAAAAATTATATTAAAGATTGAACAATTTAATTTATAAACAATAACTTCTTTATACAGTTATATTTTCACAACGATTAAAAAAAAAAAAAGGTGATGATGAATGATGTTACTGGATCATTAAAATATTCAAATAATTTATGTCGTGTACTCAAAATTCAAAGTTTTCCATTTTCAAATTATATTAACCTAATTTTTAAAAAATATGTTAATTATTCATAATTGCATGTGACAATGACCTAACTTATAGTTTAAAAATTATTTTGTATTATTTGAAAAATAGACTTTAAAAAATAACGAATATGATTTTAATTTCTTTTATTAAGGATATTGATATACATAGTTATAAAGAAAAGATTAATTTTTCTTAAATAAGTTCAAATTTTGTGGATTAAAAATTGTAATTATAAAAAAATTCCACTAAAAATAGTCAACAAGATTATTTGATAAATATTAGTTACTAATGAAGTTAAGTTATCCACGAAATCAATAAATATTTGGTACCAATGATATTATATAACAAATTTAACATATTTTTAATTGGATCTTTAAATTTAAAATGATTAATACATTTGATTTGATTAGCTAAAAATTACAAAAATATAATATCACTCACAAGATTAAAGAAATTAAAAATTCAATTACGCAATAATTTTTTTTTAATCAAGTATCTCGTCATTATTATGTAGAAGACCCTTTCAACGCGTATATTATACAATTAATGATGCAAACTTTAAGTTTGACCCTTAATCGCATGCAAGTTATGAGATTAAGACAAATTTCTTTATTTTCGACATTTATCCATATCTTAACCAAAAAGATGTAGGTTGCATAGTGCATTTTTTTTAATATATTTTTAATTATTCAAAAATTTTTTAATTTTTATTTATTAATAAATATTTTTATTAGATAAATTAAGAAAAATATTAAATATGTTATAAGACATAATTATATTCAATAATTTAAATTTAATCGATTAATATTTATGTTTAAATTATAATATTATAATATATTTTAAAAACGGATCAACGAATCAGTTTCTTTCATCCACCCTTAACCTACAGAGTTACCAAGTTAAGCGAAATAGGTTAAAAGACTCATTTTCAGCGCCATCAAATCTAACCCGTTTTGCCCCTAAAAGTGAATACACACTCAATTACTTGCAAGGAAATTGGAGGATCAAAATGGGTTTTATTTTGTCAGAGGTACCAATGTTGACCAAGAATCAAGATTATCCTTTAAACCCTCACCTTTTGCGACTGATTTTTCAATGTGACAAATTTCTATTCTACTTGCCCAACCCCACCTACGCGCTTCCTGATAGAAACGAAGCTGTTTAATACTAAACAATGTTAAACAAATTGCAAATTGGTTTGAATTTAATACATAAAAATTAAGGGTGGGAATATTTTAATTTGGTTGCATTAATAGTCACTGTAAGTCTTCTTATGGGATTAAACATATCAAGTATGAAGTTGACAAAATTGAATTAATAAAAATGGTTAATTGAAAATCTAATAGGAGACTCCAAGAAAAGTTTTTATGAGTATGATATAACCAAATTTAAATATAGATATAAGAACAGTATATGGGTTTCAAATGACTATTGTAAATGGTCAAAAAGTTTATGCTACAAGCAGCCACTTTAACGAGACTCTGAGAACATGAAAATGTGCATGGTATATCAATGTCAAACATTTGACAAATTGATGATATATTACTTTCCAATCTAGCCTCTAAGGCACTAGGCTCAATGTTGATCATACTCAGTCGTGATTGCAGCAAAAGAAGAATGATCTATGAATGGTTATTCATTATCAAATTGGTGTACCTTGTTTGCTTTGTTGCTGGTCAGAACAATAGCAACACACAACCACTTGATTATAGATATGCTTGTTTGGACCAATCTTCTGTTCCTCCCTCTACCACCTACCAAACCAACCTCAACAATTTGATCACTTCCCTCTCATCTGATTCTGCTACCAGCAATGGTTTTGGGAATGGAACTTCAGGAACTGATCAAGACATGGTTTATGGACTCTACCTTTGCCGTGGTGATGTGAACATCAGCCTTTGCCACTCGTGTGTCCAAAACTCTAGCATCTTGCTCATGCAGCACTGCCCCAAAAATGCCTCCGCTGTTTTCTGGTACCCCTTTTGTCTTCTGAGGTACTCAAACCAGGATTTCTTTGGCAACCTGACCATTCAGCCAAGGATTCCGATGTTTGACGCGACGCAGAATTTTACCAGTGCTGGAGAATTTGACAGTGATGCTAAGGTTTTGATGAATGGTTTGATACAAATGGGGTCTGAGGCACCCTTGATGTTTGGGACACATATGTTCAACATAAACGGAACTCAAAGAAGATATGGTTGGGTGCAGTGCAGCAGAGATATTACAGCTGAGGAATGCAGAACATGTTTGAGCTATATGCTTCAGGATGTTGAAAATTGCTGTCAGGAGAAGAAGGTGTGGCGTGTCTTTTCTCCAAGTTGTATTGTGATGTATGAAACTCAACCTTTCTTTTTGAATGGTACTGATTCTGCGCCAGCACCTGAGCAAGGTATGAGTTTAGTTTTTTTCAGCTTCATTCTGATACTTTTTGTGCCATTCATCTAGTGCCAATTCGCTATGGTTTATAAGATTAGTGAGAACTTATGCCCCTAAATGGTTAAAATGTTGTAATTAACTTGAAGATTATCTTTGTCACAGATTGGTTCTTTAAAAAGGATGAAATTGTTTACGTGTTGACAGCATGATAGTGTAGACTAGTTATCAAGATGATGCTAATAGGAACTAGTTTGTATAGGCATACACTTATAGGGACCAAGTTTTATGATAATTCTTTTTATATTATTTCCTCTTCTAACCAGTTTACACATACAAAACTTGCTGTTTGTCCAGCTAATTCAGCCACTCATGGGTTTAACAGAAGGTGGTGGCTTATATTAATCATTGTCGTGACAGGAATTGTATTACTAGTTCTATTGGCTATCAGCACATACTATTGCTGCTTGAAAAGGAGAAAAGGTAAGCATCAATAGCATGTTTGGATAAACTTCTCCGGTAACACTTCTAGGAGAAGAAAATATAAAGAAGAAAATGTAATAAAGTTTTTCCATCAACTAAAATTAGTTTATGTGTATGTATAGACTAATTTGTAGAGGTTTTCTGATGTTACTATTCCAAAAGTTGATGTTTAACTTACGGAAAATATTTTTTCATTTCCTGTAAGTGTTTCTAGAAAATTTATCCAAACAGATCATAACTCTAAAATGTTCTTTCAGCTAAGACTATCTATCAGTTCCTGTTTATGCTAGATAATTTTATATTTGCAGACAAACAAGCTATGCAAGAGGAGGGTCTAAATTCGGTGTTTTCTCAAGATCAAACGGATAAGGAGGAGAGTATGAACACTGACCTTCCTATGATGCCTCTGAGTACTATTTTAAAAAGTACAAATAATTTTTCGGATGAACAAAAACTAGGGAAAGGTGGATTTGGACCTGTCTATAAGGTAGTAAATTAGGATAGATATGATATTTTACTTGTTTGATTTCTCCCCTTGCAATATTCTTAATTAGAAACTTGAAAAATATTCTAGGGTGCATTGCCGGATGGAAGACAAATTGCTGTTAAAAGGCTTTCAAAAACTTCAGTTCAAGGTGTGGAGGAATTCAAGAATGAAGTAATATTGATTGCCAAATTGCAGCATCGCAACCTTGTGAGACTGTTGGCTGGCTGCATTGAGCAAAATGAAAAGCTGCTAGTCTATGAATACATGCCAAATTCAAGCCTTGATTTCCACCTATTTGGTATGAATCCAAAACAATGATCCAGTTGTTTATTGTTTCATTTCACATAATTGAAACAAATAAACCATTTGGCGGAAGATCTTAATAAATATATTAAGTTTGAGTACAAATATTAGAAGACTAACACTCACGCAAGTGCTACCTAGTTCATATTTGCTTTGAACATAGTCATATTTCTTACTTAGCACATGTTTATGAATATAATGGTCATTTTTCTTAGAATTGCAATGCTTTGAATTTTACTGTCAGATATGGATAAGGGTGCACATCTAGACTGGAAAAACCGATTAAACATTATTAATGGGATTGCTAAAGGGCTTCTATATCTACATGAAGACTCTAGACTAAGGGTTATTCACAGAGACCTGAAAGCTAGCAACATTCTATTGGATCATGAAATGAATCCTAAAATCTCAGACTTTGGATTGGCAAGAACATTTGGAGGAGACCAGAAGCAGGCAAACACAATTAGAGTTGTTGGAACATAGTATGAACCATTTTCTTCCTTTCAATTGTGTACCAAATTCATCACATTAATATGCAACTATGAATTGCCACATGGCATCAAATTTTATTTTCTAACCTTCTTTTCTTGATGAATCTGCGTGCAACATGAGATTGATGAAGTTTACTGTTACATTGATTTTGAGCAGTGGATACATGGCTCCAGAGTATGCTATGGAAGGCTTGTTTTCAGTGAAGTCAGATGTTTTCAGCTTTGGTGTTCTTTTGCTAGAAATCATCAGTGGAAAAAGAAGCAGTAAATTCTATCTGTCAGACAAAGGCCAAAGCCTTCTCGTATATGTATGTTTCCTAACTTATGTTTAAGTTTATATATGTTTATGATATCTTGTCAAGTAACGGTTTCTGCATATATGTAATCCAATATTACTACAAAAAAAATACATATGTAATCTAATACATGATTTGGTGAAGACTAAGGATACATATATGGCCAAAAGATAATCAATGTTGCATGATAAGTGAGACCTACCAAAACTTGTGATGTCCAATAAACTTCTGTAAATTAGTTCAATTGTGTGGCTAGAAGCATTTCTCTGCTATTTAACCTTGTGCTTGTATAATTTTCTTCAATTGGTTCAAACTAAATCATATACATTTACTATCATAGGCATGGAACATCTGGTGTGAAAGCAAAGGCTTGGAATTGATGGATCCATCAATAGAAAAATCAAGTGTACATAATGAAGTTTTAAAGTGTATGCACATTGGACTATTGTGTGTGCAAGAAGATGCAGCAGATAGACCAACAATGTCCAGTGTTGTTCATATGCTTGCAAGTGACACAATGAGTCTTCCCAGCCCCACACGCCCTGCATTTTCTGTGGGAAGAGTTGTCACAGAACGAGAGTCTTCATCAAACACTTCCATGCATTACTCTGTCAATGAAATGACAGTCTCCGAAGTGATACCAAGGTGATAGATACATAAGGGATAGGATGCAAGAAATGTGTATAATTAAGTTTTTGAAACACACAAGTAATTTCTTTAGGACGATGACATCATTTTTTGGTGGGTGCATAAAAATGAGTATATTCAACTTAATTGTGTTTTTATTTTTAGTTTACCAAAATAAATTATTTTTGTTCGTCTGAACTCATCTGAAATTAGTTTAGGGTTTAGAATTAGTAATTTTGTTTTTCATCAATTTTGATTAGTCTAGTTTACCTTGTCATCTATAAAAACGAAATAAAATAGTCAATTAATATGATTTTAAAAAATATTTATATATTAAAATTAAAATAATTATTATTTAAAATGTTATATTTTTTGTGTAATTAAATGTTTTAATCAGTATTTTTATTTATCTATTATACTTAAAAAAAAATCTTTACATCAATAATAATAATTTAATTCAGTTACTAAGATAATTTTTTACTTTAGTATTACATAACGTTTTGATATTAAATTAAAACGATTGTTATAGATAGTTAGACTGTTGAAATATAATCATATTTATAAAAACTAAAATACAAGCCAAGATAAAATAAATTAACACTCAAAATATTTTTAATGAAGTGAAAAATTTCATTTATTACTTATAAGTAAATAACATGATAAAATAGTTTGAATATATTGTCCCATGTAATATTTATTCCAAAGATATTTGAATAATGCTTAAAAAGAAAAAGACTTTAAAATTATATAAAATTCATTAAAAAGTAGTTCATCAAAATAAAATATTAGTCTATCAAATGAAAATAAATGACTTATAAAAAGAAAAAGTAATGACAGTAATTTACCAATATAACCTGATGGCAACTATACGTGGCTTCTGTGCGGTTTCTCAGCACATGAATTAAAATTTGCATTACTTGTTTGATTTTAAAAATAATAATAATTTGGTTTTTATATTTTACAAAAAAAAAAGATTTTAAATTGATTTTTTAATAAAGAAAAATATGTTTGACTTTTATTAATTTATTTTTTGTCATTTTATAAAAAGATTCAAATAAGTAATTCTAAACATAAATTTTCCAGGTTGAAATTGTCATAAATTTTAATATCCAAAATTTCAGTAAAGTGAATTACACGTCATATAAATAAAAATACTAAAAAATAAATGACTGAAAAGGCAGAAATTTTATGACACATGTCAATGAACTATTGGTTTGTTCAGAAAATTCTCTCGCAGTGGGTTGTTTTCACTGATCCTTTGACTAACATGGATTGAATATTTCTTTTTCAAGTTTGGTCTTCGAGAAAGTGGAATCAACAAATTTTCATCTCATTTTTTCCGAGAAAACCCTAACCATCCCAATGTGGTATCCCAATTGCATCCCTGCACTCCAATGACGCGCCGCTGCAGTCATTCCGTGATCTGCGATTAAGATCCTATCTTCATCGATTTTGTCGGTAATTGATATCTTCGGCATTTTCTCACTCTGGTTTTCTGTAGCGGTTGAAACTTTACAATTTGATTTCTTTGTAATTCTAAATTATTTTATTTTATTTATTTTCATTTTTACATCATAATAAATTCATAAATTTAATTAATAAAAAAATTGGTGAAAAGTAAAAGAATAATTAACAACAAAAAAATAGAAGTTATTAGTGTATTTTGAACTCTACCATAGATGTACAAATACGAGCAGTAGTAACCGCATTTTTATTTTATTTTTTATAATGTGTTGTATTTTTTATAATTTGAGCTAAACATTTTCTTATTTTGATGTGTACAGGAAAGTGGACACACTTAATTAATCACATTTTTTGTGTTTTTTTAATGTGTTGAGTTTGGACAACTTGTGATTTGAGATTGAATTTGCTTTTGTTGGAAATAACTGAATATTTATGTTAATAATGTTTGATCGGAGAGGACATTGTGAGGGACATGTATGTGACTTTAAGAGGCATTTGGTGTAATTCTGCTTATCGTTTTTGGTGTTAGTTTTCAAATTGGTTCCGCTCATCCATCTCTTCATTTTGCATGTTTTATAAATTTGTCCGCAGTGTTTTATTTTTTGTACTTGATCTTATACTACCCAAGCAAAACTCTGTTTTCTAATTTTTATTTTTTTTCATTGCATTGTACTTATAAGTAATTGTTCACTAATAGACACATCTTAAAAATATACAAACCAAATAATCCAACTGTATTTTTGTGATTATTGATATAACATAATGCATTTGATGCTTTTATGATTGTTGATATTAATATAAATATGTATGGTGTTGTGAATGAAAAGTAAAATGTGTGACCAAGCTTGGATTATTACATTTGACTGAATTGAATTCTGTAGAAATGTAGCACTATGATTTGCAAAGACAAAGAAGGGATATGAGAAACAAAGGAAGGAATGTTGTGTGGTCAATTGCGATGGATAAGTGTCTGATTGAAGCCCTGGCAGCTCAGGCAAAATGTGGAAACAAAATTGACAAATGTTTCAATGAAAATGCCTACACGGCTGCCTGTGTAGCAGTAAACACTTGCTTCAACTTGAGTTTGAATAATCAGAAAGTTATCAACCGTTTGAAAACAATTAAGAAGAGGTATAAAGTAATAAAAGATATGCTAAGTCAGGAAGGTTTCTGGTGGAACCCAAATTCAAAGATGATTGAGTGTGAAAATGCTGAGCTTTGGAAGAAATACATTGCAGTAAGTAATGGTGTATTTTTCTCCATTCTTGAATGGATATGCATTTTTGTAAAATACCTATTATGGTGTTCTTTGATTCAATGAATAGGCACATCCCGATGCAAAAGGATTCCCTGGAAAGCAGATAGAGATGTATGATGAACTTAAAATTGTTTGTGGGAATTATCAGGCCCCTAATCGTTGGGCTAAGATAAAGAATGGAAGCAATCTAATGGATGTGAAGAATGGTGAGGATGAGTCAGCCTCCTTTGTTTCTCCCAGTTTAGAAGACATGAGTGAGACAGATGGAACTGAATCATACACTGCATCTCCAGAATTTGGCCAGACGCCAGATGGTTTTCAAGATCCTCCTGTGGTCCAGTCTGTAAGACAACTTCCAAAACGGCCCCGTGCCTCAGATGCTCTTCAGGATGCATTGATGACAGTGGCATCAAGCATCCGACGTTTGGCTGATGCTATGGAGCAAAGCAAATGCACATTTGATGCAAGTGAGTTATTACAGGCCGTGATGGATATAGATGGGCTGGAAGAAGGTAAACAGATGTATGCATTCGAATATTTAAATGCTGATCCTGTCAAAGCCAGAGCCTTCCTCACGTACAATGCTAGGATGAGAAAGACATACCTGTTTAGACAGTTCTGGTGGTGGAGGTGAGGTTGAAAGTTTTTGGTGTATAGATTAGCTGGGTACTGTTTCACGAGGTTTTATGTTTGAGCAATTTTTTAGTGATGTATTGTTAGGATAATTGAATGTATAGACTCTAGACAGTGATAGGAAATAGCCATATGCCAGATATATTAGAAACATTGTCCCTTCCTAGTAGCCATGGTCATTTGAAAGCAGGCAAAAAAAAGAAGATGAAATACTGTACACACGAACATGTAATGTAAGGCCAAAATATAGTGGCGGGACTACTAATAAAATGGAAAAAAAAAAAAAAAAAAATCTAATGAGTCTTATTTTAAGTATTCCACACTCATGTTGCAGTAGGCTAAGATCACATAAAAGGATAAGATTCACCAGTAATCCCCACAAGAACAATTTCCGTTCTTGAAATGATGGAACCTACGTAAATCACGCACTATAATTTCTCTCCCTGTCACGAGTGAAATGTATTTAGTGGCTTCATGGCAATCACCGCAAACTCTTAGATTCTTCCTAATGTGAATTGTTGTGCCCGGGCTTGTATTCAAAAGTCCATAAGCAATAGCAAGCCTCTCACTGTGGCTACTGACCAATTGTTGCTTCAGGTTTTCTTCTACATCGTGAATTGAATTGGTTTTGGGCACATAACCAGCAGCCTTGATCTCATCTCCAAGAGTCTCAAGAAAAGTATAGATTCTTTTGGATTGAGGATGATTGGTACTTCCCGAGTAAAATGTATGAACTTCATTTTTCATCTCCACCACACTGCAGCCTGGAGTTTTGCGGAGCCCCTTCTTCTCCATGGCTGTTCTCACCTTGGCTACTTTATCCCACATTGAATTAGAGGCATATATGTTCGCAAGCAACACATGATACCCTCCCTCATCTGGGTCTAAGTCGAATAGTTTGTCTGCAGTCTTCTCTCCGAGCTCTACATTTTTATGGATTTTGCATGCACCTAGCATTGCACCTAGGACAGAAATCCCTGGTTTGACAACCATCTCCTGGATGAAATTCCATGCATCATCCAACTGACCAGCACGACCTAGGAGATCAACCATGGCACTATAGTGATCCATAGTAGGTTCCAAGTCATAATCTTCCTTCATGCTTCTGAAGAGGAAGAGACCTTCTTCCACAAATCCCGAGTGACTACAAGCTGAAATTACAGACAAGAATGTTATATCATTTGGCTTAACAGCTCCCTTCTGCATCTCTTTGAAGAGATACAGAGCTTCTTTTCCTAGGCCATGTGTCCCATATCCATCTATCATTGCATTCCATGTTATCACATGTCTGTCTTGCATCATGTCGAATAGCTTTCTTGCAGTTTTGACGGCTCCACATTTTGCGTACATGTCAACAAGAGCAGTGGAAACAAAGACATTCTTGTCCATATAAGTTCTTATAGCGAGTCCATGAATCCACTTAGCCTGGTGGTTGACTGAGAATTCTGCATGAGCAGTAATTACTCCTACCAATGTAAAGCAATCAAGTTTAATGCCCTGAGATTGCATCATACAGAATAGATTCAAAGCCTCCTCAACACACCCGTTTTGTGCATATCCTAATATCATGGCATTCCAAGTGACATTTGTTTTCTTCTTCAAATTATTAAATATTGAGGCTGCTATATCAACTCTCTTGCATTTAGAGTACATGGATATTAACGAGTTCATAACTGACACATCAAAATCGAGTTTCAGCTGATCCAATAATTTATGAACAAACCTCCCTCCTTCAAGATCACCCAAATTAGCGCAAGCAAGTAAAGCTCCCATCACGGTAACACGCGTGGGTACCTCCCTTTCATCCAACATCTTCAGAAAAGTTGCAAAGGCATCTTCAGATTCACCATTTTGCGCATAACCATCAATCATTGTATTCCATGTAACAGCACTCTTTCTACTCATCCCCTCGAAAACCATCCTTGCAATCCTTGCAGACCCGCATTTGAAGTACATATCAAGAAGTGCATTTGAAACATTAACCAGTGATTCAAATCCTGATCTGAAAGCATAACCATGAATAGACCTTCCAATTCTCAAAGCCTTCATATCTGCAATAGCCGGTAAAACACTTACCAATGTAACAGAATCAGGCTTTTGGCCAGCTTCCTGCATTTGCAAAACCAAATGCAATGCTCTCTTGGCAAAGCCATTCTGTGCATATCCCGCAACCAATGTTGTCCAAGTAACTAAATCCTTATGTGGCATTTTTTCGAACATCTTATACGCATCATCAATCTGCCTACATTTGGCATATAAATTCACAACAGCAGTCATGGCAAACAAATTGGACCCGAACCCATTAATTATTATCTGCCCATGAATCTCTCTACCCCTTATGAGGTTCAAATTCTCTCCACACGACTGCAGCAAGCAAGCATAATCACCCTCAACTGGTCTAACCTCATCGCTGATCATCCTATTGAAGAAAGACAAGGCATCATCCAAACTTGAGTTTTTTGCATACCCTTTGAGCAAAGTGTGGTAAAGCACATCGAGCTTGTGTTCAACATGTTCAAAGACAGAAGCTGCTTCACTGGTACCGCCAAATTTGCAGAACAATCTAATAACCTTAGCCTGAAACACATGCTCATTGTAAGAACCGTTTTTGATGACAAGGGGAAGAATCTGATAAAGCTCTTTCTTTGAAGTGCAGTTTTCTAACAGTATAGCTGAAGGGTGCGTATGGCAATATTGACGGGTAGGAATGGAATTACTTTGGTAGAAAGAGGTTGCTGTTGTGGTAGTTCTGGAGCTTGTATTGGTAATTGTGTTGGACCAAAAGGGTAATGGGCATAGAGCAAAGAGCTGCAAGCTCATTCTTGCTCGAACTGTGTCACCTTTGGTTCAATCCAAAAGTACCAAGTTCTTTGGATTCATAGTACTTGCACCACTCCGTAACCAAAGAATTGAACATTACGTGCATGAAACCATGGTATTAGTCCTTGAAATTGACGTGAGTAGTGTTTGAGTTGGTTCTTGCATGCATGGGAAGAGCATCACAAATGGAGTTATTGACTTGCAAAGACTTGTTCAAGGATTAAAATTAGTCCAAATTTCGAAATCTTTTCATATCTATTTATATTTTCTTCTTTCTGTGCTTCTTTGCTTTCTTTCACGGAAATATGTGACAGCCATGCGCTGCTTCCATTGATTGATGTGATGATAATGGTGGTGCAGATCGACTGGAGTTTCGGATAGTAAACAAGGTCATCTTCAAAGTTTTTCTTTTATTTTACGATGACGTGAATACTAATAATAATAATAATTAATATAATTTTTATTTAACTTTAAATACCCATAAAATTTTTATTTATAGACCAGCCATTTTAACTACACTTTTTTATTTTTAATTATTATATTTTTCCATAATGTGTATTCTATTGTTTTTCTTAAACTATATTTTAAAATTGTCTATTTTAACAAAGTATAAAATAAAAAGATTAAAGGAAACTTTGGATAGAACAAGAAAACTTTTCAAAAATCGTTTTTAGCAACACTTCCTAAACAAAGAAAGCATACCTCCAATAAGGAGAACTTGTTAACAGGTTGATAGCTTGGCAAACCAATTTGTATGAACAAAAGACATTTGCAGACCAAGACAATACTATTAACATTTTTGTAAGATCATATTATAAATTTATTCAAATAAATATACAACTCAAGAACCCAGTGGCATTAAAAATGACACTACTCAGGAAAGCAGTAGCACAACCACTGCTAAAACTTGGCACTAGAAAGACCGTTGATGAGGTCAAAGGTTGATGCATATAATACCATTCTTCTAGGGTAGCAAATTTCACCAAGTTCTTCCATTGAAGTACTCAAGTTACTCTAGTCTAGGTCTCATGATGGAATGATGATAACTAATGTATCTATTGATTCACCAGTAATCCCTACAAGAACAGCTTCCATTCTTAAAATGATGAAACCGTCTTAAATCACGGACAATTATTTCCCTTCCAGTCACAAGTGAGATGTACTTGGTGGCTTCATGGCAATCACCACAAACTCTTAGATTCTTCCTAATGTGTATTGTCGCTCCATGGCTTGTATTCAGAAGTCCAAATGCAATGGCAAGCCTCTCACTATGGCTACTGAGCAATTGTTCCTTCACATCTTCTTCCACATCATGAATTGAATCGGTGTCGGGCACATACCCAGCAGCCTTGATCTCATCTCCAAGAGTGTCAAGGTAAGCATAGATTCTCTTGGATTGAGGATGATTAGTACTTCCTGAGTAGAATGTATGAACTTCATTTCTCAACTCAACCAAACTGCAGCCTGGTGTTTTCTGGATCCCTTTCTTCTCCATGGCTGTCCTCACCCTAGCAACCTTTTCCCACATTGAAGCAGATGCATACATGTTGGCAACCAATACATGATACCCTCCCTCATCTGGGTCTAACTCAAATAGTTCATCTGCAACTTTTTCGCCCAATTCTACATTTTTATGGATTTTGCAAGCACCTAGCATTGCACCTAGAACAGTAATTCCTGGTTTGACAGGCATATCCTGGATGAATTTCCAGGCATCATCTAGCCTGCCGGCACGACCAAGGAGATCAACCATGGCACCGTAGTGATCCATCGCAGGTTTCAAGCCATAGTTTAACTTCATGCTTTCAAAGTAGTAGAGTCCCTCTTCCACTAAACCTGAGTGACTACAAGCTGCGATAACAGAGAGAAATGTTATCTCATTTGGTTTAACAGATCCCTCCTGCATTTCATCAAAGAGATCCAGTGCTTCTTTTCCATGGCCATGTGTCCCATATCCATCTATCATTGCATTCCATGTTATCACATGTCGTTCTTCCATCATGTCGAAAAGAGCTCTTGCAGTTTGAATGGCTCCACATTTGGCATATGTGTCAACAAGTGCTGTACAAACAAAGACATTCTTGTCCATCAAAGTTCTTATAGCAAGTCCATGAATCCACTTAGCCTGACGGGTAACTGATAAATCTGCAAGAGCAGTAATTACGCTCACTAATGTAAAGGAATCGGGTTTGATGTCATGAGATTGCATCTCACAGAATAGATTTAAAGCTTCATTTACACATCCGTTCTGTGCATAACCTAATAGCATGGCATTCCATGTGACGATTGTTTTCTGTTTCAGATTACCAAACACTGAGGCCGCAATATCAACCCTCTTACACTTTGAATACATGGATATCAAAGAATTCATAACTGACACGTCAGAACCAAGTTTCTTTTCCTCTAACAATCTATGAACAAATCTCCCTCGTTCAAGATCACCTAAATTAGCACAAGCATGCAAAGCCCCCATCATACTAACATTAGTTGGTTCCACCCCTTCATCCAACATCTTCAAAAACGTTGCAAACGCTTCCTCAGATTCACCATTCTGCTCATAACCATTAATCACCGTATTCCACGAAACAACATTCCTGCTATTCATTCCCTTAAACAACAACCTCGCATTCCTTACAGACCCACATTTGAAATACATATCCAGCATCGCCGTGGCAACATTAACCATAGACTCAAACCCAGCTCTGAAAGCATAACCATGAACAGACTTTCCAATCCTCAAAGCCTTGACATCTGCCACAGCTGGCAAAACAGTGACCAACGTGATGGAATCTGGCTTCTGGCCAGCCTCCTGCATCTGCAAAACCAGCTGCACAGCCCTCCTGGCAAATCCATTCTGTGCATACCCCGCCACCACCGTGTTCCATGAAACCAAGTCCCTCTGCGGCATTCTCTCAAACATCTTGTACGCATCTTCGATTTGCCTGCACTTGGCATACAAATTCACCACAGAAGTCATGGCAAACAAATTGGACTGAAACCCATTAGTTATGACCATCCCATGAACCTCCCTCCCCCTCCTGAGGTCCAAACTCTCACCACACAGCTGTAACAAGTAGGTGAAGTCATACACCACAGGACTAACCTCATCATACCTCATCCTACCATAAAACTTCAGGGCATCATGTAAAACAGAGTTTTTCGCGTACCCTTTGAGCATGGTGTGGTAAATCACGTCGAGCTTGTGCTCCACAGGCTCAAAGACACGTGCAGCTTCAGTAATGCTGCTGAACTTGCAGAACAAGCTGATGAGCTTGGTCTGGAAGAAGTGCTCGTTGTAGAAACCGTTTTTGATGATAAGGGGAAGGATTTGGTGAAGCTCTTTGAGGGAAGTGCAGAGTTCTAAGAGTATGGCTGAAGGGTGTCTGTAGACATGGGAAGGGACGTAGATTCTTTGGTACAGAGGGATTGCTGTTGGGTTTTTTCTGGACTCTGGGTTTGTGTTGTTGGGAATTGGTGCGGGGCGTAGAGTGATGAATTGGGAACTCATTCTCCTTCGATGAGTTTCACCTTGGACGCAATGCAAACGTACCCAAGTTTTTTGGATTCATAAGAATCCAACTTGTATCTGCACATACAGATATAAAATGTAGGACACTTTTTGCTATCTGATTAAGTTTTTACTTATCCACAGGAATTCAATATATATTAACTAGTTTACAATTACAATTTCTTCTCTACTTTAATCTTCATAATCAAATTTATCTCAAATAATTATACATATCATCATCAGAATAAAACTCTAATCTTTGTATTTGTTTCTTTTTTTTTTTGTTCTTTCTCCCAGATATTTTCTTGGAGTCAAATTATTTTTGGTCACTAAACTACCTTTCTTTACGAAAATTCAAAAACTTTGTGATACACCGTGTTGCAAAAGAGTAGTCGTTGGTACTAGAATAGTTTGAAAAAGAAATTCATTTCTGTTATGATTCTAGTTTGTAAAAAAGTAGAAGATCAGACAGTTAGATTAAATTACAAGCTTACTCTCTTTATTTTTAGATGGTGACAAATTCAAACAAATCAAATGCAGGCAAAGGCACAGGATTTAGTTTTAGCAATAAGACACAAAAGACATAAGCCACTAGCAAGATGCATTTCACTGAAAAAACAAGAACCATCCATCAAGACAGCCATTATAGCAATTGTAGAAGACTTGTTATATCAAATTTGGTCATACAAAAGTCCTATAGTCTCATAAGAGGAGAGGTGACAAAATTTATAAGTGAATATGTCATTCCCTTCAAAAGGAATGTCCACATTCTCAAGCCACTAAAAGATGGAGTATTCCTACCCTTTAATGCCTGAAAGAAAAAAGAAAAGAAAAGAAAGAATCTCAACAATATTGAAATCCCTAGCCTCAATCCGCCATGTTTAAATCCAATCAACACTGATGCAGTTGAGTTGAGGCATCATGCCCCCAGAGTTCCAATCATCAAGTGAATGATGAGTTGAATGTTCTGGCTGCACTCTGACCAGAAAGCAGTGCAAGGGAAGGTGGAACTGAGAGAGTGAAAGTGCACTCGTGCTGCACGAGTATTGTCAAATTGAACAAGCTCCCGTTAGCCATACTTCTTTTATTGTGGTTGTGGTTTTGTATACACATTCCATTTGATGTTACATTTTCAGCAGCTGTATGACTGTTTGCATAAAAAACTGTTAGTCTCTGAAAGAAAGGCATTTACATTAAACATTTTGCTTTACTAATTGTATATACCTTGTTGAAACATTCCCCTTTATTCCCAAAGGAGCTAAACTTGACCTTTATTTTAAAAGATGGGGATGATACTTGTGTGGACGATGGGTAGTGTTCGAAGCAGAAGGACATGTTCTTGTAACAACCCTCTTTTATCTGGCAGTGTCATTTTGTGATTCAAGTGTAGAGACTGCAGACTCAAGCCTTAAGGATCTAGGAATATAGAGGCGGAACTATCTAACTGGAATACTTGTTGAAATCACCTTCGTTTTGTCTTGGTTGGGTTGAAACTGGAACAGATGGAAACCCTTGTAATCTCATCAGATCATTGATTTGAGCAGACTCTTCTTCTGGCTTCAACTGGGTCACTGAAGAAGATTCTTGGTTCTGAGATTTTAAAGTATCTTCTGCCTTAAGAAGATCACCTTCACAGGCAACAACTAACCTTTCAACTTCTTGCTTAGAACAATTATACCTCGTCTCCATGTCAGATATCTGCACAAGCTCCTGACTTACATCAATTTTCAAATTAGCAGTGAGTCCAACATTGGAAATACTCCTGGTGTGTGCTTCACTTGCTTCAAACAGCCAGGATACTGATTCCTCTACTTTCCCATCATTTAACATTAAGGCCAACATTGCTCGATCGGAAGAGAACCCCATTGACACTAAGAGTTGTACATGTGATTCTAGTTTCCTGGACATCAGATACCCACAACATCGGTTATGCAGGTCTTGAGCTCTCCTTTCCCTCTGGCGCTGGTGTTTTCTCTCATTCTTCAGCCGAATCTTTTCCCTTCGGTCATTGCCAGAACCCGGAACACTATCCTGCCGAATGTTTCCTACTTTCTCTTTAGGGTCTTCTGATTCACCAGAGAAGTTATCATTGTTAGAAACCAAGTCAATCTCAGACACTGTCCCTTGAAGACTACTTGGATGCTCATATGTGTCACCTATCTTTTGGAAATGGCTGTTGTCACTGGAAACTTTCGTTGTTTCCAGGGAACGATGTGTACCCGAAACTGGATTATATGCCGTAGCAGGAGTGCCATTAGTGGTTGGAGTGGTATTCCTTTGATCCTTACCAACCTTGCGTTTGGATTTCGATTTCATAGAAGGAGACATCTATTACTTTTCAACTTCTTGCTCTATTCCTGCCACATACATATAAATAAATAAAATGCCTACTTCCACCTCCAAGTACTGAAGAAAAACAAACATAAATCTGGAAAGTGGAAGAATCATTGAGAACCAAAATGGTCGAGAAGTTACACCATCAAATTTCAAAGATAACAAACATGAAATCAACCACAACTCACAAGAAACCCCAGAAGTATATGGTTAGCGTCAATAATTTCTACGGTCCTTAATTATTTTGTACAAATAGAAACAGAAGAGTGTGCGTAAGATGAAGGTGTTATCAACTTCAAACTGGTTATAACCTATGTCCCAAAGCTTTTTTACCTTCTTGGTTAAAATACAAGGCTAAGCAAAACATCAAACACATAGAATCTTGGTTAAAGTAGTTACAGAGCTTGGTTACAATCTTTCTCCTGAACAATTTAAACAAATTGATGAGATAAGCACACTTGATATCATCATTGCAGAGAACATTTGAAACTTAAAAATGGGAAAACACCTTATTAGACCAAGAGGGTTTTGAATACGTTGATACGTGAATTTCACAATTATTGTTAGAAAATGAACACATCGAGATCCTACATTAAAACCATGAAAACAGTCCCAATGGACATATTCAAGAGAGGAATGTTAAGGGCAATGGAGAACACTGTTAAAGAAGTTTAAAAAGTGTTTAATTGGAATGCATAAATATGTTATATGATTTCTTAATGCACTCCCATATGATTTCTAATAAAAAAAAATTCTTCTTTTAATTCCTTCTTTAACCAGTGTCCTAGGTCAATGGTGAAGGAGCCACTATTCCATAAATTTCTATCAACTGCATTTCACAACCATTCAAACTAATCCATCACACAATGGACATGAACAACACCCACATTTTCTTGTCTCTCCACCCTCTAAAAGCATAATCATAACAGAAATACGAATAACATCTTCAAAACCCAAACTTTTTAGTTTAATCCCATCACTCCAACCTACCAAAACATAGACTCATATTCACACACCACAAAATGAAGATACTTAAGACACCCATTAACGAACCAAATACTGAGAACAAGAAAACACAGTCAAGAGATGACAAAGTAGCTATTGTTTTACTTTATAATTATGCTAGGCGTGTTTCTTCCTTCCTTCCAATGCATAAATGTTTTCTTACTTTCATCACTGTAATTTATACTATCAAATTTCGTCAATATTCTTTTTTTATTATGTATGTCTTTCTGTTTTGATCGTGTCATAAGATACAAGTAAAATGGAGTCCAATGTGATAGTTAACCATGAATATTGAAAATAAATATTACATCAAAACAAATACTAAAATTGAATACGACTCAATCAAAAATTGGTTGAAGTTGAGCGAAACATATGAAAACTTTTTTTTTTTAATTTGGTTTAAATTATCAGAAGAAAAAGTCTTTTCAAATCCTTTTTTCTCGCAGATAAAAGATGAGAAAGAAGAAAAGCTGTTTTAATAAAAACAATTAAAAAATATAATAATATAATTACCTTAAATTTATGTGTATTTTAAAAAAATTACACTAATATATATTAATTCTAATACATAGTTATATGTTTTTCTACCTCCAAACACTATTTATGATTATAATTAAATTACTATTCATTTCTATAAAATAATAAATTATGATATTATTTTACATCATTCAATAACATATAAATGTTCTTGTAATTAAATAATGTATATGTTTTTATATAAATTATTTAATATATATATATATATATATTAAATAATTTATATAATAATTTGACAAATTTTATATTGTTTATATTTTATATTTTTTCATTTTTTTTCTCGCATCTCTATCCTAATTTGAATATTATTTAAAATTTGTTTTTTAAGAAAAAGACTCTAAACGATTTAGACTTAGTCTATCTTAACAAAGTTGTGTCCCATGAATTTCAAATTAGTGGAAATTTTAGGGTGAAATTGAATGCAAGTCAAGTTGACCTAGTTAGTACGTAGAATATTAGGGCATTTCGAATGTTTTCTTAATTTCTTTCATTTGTATTTTTGCGGCGTTAGGGTTTAATAAACAAAAAAAAAAAAATTCTTTAAAATTGAACTTAATTGATCCTTTGGGATTAGGATTGAGGACGAAACAATTTTAACATAACTCAATTATCTTTGCAATTTGATCTCTATTTTTGAAATTTGAATTTAACCTCTATTTCATTTTTTTATTTTTTTCTTTCCTTTTTTTTTGGAATATTGATTTATTCATTAACATAATATTCAATATTTCGCATGATACTCTATTGCATTTATCAAATTTGCAAAAAATATAATATAAAATAAAGCAATCCTAATTTTTTTTATAGTAATAATAAAAAATGTTTATCACCTACCTTGAATGTATGTCTTAAAAAGTTTTGCAACGAGTAGAAGTTCTATTAGAAGAAAAAAAAAATTATCACGAAGAACAAGACAAAATAATAAATAAATATTACTTTATTTTTAATTACTCATTTGAATGGTTAAAAGATAGGTGGAACTAAAGATTTGTATAATAATAATTAGTTGAAACTGATAAAATCAAATTTAAATTATTGCGTAAATTTTTTAAAAATATTTTATATTTTTGTTAATTTAAATTTAGCTTCAATTTTTTATATATCTAATTGTTCTTATCCGAGGTCGGTAAAAAGTTGCGAAGTTGAACTAAGAATATCAACTGATTCTAAGATGCAACTTCAAGATTATTAAAAGTAGTTACTTTTAAAGAGAGTAGAAATTTATCTAAAAAAATACTTTGACCCTCAAATCAGCTTTTAGATAAAAGAGTAGGACAATTGACTTATGACTAAAGATTTACTTGTGTTTGAATATCTTATACAAGACGGAAAAAATAAAAATAACCCAAAAGATATTTACTTATATAAGATATTATACAAAGTAACCTATAAAAAATATATAAAAAATAATTAATAAGATAATATATTTTAAGACGGGTAAATAAATAAAATAATTATATATATAATGATTATTTTATTTTATAATAAAAGTAATATTTTTATATTATTAAAATTGTACATTTTCTTTATTATGTATATTAGTTTATGATTAATAATTATATAATTCTTATGTTATAATTGAACCAATAAGTTAGAAATTAGTACCTCGTTTATTCGTAATTTCCCCCAATTATATATTATCACATACAATTAAAAATTTTACATGTTTATATTATTTTGTGCATAATTTTTTTTTAAGTTAATAGAGGTAGAATGAGGTAAATTGTGAATGATAGTTAGAGATATCGGTAATATAGGAAATTTTTGGTTTAATTTAATTCAATTTTTCATTAAACCATGATTCCAATCAAATACAAAAAAATATATAAAAATTAAATAAAATTTGATTTTGATTCCATCTTAATTTAATGTCAAATTTTAAATAAATAAACCTAATATTTTGTTATTCTATTGGGATTGGTTTGTATTTTTTTTATAAAATTATTAAATATGTTTTAAAAATATTATAATATTTTTTGAAAAAAAAATTTGTTAAACATTTTATAATGAAAAGTTGTCAAATAGTATGACTTATATGACTTTTATTATATTCATAATTTTAATTTATCTCATATTTATAAATAAATTGCTTAATTTTATAACTAAAAGTTACAATACAAATATATTGTCATATTTTAATAAGTATAAATATGTTACAAATTAAATAGAATAAAATTATAAAGCAACATTAATATGCTGCTGGATGGTAATTAACTCTAAAAATAAATCATTATATTTAATAATTTAGTTTAATTTGATTTGGTTTTTTATTTTCAATCCAAAATCTCAAACCAAACAATGCTGCTCAGAAAAAATGAGATAAAAATATTTAAAATTTCGATTTTGATAATTTTTTAATTTTCGATCAATTTTCAATTATTCTTTTATAATTTTGATTTTAAACACCTGTAATTTATAAAGACTCACTAAGAGAATTAGTATATAAGAAATTGTCTTCAAAGTAAATTGATTAGTTTTGTTGTCTAATTATGGACTCATACAATATTTCATACTTCATATATAATATCATACTTGATGGAAGAAACTCTTGATCATTGTAGTACTTGAACATAAATATTTCAGAATAGGGTTATAAGAAGAACATGCTTGTTCCTTCATCAACTAGGATCAAAACATGTCTCCCATCCTCCATACTTTGAGGTGAAGGTTCCACCACCATGAAGTTGCGCATATTCACATATTGCTTCTCTGGCACAATGGTCCCATGACATTGCAATATCCTTTAGTAACAAGGGTTGATTTAACCTTCTTAGACAGACCCTTAACTTCAACTTAGCTTTCATTGATAGATCCTCTAAATCCTTGCTATTCAAATTCAAAGATAGGAACAAATTAAGAATTTTGAAATTGCTTAAAAGTAGAAATAGAAGAAAAGACAATTCGATTCTCTAACCTGTCATCATCCCTTGCCATTTCATCTAAAATAACAGCTGAGGAATTTGGATAATTTGTGGGAATGTGCAACCAAAGTGGTTTGATTATTGGCTATATGATAGAGATTATAGTCAAAAAAAAAAAAAACAAATCAAGGTTATACATGAAAAAAAGAAGGTATACGTTAATTCACCTTTTTGGAAAAATCATCATGATCTGATATTGGGTTTAGATTAACTGTCACTGAATTGAAAAACAATTTGACAGTTAATCCTTCACCATGCGCAATTTGTTGTCCTTCAGCAAAAGTTGGAAATTCACTTTTCTCAATTACTACCTCGGTATCTATCAGTTGCTTGTTTATCTCCTTTATTTCTTCTAAAAGAGTATAATTTTCCTACAAGAGTTACCAATGTGAAACGTGTTACTTTCCATAAACAACCATAATATTCATGCATACTGAAGCATTTTGGAAATTTTTAAGCATGAAAATGATAAAGTGATTCAAAGTTCAGGGAACAAATGTTAAACATTTGTTTGAAAACAAATATAGTACATTGTCATTCGGGAAGTTTACCTGAACTATGCTTGAACTTGAGAAATGTTTCTCTGAATTAGCTGTTTGCATAAAATTGTCATTTATAGGGACTGCATCAAAGAAACGATTCAGTTTCCTTTCTATGGGACCAAATTTACGACGACTCAAGTATCTTGCTTGTGAATCTGTTACAAGAACTCCCTCTGAGTCTGAGTCAGTTGCCCTAATTGGTGGTCCATTCAGTGGTTCTAATGTTGACGTGTCTTCATTCAACTGAGATATTATTCCAATCTCTCCACAAGAAGCCACCAATGCTTCTGCTGATACAGAGGTCAACTACAAATAATATATCATAGTTATAGCCTATTAGTATATGTATAGATAAACCTTTATAATGAAATATACCATGCAGTAAGTTTTAATCTAACCACTTTAATCAAGTGTTGCATTGCAGGGCTTGAATCATCACAGTTGACACTATGATCTTGAAAAGTTTCTTTCACTTTACTGCAATTTTCAAGTAAGGGTGAAGCTAAAATCCCATAACTGCTGCTGATAGGTGAGCTTTCACCACTTGTTTGTTGTTGTACAACATTTCCATATCCTGGTAAATAAAAATTATCTAAAAAATGTTTGTCTTATTAGCCCTTGTATTAACATACATGATGAATATATTAACTGGTTAAAAAGAATCATACCTTGTTGTCTAACAGACTCTTCTTGTGCATGTGAAGTGCTGAATTGGTTCGTCACTTGATAAAAATTTGGCTTTGTCGAATGAGAATTATGCAGACTCAATACCTGTGTAGTTTGTTTCTTTGCAGATGTTTCTTCCACTTTCTCTGAGGATGTTCCTTCCACTTGGGAAAGCTTTGATTTTGGAGTAACAATTTTGTGCTGTTCAATAAGTTGTATGTAGTTTTCCATCCTATCTATTTTTTGCTCAAAATCAGAGGTAATTTGGTTCTTGTTGGCTTTGAAGAGAGCAAAAGTATATTCTAATGCCCGCATATGATGCTCACATTTTAGCAAGTCAGATGTCTTAGGTTGTTGTTGAATTGCCTTCAGCTTTAGTGCAATTAAAACATTCATTACACATGAAAGACAATATTCTAAATGAAATGGTTAAAATCATTATAACTTATAAAGATTATCTACCTGGTCAAATCTTTTACTCAAACCTTTGTAAAGAATATTGAGTTTTGCGCAGTATTTGCTTTTTATCATTTGAATCTGCAATGTGTCACAAACATCTTCATCTTCATGTCATATAGCTTCAACTTTGATTTTATGAACAATAACTAAATTTATACTATTATTAAGGGCTAAAATATTATCACAGCACACACCAGTATCAATGTAAATGAACAAAAAAATATAGGAAAAGAAAATTCAAAAACCAGACATGGGAAGTTCATGAGAACTTGATAAAATTTTAGAAGTGTAGATACCCCACTTGTTTTGGTAAATACTTGGACCAAGTATCAACAAAGAAAGGGAGAGGGAGATACCACAGGATAGTTGACAAATTCATTTATTTATTATCTCATACATGACTTGACATGGCCCATGCAATAAGTGTAGTAAGTGAATTTATGCATAATCCAAGTATAGATCACATGAAGGTCGTAATGTAGATTTTGAAATACTTGAACTCCTCTCTTGGAAAGGACTAATGTTCACGAAGAATGATGACCTACAAGTTAAAGGTTATATGGATGTTGATTAGGCCAATAATACCACTGACAGAAAATCATCCTTGGGACATTTCACTTTTGCTTTTTTTCTTTGAAAAAAAAAATGCTATTAAGTGTGCTTAGAATGATATAAATTGTATACAATGGTGGAGGAAATATTAAAGGATTAAAGTCACATCAAAAGAAAAATAAATTATTATGTCTAATGTTACCTTCTGATAAATTTGTTCCTGCCATTCTTTGTTTGATTCTTTTTCTGCTCCTAGAAACATAAAATTAACACATATATTTAGCCAAACTGTAAATACGTAGTGGAAAATGAACTTATATGCTTTCTTTTAGGAAATGTTATAAACACATAAGAATTATCCAATAGCCATATCCAACTATTAGGTTTATAACCTAAGACGCTGATCTTTCTCCTCATGCAAGTAAAGCACTCATATATACCTCGATTCTCAATTCCACATCTCTTCTCTCCAAATTACTGTAAGGATTCCTCAAGAAGGACTCTTTTAAGAGAAGAAGTATCAAAACAAATATCATGTCACCAACAAACTGCTATTATGTTTCTCAATATTGGTTGAAGAGAAAATAATGAAAATATAAGGGTTATTACAGGGTTTTGAACTTGTAAGCACTTTATATCGGTATTAAAGGGGGACTTTTCCACAATGGTAGACGTTAATTTCTTACATTGTGATACTAGTAGCAATATTGTTTCAAGTTTCTTCGATTATTGGTAGGTATAAACACAGAAAGGTCATCGCTTAAAAATTTGTTAGAGTCAGTGAATCACAGATTAGCAACATGTAAAGGAAAGAAAATGTCTTCGAGTGGTTTTATTATGCTGGTAAACTATTTTATGTAGTCTATCTATATATCATCTTTCTTTAAAATTCCAAAGAAGATCAAAAGATTTTACAGAACTTGTTTATGATCTAATTGGGTATGACTCTCATAACCTTACATGGATTATTTGCTAGCACAAAATATGGTCATTCCATCTCAAACTGTCCTCATGTGAATCTATGTGTGAGAGTGACCAACAAAGGAGTTAAAAAAAGAAACAAAAAAAAAAAAGTAGGAATAAAGAATGGCGAAAAAGGAACCAAGAAACTTTCATTTCAGAAAAAGGTCTTATCCATATTTCTATGATTTTTAGGCAGAAAAATGACATTGAAAGAAAGAAATCATCAATCCTAGAGTTCTTGGTATGATTTAGAGAGAGCCTCGTTAATCATAGTCATATGTTTAAGGATTACAAGGTAAAAACAAGAAAAAAAAAAAAAAAGGCATGAGATACTCTTCAAGAAGAGTACAAAAAAATTTAGAGGCAAGGACAGTCAAGCTTCAATATCTTAAGATTTTGAGAATGAAAAAGTAAAGAAAAGAAAAGTTTTAATGAATACTTCAATAGATTTATTGAATTGTTATATCATCAAATGAATCACATGAAAAATAATCAATGAATTTTGATAAAATTTTAATTAGTTTGACTAATGCTATGGCTGTTTTCATAGAATAAATTAAGGACTTGTAAATCAATGGCTATCTAGGGCTATGAGGTCACATAGGAGGAGTGTTAAATTAATGAACAGTAAAACTTTTCTTTATTATAGTTATTATGTTTTACTTGTTTCAATTTGTGTTAACGGTATTGATCAATCATGAATTTATCTTAATTATGGTCAAATTTGTATTCTAAATATAGTAAGTACAAGATATTATGTATTTAACCTAAAATATGGATTTTAGTACGTAGAAAAATCTAAGAATAGCTCTATTTCTCTTTATCATTCTTTTTTTTTTATGTTATGATTATGTTTTATGTTTGTATGATTAAAACTATCATCATTTAAACAAATGTTATTAAGTAACTTAATTACATTGGATTTACGTAATAGCCTTTAACTTATGATTGTGTCACCCCAATACAAGATCCATCCACATCTTTAGCCATTCACACTATGTATTTAAATTAATTTATTAATTTATATACACTTTTGAATAATTTTTAAAGGCTTAGAATAATTCCACTAAAATATAACCTAAACAAAGAATTAATTGATATTTGTAAATTGAGCATAGAAAACTTCACCTGAACCGGAACCTTTTGAGGACAAAAGATTGGATTCATTACTTGGAAGTGGTGCCCTTATTTCCTTCGTCTTTGCTGATATCCTTCTAATGTATTCAGTCTACAAACATAAATATTTGCAGTAAGTAAAATGTTGACTTTTTAACAAATAAATAAATAAATATATATATATATATATATATATATATATATATATATATATATATATATATAAGTATATGACACTATATAGTCGTCGTATTTATATATAACCTAGTTCACTGGTATAATAAATTTAAGTGTATAATAATAACATGATTTTCCATCATATATATAAATGAACAAAAAAAATAAAATCCAATAACATGAGACATGTAATAAATTAAGGTACCTCATCCTTGGCTGATTCAAACACCTCTTCCTCAAATTTTTCGACAGACTTCAGAAGGTGAGGAACTTTATGTGACCAAGAGAGAGGATCTCGCTGGATATAATATTCAGCACTGTAAAAATCAATATTTCAAGTAATTAGGTTAGAGAAGAAGCTTGAGAAACTTAAACGAAGTTTACAAAAATTAAACTAGAAAAACAAAAGCAAAAATGAAGTCACTCATTAAAATACAGTCTAATATTAGAGGTAAATAAGATGAAACTTTCATTAGACAAAAAAATTCAAGTTTCTTAAGGTTAGTTTTGTTCTTTTCTATCACTCATTTATACCAAGTAATTCTAGACAAGTGAATACTAACAAATAGGACTCAAATTCATATGGGTGCCTGAAAATAAAATTATTCTTGCCACAAACTTGCTTAGCAATTGGAAGGACACTAGCTACTATACTTAGATATTAGTTGATTGCAGCACATAATAAAGAAATGACTATGTTCCTACATTTGAAGAAGAAAAAGGGAAGAATAGTCACCTTTAAAGGACAAAAAAGAAGTTGGAAGAATAAGTATATATTATTTAAGATCTAATTAGCAATGTTTTTTTTAGAATATCTTAAACATGTGAGAGGATTGTTAGTAATGTCATCAAGAATAATTTTCTTTGAGAAGCATGCATGAAGGACAAACAAGTAAAAGAGTATTTTAAAATTAAAAATATTATTTTTACATAAAATACAATTTTTCAACTCCACCACCACCCCACCAAAATGGTGTTGTTGAAAACAAACCTATAGTTTTACAATAAATGGTAAAAATCATGTTAAATGTCAACTTAACTTCAAAACACTTAAGGGTTGGGATAATAAATATAACATGTTATTTATAAAATAGGATTTATATAAAACCTTTTTGCTTAAAGAGACTCCTTATAAATTATCAAATAATAGGAAGTCTAATCTATCTTATTTTTATTTTTTTTATAGTCAATATTTCATCTTAATCATTAAGTAGAAATTTTTATATAAAAAGTGACGAAAGAATTTTATTTAGATACTAATTTTTTTTTCTAAGGTTTATAAAGTCTACAACTCTATAATATTTTATATTAAAAGAGACTATTGTTAGATTTGATGACTACAACCTTGATAATAAAAAAAATATATGTCACAACAAGATATCACATCAATTATTAAAAAAAAATCGATATAAAAAATGACATGATGGCAAAATTATAAATAATTGGTACTTTCTACATTGATTCTTCTAGTAATTGATAATGTATACAAATATCACATTGATTTTAATCTAAACTACATCGGTTGATTCAATAATTGAGGCTGAGACTCTCGTACCATACGTAAAGCATTAAGCCAGGATTTTGCAGAATGATATTGACGTTTTGTGTTTCTATTAGTTGTGCAGTGATGTTAAAGGTATGGAAGGACACAACGAGGGATGACACTCAAAATGAGGGAAATTAGGGAGTGAAGGTGATCCATAAGAGCAACATGGTAATGAGTTTCAAAAACAAGCTTCATATTTGGTGGAAGAAACAACAATGGTAAGGATTGTGTCGAAAGTCCTACATCACCTACCTCGTGTCATTTGGTATGGTTTAAATACATGTTAGACTATTCCACATATTGTCAATGAGTTTTATGTTAGAATCTTAATATGGTATCAGAGTTAAAACCTAACATCTTTCTGATTATTGTCATGGGCCAAAAGTTACTTTAGTTAGGTTAAAAGTACTATTTGTTTTATCTGGCAGACTTCGTTAGAGGAAACATGTTGAAAGTCACACGTCGCCTACCTCGTATTATTTGGTATAATTTGAATACATGTTAGACTACTCCACATATTGTCAATTGATTTTATATTGGAACTTTAACAGATTAAATCATGATTTTCTTTTCATACCTTAGTTCAAACCATAATTGATGTAGTTTATGTAGGCAAATTTCTACTTCATCTAATTCTAATTCTACATTGGTTACTAAACCAATATAAAATGCCTTAAATAACCAATGTAAAAAGATATTTTCCTACTAGTGTTTTTCATATATACAACTATAACCTAGAAGAAGAATGACTAAAACAATCAAGCAAAAACATTTTTCAATGCACCAAACAATCCATTGAAAAATAAAGGAATAATTTAGAACAAATCACCTTTGGACAAAGGACCATCCAACAAAAATAATCCTTAGAACATCAAAACTAGATCATTCCATCACGAACAATTTACTCTCGTCTTAAGAATAGATCCTAAGATGCTCAACAAAGCATTAGATGATGTGCTTTGGATTAAACAATGCAAGAGTTAGACCAAGATAATGTTGTTTGGAAGCCATGGAGTTGAACAAAGACAAGAATGTTGTATGAACTAAACGAGTCTTGCAAGACTAGGATTTTTGTCAAATATTACTTGTAATAAGAACATACACAGATATTTGTGCACTTGTTCCAAAACTTGAAGTTATAAGCATTTGGCTTTCATTTCATGTCTCAACGAAATAAAGTTATATCAAATGGATGGAAAAAATAATTTGCTCAATAATGGTGACATCAATGAAGAATTTTGTGAAACAACCCACTCAGTTTGAGAGTTTGATGTTTCCTCACAATGTTTAAAAAATAAAACAATGTCCTTTATAGGTTAAAGCTTGATATAAAATACTAAGTTTATTTTTAATCAAAAATAATGATTTTTCAAGAGGAAAGATCTTATAAGTTAGATTTTCTATTGTTCAAATCTATATTGATAATATTAATTTTTTTTTCTACTTATGCATCCCTATGTGAGGATTTTTTTTCAGGTTAATGCATATTGAGTTTTTAATTATTGTAAAGTCAGAAAATAGTCAAAGAAGTTATAAAAGCAGTGAATAGAAAGAGAATTCAACTTCTTCCTAAAACTCTAGATCAAGAAAATGAAGGAGAAACATTCACACACCAGACGAAGTACATGAACGAGTTTCTAAAGAAATGAAGACTATCTTGCATCTAAATACTTGTATAGGATTAGATGAGGAATCAAAGAAGACAAGTGATTTGTTCACTTCTTTTTTACATCATTTAGACCTAACATCATGTTTACGAATTATTGTTTCTATTTCATTCGAGACAACCTCGTCTCATGGGTCAACAAGAAGTAGGAAATTAGAGTCTTATCATCAGCAGAAACTGAATAATATCAGTTGTCACCTATTATATATAAAGAATAAGGTAGATAATGATAATATTATAAGAAGTGTTTGTCACCAATCTTACATGAAAATGGAGTTACCATGGTTCTTTGGAGAGGTTTTTGTTCTATCATGTGAAACTTATACCATAATTCTTTAAGAAGGAAGCTTCGTGACTTGTATTTTCAACATATGTGACTACATTAATCACATCAATCTTTCTTCCTCCAATATACTTATTCAATGTGATTAGTTAATGGGTTTGTCTATGTTTAATTCTTATTATTTCATAATAAATGATAATATTGTCAAGGATCAAAATCCTACCATTAAATATATTCTTAATTTGATTAGCTATATATCATGTGCATATAATTGTTTGTTCAATATTTTATTTTATTTATTTTAATATAATACTAAAATTGTAACTAATAATATATATTTAAAGGTATAGGAAAATTTATTTATGGGTTGGTGTAGTGTTGGATACATGACCAAAACAATGGATATGAATGAAATTAAAAAAAAAAAAACGATTTCAATATATCAAACTATTTAATTAATGTTATTATCATCAACCATTAGTAAATTTTTTGTAAATAAATGCTTACATCTTCTTCACCATCATATTACGACGATCTTTAGATTTCCATCCATTAGCCTCGGTAGTGGTCGTATTTGAAAGTGGTCTCTTTCTGTTTGTGTCCATATTGCATGCAAAGGATAATCGATATTTCTCTGAAAAGTTCATCAAAATATGTGACATATATACGAATAAACATATACCCTAAATCTACACTCTTGATTTACCCTAGAATCTATCAAACTTTTCACTAAACGTTATTGAGTTAGATTACCATAATAATCAACCGTTCACCACCAAAGTTTAAATTCACACCCATTAAAAAAAATTGAGAATTTTATATTCTGTATCATTTCTTTCAACTTCAAACCCTAAAAACCCAAAAAAAAAATAAAAAAATCTAAAACCCTTACCACAAGAAAAATTTAATATATGCTTATTAACTTACTCGCAATCACTTCAATTATTTTCCCTCGAATTAAGCACCAAAGAATAAATAATCAACAAATTACATAGATGAAGAAATTCACTATAAATAAATCACAAAAAACTTAGAAAGACACGTAACTATTGATACCTGTTACTGCTCAAAGTAAGAGAGATGTAAGGAAGTTGTAAAGCTTCGTAAAATGTTAGAGATCTTTATACTGTATACAGCCAAGAAACAACCATTTCCTCCGCGTTGCGTAAGAAAAAACATCTATTCATCAGTTTAATATTATAATAATCATAAAATTTTTTATGAAAAATTATTATTATTATATTATTATTATTATTAATTAAATTTGTTAAATAAATATATATTAAAAAGGTGAGTTGTCAATTAATTTTCTCCATTTACATAAATGCGTTACTTTGTAGACTTTCTCAGAAAGATTAAACAAAACACGTCACATTTAAGTTAAAGTTAAAGGTAACATTAAATAATTACAAAACATTAATGTTATATGTTTGTTATGGAGAAAAAAAATGTTTCATTGTATATTTTGAAAATTTTATATTAAACCTCTGTTGAAAAACTAAAGAACCCGTGAAGTATTTGGTTGACATAAACACCAAGTTGGAAAAATTGTAAAAAAAATAGTCAAAAATATGAGAGAAAAAAATTCAAAAAAATCACTTTAAGACTGACACAAACTTGTTCATAATAGGTCAATAAAAAAAAATTCATTCTCATTTTTTATATTTTTATAGACAAATTTGTTTTGTAATTAAAATAAAATTGAAAAAAATATTAATAACTAATGTTTGTCAATTTAAGCTACTATTTTTTTAAATTATATAGATATAATTATAATTTAAACTAAATATGGATTAAAATGCTTAAAAAAACTTAAAATTGGTAGTTTTTGTGCATATTTTTAAATTATAAGATGTGCAATTAATTATTGCATTTATTAATTACAATGTATAATTAAATTAAATATTTAGGAATTATATTTCTTAACTTTATATATAGTTGATTAGGACTGTTATTACTGAAAAAAATATTACCAGTTTAATATAAATCATATATTAAAATATATAATAAAATTTTCTTTAATACTAATTTTAATTTATTATTTATATTTGACTGTAAATTAGTATTATATGATTATATTTATTAAATTTATTATGATTAATTACATATTCTTTAACTATAATATATTTATCATATACAAATTTAATAAGAATGCTAACATTTCATTGCTAAAATAATATTTTATTTACACTACAATAATATAATTAATCAGCATCCACAATTTAAACTTGATATTAAACTAGTTAATGTTAATAATGTCAGTTACATTGACACTAAACTCTCATTATAAATTAAAAAAATAATTAAATAGCTAAGACCAACCTAAAATTCATAAATTTTAAAATTAAATAAATTTTTTTAACTCATGTTTTTAAAAATATTATGTGACAATGTATAAGTGGTTTAAATTGTGTGGAAGTATTTTAATCATGTTTTATGAAATATATATATATATATATATATATATATATATATATATATATATATATATATATATATATATATATGGATTATTAACGAAAATTCATCCCAAAATTGTCTTTTCTTTTTCAGCTATCAGAAAAGAAAACACTAAAAAAAAAGAAAAAAACAGATTAAACAAAATAAAATAATTTATTCATTTGAAAAAAAATATTATTTTAAAAAGGTAATAAATTAAATATTTATTTAATTACAAAATCACACACAATTATTAATCATCTTTGTTTTAAAAAAATAACTTTTCAAATTTAAACATTTAAATTAATATCTTAATTTCTATAATGGTACATATTTTTATATATAATTATAAAATTTTAAAATTAAATTAATAAAACAATATTATATTAAAAATTAAAATATATTAAATTATTCATTTGATTTTATATTTATTTTTATCAATCAAAATATTAAAATTTGATTTTTATTTTTTATTTTTTCTACTTTTCTTTAAATTAATGATTTTATGGTTTTTTTTTTCAATGTACCTATAATATAACATTAATAATTACTTAGGTATTCTTTTTATATCATACTGATATATATGACATTAATTAATATGTATTTTACATTAAAATTTAATATTTTAACAGTGACATTGAAAATAAACTGCAAATTAAAAAAATAAAAAAATAAAATATAATTGCATTTAAAAAAATATAATTTGATATCAAAAATATCATAATATCAAGAAAAAAAAAGTAGTGACCAACTAAACAAAAACATTGATAATTACTCATATTAAAAACAAGAAGAAAATTAAAGTTTAAGTGATAAATCAATCTCATCTGAAGAGTTAGGACTTGAGATTTCTTCTTTCCTGGAGTGATCTTTGTTGTTCTCAGTATTCAATGGAGTGGAGTTTGATTTGGTAGCAACATTTGTAAGAGATTCTCTGATGAAGAATGGAATATTATGTCTGGTAGTACCAGGATCATCTTGTGTCTTTGAAGGTGTGTCACTCCCCATTATTCTAATTCCATTATTACTTCGTTGCAAACCATGAGAAGAAGGACGTAACATTTCCTGTCTTGACAATCCTTGACCAAACCTTAAACCTGGTGAGGATGAAGGGTATGCAGGTTTGTGAATCATGGACTCCATTCGAACGCCAAGAGCCCTATTATAAGATCCATAAAAAGAGTGTGTGGGATAAGGATAATACAGAATATGAGGGTTTCCAAAACCACCACCATCAATCCCTTGGCGACGTTTTGCAAGAGCACGTTCTTGTTTATGTGCGTTTTGGTGTCCTCCCAAGGCTTGTGAAGAAGAAAACTCTTTCTTACAGAAGTTGCAAGAGAATACTTTAGCCTCAGACGATTTTTCCTCATTGTTGTTCTCATATCTGGCTTGAGTCTGGTTTACCCTAGAAGATGAACCTCCCACTTGAGTGTGATTTACCCTAGAAGATGAACCTCCCACATTGGTGGAATTGAAAAAATCCAATTCCACTTTTGACCCACAATTTGACTCATCATTGAGAAGCTTAACAAAATCCAACACCATATGAGATTTGGAATTAGAAGCTTGATGTTCTTCAAATCTGATACCTTTCTCCTTTATCGTTGTCACCTCGTTGTTCTTCTTTTCCTCAATCATAGGTTTACGACAAATGTCGTCTGAGGGAACAGAGATACTAGAGGTTTCAGATGAATAACCTTCCAAATTGTGTGATGATGCCATGACACAAATTGAAAAGAAAAAAACCCAAAAAAAAAAAAAAACTCTTCACTTTTTTGAATTTGTGGGAGTGATTGAATAGAGAGAGGCATGACTATGGTTATTTATTTAAAGATTTGTTATAAAGCAAATATATTTATGAATAAGGAATGAGATCTCATCATGCCTTTTGCAGTTACTGTTTTGAAAATGCTACTAAAAATTTGAAAAGGTATGAGCAAGTTTGTGACCAATTTGTGCATGATTTTTGCATAAATAAAGATTCCTAATTTGGTTTTAACTACACCTTATAGTGTGTCTATTTATTAAAGTAGTTTAAATCATCCCATAATTGATATTTGACTAATTATTTAAATAGTTTCTACATAGTTCAAGTTTCAAGTCAAAACGTGTAGCAAAATTGTAAATTAAAAATTTATTGTTAAAGTAAAATTAGGAGAGAAATTTCTGTGGTAGAAAGATTAAAACATGGAAGAAATTTTGGAATATAAATTTATATTTATTATTGTTCTATATGTTTTTTTTCTAATGTGGTGAATAATTACTTGGATAATTCAAATCTTTTGGGGGCATGAACGTGGATAATTAATCAAATAATATACCATCTCTACTTCTATGTAGTTCAAATTTGATGTCAAATAAAAAATGGAAAGTTTGAAATTACTTGTTAATTAAAATTACTCGCACATTCAAGAGCTTTTCTGGTGGAGAAATTAATGGAAATAATTATATGATGTGATTATGACTTCATTAATGCTTGATATGGTGATAACACAATCCCATGATTTCCTACAAATTTAAAAAAATTAATTTCAAATATTTTTTAACTGTAGTTTATGTAAGGAAACCCAAGTTGAATTACCTCGCAAGCCATATATTAAACTAGTAAATTTCATATTATAACATGTTCAAATTATGACTTAGGTTTTACATTTTTATTGGCCCTAATAATAATAATAATATCAGTAACATTCTTGTCATGGAAGTTAACTTTCATTAAGGACATTGATGCACAAAATTTCTAAGAATCCTAATTTGTAAATTTTAGTTTCAATCACTCATTCACATTAAATTACAATAATGTTCTTGCCATATTATATAAAACTCCATTTTCAATCTAATACTTTTGACACACCAAATTTTAGTGCTCTAATTTGTAAATCATCAATATTCCTATTTTTTTTAATAATATTCTTCACATATTTAAGGATTTTTTTATGAACGACACAAAATTGTGTAACATAAAATAAAAATAAAAATTAGACTATCCAAATTTATCAAATCTTAAATAATTAATAAAATAAATCTCGCATGTTGTCAATAATGCTAAATCTTGATAAATGTTCTATGATTAAATATTAAGAAATAACGAATATATATATATATAAAAGCTCTCGGTTTTTTCTTAATATTTAATTATAAAATATTTTTCAAGGTTTAATATTATTGACAATATATATATATATATATATATATATATATATATATATATATATATATTTATTTTTAAAAATTTGTGATTACTTAAATAAAATTATGATTTTTTTAAAATACTTGTTACATAAAAATTAAGGATGTTATAAATCTAGACTAATAATGTTGATATGGGTTGTGTGATTATTTGTTCTTAATTAATCAAAATATTGTTCTTAATGGATCTAGAAATTCATGGAAATCAAAATAATTAATTAATTTTCAACTATTTGTGTGTAGGTGATATTTTAAAAATATCTAAATAATTTTCATAATTGTAATTGATTATCTTTTATAATAATTAATTATGAGTTAAAGATAAACTATTATTTAATTGTATAAACATATCAAGATAATCAATTATATTATTCTTTGATTTTAATTAAATAAATCTTGACTTTTTTTCTCCTTGCTGAAGTAATAATAATATTATTTGCATTTAAATATAAAGAATATTAGTGAATTTAAATATCCGTAATAATATTTCATGACATTATTTTAAAATATCCAGTTATGGAGATGTTATTTCTGATTAATTATTTTTCTTTTTAATTTTGAATGAAATATATTTTAAGAAAAAAGTTTTTAAATAAAATAATAGAATCAAATGATATTAATTTAATTTATTAATGTAACATTAGTTCATTTTTGTTATAATTAGATCCGGTACCAAATAAATATTTTTCCCAAAAAAATAATTTTACATGGATTAAATTTTTAAAGAAGTTAGCAATATTAGTTGTGTACTATACAAATTAAATCTCATAATACAAATTTAAAAAATAAAAATAAATTTAAAATAATATTTTAAAATAATAATAATAATAATAATAATAATAATCCAATTACGAGATCTGATTTCAACGTCAAAGTCGCTGTTTATGACATCGAAACATTCTTTAACAACTTATGTCTGGAGCTCATAAATTTTGTTGCCAGGTGTTATGCATCGATTGGTCCGTCGGAACCGTTCCCTCACAGCCGTATGACGTTGCGGTTTCCTTCCATCGTCATCACAAAATGTTTCTTTGTTTTCATTTCCTTCGTCAAACTCGTACGGACGGATATTCCGCTGAATCAATACCTCGTTGGTTTCAGAGACAGGCACCTTCGGATCTGAGACGAGGCGAGATCGCCACGCTTCCTTTTATTTTGTCTTCCGCTTCGTGGTTTCCTATTCTCAGCTTCCAGTTTTTCTTCTTCTCCTTCTTTGATTTTTGGGGTTTCGTTCCTCTGTGTGTGACTCCTGATTCGATTCCATGAGGAAGAAGCTCGACACCCGTTTCCCCGCTGTAAGTAATTTTTCACTTTTAAGCCATCAAAATTTCTTCTTTGCGTGTGACTGTGCTATTTGGGGTCTCGGAAAACTCTGGAAAGTGGAAGTAATGTATTTTCCGACTTCAATTAAGTGTTCCTCATTTGGGTTTATGGTAATTTGGAGTTTCTGGGATGGGGGATGTGGGGTTTAATTAATTGGGTAAACTTTAATTCAGTGTAATTTCTTGGAATTTCTTTGTTTGTGGTTGGTAGTTGAATTTGATAATTTAGTATACTTTGAGTTTTAGTTCTGGGGTATGTCGTTGTGTTTAATGCTTAGAGGGAGGGTTTTGTCGTCTCTCGTGGATAATAGCTGTGGCGACGTACCAAAATGGGGTTTATACTCAAGAGGGGTGAATTGGAGATTTGTGATGTTAATGTTGGGTGCTGGCGTAGTTTGGGTTATGCGAATGTTGTTAGTGATGGTTGTGTGAGTGGAGATCTATGATGATAGCTTCTTTCATGATTTTACTGAAGCAAAGATCTCTTTATTAAATAATCTGTAAAGTATGTTTGTACACATGTATGGGAACGTGATTTTTTAGTACAAGTTTATACTGTATTTATAGGCTAATGATATTCCTTGGATATAATCTTTATTATCATGAAGACTTGAAGTGCTCTAGAAGATTTATCTAAATGGTTATGCCTTTCATACCCAATTACATTATTTTTCAAGTACATAGTGACATGATATTTTTAGTCTTATTCACTGTTCTTAGGTAATGTTGCTTTCCTCAAGATTGTTTTGAGCTAACTTCTGAAGCTTTTAGCATGTAGGCTGATTTGATAACTTCCTTTGACAGCATGATATATATGATAATCAGTCTTTTAAAACAAGGCTTGGAGAAAACTGATCTGATTGAACAAAATTTTTTAATTTACTACCTTTGTGTTATAACTTTATCTTGATTTGTGCAATATATCCTTGAGCACCTACTACACGAATAGCTTTGTTGGGCACCTAACTGCACAACTCCTCACGCTGGCAAGCTTGCAGCAGCTTTCTCCAACAACTTCTCACTTGCTAAGTGAATTTTAAATAAAAGTAAAGGCTAAATTTAATTCTTTAGGTATCAAACCAAAAGACCTGGGCTATCTATAATTTCTCAACTTACCACCATGACACTAATTGTTTATGTGGCACAAATAATATATTATGTGCCTTTCATCTGTACATGCGATTCCACCATGCACTGGTTTGACCAGTAACATTAACTCAGTACCTCTACCAAGTTGTCGACTGGTCCAATTTTTAAAACATTGATCATAATGCAATTATTCTTTAAGGGCATATACTTGCTGGGATAAACTCTGATATTATATTAGAAAATGGATTTAGCCTAACTAAATCCTATAAAGTAGGATTGTAATGTGAGGTTTACATTTCACTTTTAGACTATAGGAATTTTCAACACTCTGAAATGGGAACTAAGTTTTGAGTTGAACCATAACGCTCTTAACCAATAGGAGTGTTATTACAAATCAATTCTTCTTCTTTTTTGTTCCATTATTTAATTTAAGGATAAGATATTTTAAAGGAATGCTTTATCTGATGGAAACAATAATTTCCAGGCTCGGATAAAGAAGATAATGCAAGCAGATGAAGATGTTGGAAAGATAGCATTGGCAGTTCCTGTTTTAGTATGTAAGTTGCTTTTACATTCTACCTAGTCAGTACCTGGCCACAGCTTGGTCTGTTCTCTCACATTTTGTTGACTTCACTCCTCAATTTTTTACAGCTAAAGCTCTCGAGTTATTTTTACAAGACCTCTGTGACCGGACTTATGAAATAACTCTTCAGAGAGGAGCAAAGACCATGAATGCATTGCATTTGTAAGTCAGTGAGTATTTTAATTTAAATTTGTTTTTACTTCAATTAACCTTTTGGATGGAAGTGTGTCCATTTGTGGACGTATTTTTACCTGCGCTGAAATTTGTTTTAATTTTTTTAAGGTGTGTTTTAATTATTAAACACTGAGGTAGCAAAATTCCTACTCCTCATCACTTGGTTAAAGATGCTAAAGTTCTGTGTTACATATGACTTACTATATGGTACATTAGTATTATATCTCTCAACTGATTTCATGTGATAATTTATTGATTTTGATAACTCCATTGAAATCTGCTTTTGATCTGAAAAATTTATTTAACATGGGTCCTTTTGTTCAACCAAAATAAGCACATGTCCGTCTAATGTTGATGAGCTTAATTTCTCATTTGGTCTTGTCTGTTAGGTAAATTGGCTCATAGGCTGTAGCTCATGCAGCAAGTAATCCCTTTGTTGGGCAACCAATTAACATCATCAGTTTTAGATGAAATGGTTATTCCTTTTAGCAACAATGGAGTTTCTTAACCACACATAGCATGAAAAGAGGACATTTGTGTTGAAGCACTATAGTTCATGTTAAACCAAAATTCAGCCCAAGCTAAGTGAAGGGGGTCAATGTTTTGGCTTTATTCCAGTCAAACGCCATAACTATGCCTCCAGACATTAATTAGCTACATCCATTTACCTATCCATTCAGGGACTGGGTGGTTCTCATATGAAGTTTGGTGCCTTCCCTCCAAACAATTCTTTCCAAAAGTTACTCAAGAAAATCTGGTCTTTATCAGATACAATTGAGGACAGAAATCTATGCAATTAACCACCTGTTCAGCTGAAAATGGATGACCTAAAGGGAAAAAATGTACAAAAATTGTTACTCTGTCCACCACTACAAAAATAGTATCCTTGCCTTGTAAAATAGGTGACTTCATCATTAAGCTTTCAAATTTACTTATGACTTGTTGTTCTTTTGTATCTTGTGCTATATTTGAACTTAGTTTGACTTGTCTTTGTGACTCCTTGTTAACTGAAAACCCTGAGTAGATGATATGATAGCACTATAACCAACCGTTGGAGTTACAAGTTCTCTTTCTCTGATGTCTCTCTCACATTGTTAAATTAAACTATATAATATTTGAACCTGTTTAATTTTGACATTATATCAATTCTCTTTCCTGTTTCTCCATCTGATTTATATATAGAGTATACAGCACGTGTAGTCTAACCAGTGGTAAATGTAAATTGCAGAAAACATTGTGTACAAAGTTATAATGTCTTCGACTTTCTGAGAGACATTGTCAGCAGGGTTCCTGACTATGGGCATGGACATGGCCATTCTGAGACTGGACCTGATGACCGTGCCCTTTCAAAAAGAAGGTTTGAAGTTCAATAGCCTTTATCTTTTTCCCTTATAACGTATGATTTAACCATCCATTTAAGTAATTGATGCATAAGAATGCTACATTCTACCAGGAAAGCTGCTGGTGATGAAGGCAATGAAAGTGATGAAGAGGCTAAGAGGAGTAAGATGGTAATTTCACTTTCATGAAAACTGGGATAATACATGATTTGTTATATTTCTTAAATAATGGTAAAGTGTCACACAATGACAATGGTGCGAGAATCGTTACATTTACACTTTCTCTTAACTCCTTGCATCAAATGATTTCTGTTAATTCTACCATTGAATTATATCTAGTTATCATGTTGGAGCTCCACTGCATTCTAAATTTTTAATCATTACAAGTATGTGGTATTAAGCTGATATTTTTGTTTTGTTTTGTTATTAATATTTTTCTTTAGAAGTTATTCTTGGGAAGAAGGGAAATTTTTTCTTTTGTGTAAAACGGTCTACTCTTGAACTTCTATTGTTTTGGTCAATAACATTTTTCATTTTATTGTAGCGTGAGTTGGGCCACACTGGCACTCCTGGTAGGGGAAGAGGTCGAGGTAGAGGAAGAGGAAGAGGCCGAGGGGCTCGAACTGTTGAAAGAGACATCTGTCATCAGCAGGTTGAATCTGAGCCTTGCTCCTCTATTCAACAAATTAGCAATGATGTTCCTAACGCAAGTATGCCAATAGATAATGGTGTGCAATCCAAGGAGTTTCCAAAGGAGAACTGTGCAGTTCATGAGGAAAGTGCTCAATCTTTCCGTAACATTGATCTGAATGCTAACATAAATGAAAACGAAGACAAAAATGCAAGCGCGGATGTTGAGGCTTCATTGCCTGAGCCTTCTGCCATGGACATTAAACATGAAGAAATTCCAGGATGGTCCCTATCTGATGTGGACAAGATGACCATTGACACAATGCAACTTGCAAATCTTGGTAGTCGAGTAGAAGAGGACGATGAAGATTATGATGAGGAAGGGTAAAAGCGTACACCTTGGAAGATTAACTTTGCAGGAAGCTCGCGGGAACAGAAGAATAACTACTTATTAGTAGTACTATATTGACTATCCTCTAGTAATCACTGTATGTGTCCCATGCTAAGTATCTGATGACCCCTCTCTTTATCTGGTATGTATCTGTTCTCGTGCACAGCAGATGTAAAGTTTTTTTCTTCCTTAATTGTAATGTTAGCATCATGCACTTCTAGGATTTAAACGAGTGTTGTTAGTTGATAACCACCTTACTAGTTCAGGATCAAACTCTTGGTATACCTGGGTCACTAGTTGATTTCTTTATGTTGGATTATCAAGATATTTGTTAACTGATAGAATAGTTTTCTAGTTCTCTGTTCCTCAAGTGGAGAGCAAAAGTATCTCTATGGATGTCAACTACATCAAAAAGCAATGAAAGAAAAACAATTATCTAATTGCTGGAGAATATCTTCCTTAGGTATGTTTGTCTCTGAAGTTTTGGTGGAAAGGAAGGGTGAAGTTTTCATATCTTATAAGTATACTCTAATTTGGTAATTTTGGAAAGAAATATAATGATAAATTAGCCTAAACTTAATATTTTAATCTCTTGTTTTTCAAGAAACACTATCACTCTTAGCTCTAGAAGAAGTTGTATTCCTTTCCTTATGTTGCCTTCAGTAGGTGTTATGTATGTCTTGGATGTTAGGCCTTGTTTGGATAAACTTATTAATAAGCACTTATAAGAGAAGAATATAGAAGATATAATAATTAAACTCCTTAGTCAACGTATGTCCCTTAGTTTTTATATTGTTAAATTTGTGAGCTATATAAGTTGATCTAAAGTTGTGAGTTCATTTCATCAAATTGGATTCATTTCAATCATTATTTCTCTTGGTTAAAGTACTTCAATTATATTTAGACACTTAGCTGAGAATGTAGATTAGGTGGCAGGGAACTGATCTCGCTTACTGGGGCCTCAGGTTGAATCCTTCAGAATGCAGCTTTGTCAAACCCATGGAATCAGAGTTTTACCCTTTTATTTTCTCTTTTAAATAACTCTATCTTCAATTTTTGTCATTTATCTATTTTTTATTCGTATTGTGTGTATTATTTGATTCCTGATTTAGCATCATAAAATTTTGTTAACACAAAAGGAGACCAAATAAATTATTAATCTAAGTCTTTTAATTCAAATTCACATGAATTCATTTATTAACAATGAATAACTAACCTTTTATAAATAAATTGTATTTAATAAATTAATATAAATATCAAAGTCTTAATCTGAAAAAGAATCAAAACATTAATGAAGAGTCATCTTTTCCCTATATAATCATGTTGCCATTTTTTCTTGTAGTAAAATGTAATTATTAATATATTTAATGTATTTTGAATATTGAAATATTTTCTAACAAACAGATTCTACAGGTTAGATTTAATTTTATTGATTAAAAAATAAAATTCACCTAAAGTAATTTATGACTTTAAAAACAAATAGTGAGTAATTATGTAAAAGATTTTTTTTAACTAAATAATTTAAGTTGGATTTGCGCATTGATCCATTCTTTTAGAGTATTTTCAATTGAGACGTTTAACTATGAAGTATTAGTTGCAGCAAACAAATCAGAATAAACGAGAGAGAATAAATCTTTTAAAATAAAATAAAATTACAGTTATTTATTAAAATAAATGATATGATATCATAATTTTTTTTTATATTTTTTAAGATAAGAAATAGTTATTTTTTGAACATTTTTTCTTTGTGTTTGTTCGAATGATATTTATCTCGGAAATTGTTTTGTTCAATTTTTTAGAATTGAATTGAAAAACATATTTTAATTTAGTTTTTCATATTATATTTTAATTCAATTAATTATTTCTTCAATTTAATTCTCTTAACATTCCTCATCATACCTCTCTAGGCAACTTATAATATATCCAAACAAATTAATTTTTTTATAAGGATTAATCCAATGATAAATAATCAAAATAGATTATATATATATATATATATATATAGATATATATATATATATATATATATATATTTCTATTTCATAACAGTGTCGTCATTTATACTAAATATATATAAAAAAATCTTTTAATAATCTTTTTTATATTATAAGAGAAAAATAATTATTATAATTTATATATTTAAAAATTTAGTAGAAAGAAGAGAGAAAAAAATATGATAAATGTAATGTGTGAAAAAAGAACATAAATATACCTAAATAAAAAGAAGAAAAAATTAAATTAAATTAAAAAAACGTTTCATAAAATTGTATTATAAAATTGATCAAAACTTAAATCAAGTATTATAGGTATTATTATTGTTTTTTCTATTTAACGTGAACTATATCTATGGAAATTTATCTAAGTTTTTCATCAATAATAAAAAAAAAAAAGTATGCACATGGAATCCTATGCTACTCTTTACTTACAGAATAAAGAAAATTCAATAATATAGGATGACCTAAACCATTGACTTCAATAAAAATGGAATCATTCATTGCAACGCACCTTCCTCGTGGGAAAAAGAAAATAATTGCAAAGCATAAATGTTTGCTTTTCATCTTCAAAGACCAAGACTTTTTGTTTTCACACCATTGTGTTTACATTCATTGAACAAAGAGTTGGTGAAAGAAAATGAACAAAAACTCAAATATTTTTATGTTAAATATTAATAGAAATTGTTAAAAAAATCTTGGATGAACTAATTTCAGTGGTTTTTTATATATATTTTTTTGTCTTTTATTCTTTTCTCTAGACAAAGACCTTTTAAGTAAACATGGAATTTCGAAACAAAGACTTTTAAAATAAACAAGGAATGGACAATTCTCAAATAAGATTAATGACGTACCGAACACTTCATTCATCTGTGTCTGCAGGCATTAAAAAAATATTCCTCCGAAAGTTGCAACAAGAAGCATATAGAAACATTTTCTTCAAACTCATTTTGCTAGATTTTCACCAAAACATCATACATGCTTGATTTTCAGAAACTGCAAGCTACATTAATGAGATGAAATGAAATGGCAGATACTGCAGTATCGTTTGTTTTGGACCAGATTTACCAACTTGTAAAAGAAGAAGGAAGTTTGCTGAAAGGCCTTGGAAATGACTTTTCAGACATCAAACACGAATTAGAGAACATCAAAGCCTTCCTAAAGGATGCACATAGAAGAGCTGGAGATGAAGGAGAAGACAACAATGAAGGAATAAAAACATGGGTGAAGCAGGTGAGAGAAGTCTCTTTTTGCATAGAAGATGTCATTGATGAATACATCATGGATGTGGCACCTAGGGTCAACCATCATCCACCATGCATAGCCTCACTCCAAAAGATTGCTCACCAAATCAAAACCTTGAAGTCACGGCATAGGATTGCATCTGAGATTAAAGATATCAAGTCAGAAGTTCAAGGAATCAAGGAAAGAAGTGAAAGGTATGTTAGTATATACAAGGATACATTAAATAATGGAGAAAAATATATTACTTTGTCATACATGTTATTATACCAGTTTGTTCTTTATGTAATCTATAATTGTTGGGAAATAAGGTCGGATAAGATGGAATAATAATAATACACCAATGTGAGATCAATAAAAGACACGAATATTTGTTAACCCAGTTCGGATTAAATCCTACATCTGGGGGCGAACCAAGCCAGGAGAATGAACTAGAATAAGAGGATAAACCGAATGTTACAATTCACACAAGCCCGTATGAATACACTCTCTCTACTCTTTCTTCACACTTGGATTGGATACAAATGAGGTTACAAAATGAGGTATTTATAGCCAAACAAATCCTTCTTGAGAGGAAGTTGAGAGGAAGCTCCCTTCCTTTGACCAGGAAGTTGCAAGGAAGTAGCCTTCCTTTGACCAGGAAGTTGCAAGGAAGTAGCCTTCCTTTGACCAGGAACTTACGAGGAAGTTCCCTATCTTTGACCGATCTTTACACCTCAACAATCTCCCACTTGAAGATTGGTCAACCTGTTCATCTCTGCTCTTGGTTCTGCTAAGTCTGCCTGTTTTAATCATCAAGGTCAGTCGAAGCTACACACAGCTTCAACTTTTCCAAAGTTACCGCCTTGGTCAACATGTCTGCAGGATTCCTATCTCCCCGAACCTTTTTCAGCTGCAGCATCTTCTTCTCTAGAAGTTGCTTGGATGAAATGATACTTAACCTCGATGTGCTTCGTTCGCGAGTGAAACGCGGGGTTCTTTGCCGGATGGATTGCACTCGGCTATCGGCTGTATAGAGCCACATCCTCTTGAGGTCTCCCAAGTTCATTCAAGAAGTTTTGCAGCCAAACGAGCTCCTTGGCTGCCTCCGTCACTGCCACGTACTCAGCTTCCGTTGTGGACAATGTGACTATCTTCTGCAGCTTTGAGATCCAGGATACGGCCGTCCCGCCGTAAGTGAATACGTACCCAGTAGTACTCCTCCTCTTGTCAAGATCACTTCCTGCAAAATCAGCATCGACATACCCAGACAGGGTAAGGGTACCCCTGCCAAATACTAATGCCCGGTCCTTAGTACCCCTCAGGTACCTAAGGATCCACTTTACCGCCTCCCAGTGCATCACTCCAGGATTGCTCATGAACCGACTGACTACTCCCACTTGCATGTGCTATGTCCGGCCGGTGCGGACCATAGCGTACATTAGGCTCCCGATAGCCGAAGCATACGGCGTAACTCTCATCTTTTCTTTTTCCGAGTCATCCTGGGGCGAATCCTTGTTGGACAACTTGAGCTGGCTTCCCAATGGAACTCGAACCGACTTTGCAATATTCATATTGAATCTGCACAACACCTTCTCAATATAATCAAATTGAGAAAGCCAAAGTTTACCAACATTTACGTCCCTCGTGATTTTCATGCCCGATGATCTGTCTCGCTTCTCCTAGATCCTTCATATCAAATCTCCTTGATAGCTGATCTTTGAGCCTCTCGATCTCCTTGACATCCGATCCTGCTATCGGCATGTCATCCACATATAGCGATAAAATAATGAAAGAGTTACCGAACTTCTTCACATAGCAACAATGATCGGCATTACACCGGAGTATCCTATCTCCAGCATGAAATTATCGAATTTTCGGTACCACTGTCGAGGAGCCTGTTTCGGTCCGTACAAGCTCTTCTTTAGGCGACGGACCTGCTGATCATTTCCTCTATATCCCTCTGGTTGCACCATGTAAATTTCCTCCTCGAGATCCCCATGCGAAAGGTCGTCTTCACATCTAACTGTTGCAACTCCAAGTTTTCCGCCGCTACGATGCTTAACACTAAACGTATAGTGGTTAACTTAACAACAGGTGTAAAAACATCGGTAAAGTCAATACCGTATCTCTGTTGGAATCCCTTTACTACAAGTCCGGCCTTGTACCGTTTTGTTCCATCCGATTCCTCCTTGACCCGATAGACCCATCTGTTTTGAAGAGCCTTCTTTCCTTGTGGGAGATCACACAAATCCCATGTGTGGTTCTTCTTCAACGAGTTCATCTCGTCTTCCATCGCAAGCTCCCACTTGCTCTTGTGGGCATCTTTAACTGCCTCGCATAACGGTCGGGTTCCCCAGAATCGGATAAAAGTAGGTAATAAAGAGAAGGGGAGTACCTATCCGGGGCCCTTCTCATCCTCGGTTCTCGGCCCAGTGCCAGAGGCGTGCTGCTCTCAGCAATCGGTTCATCCGATTCCGGTTCTGCCTCTTCTTACGTACGCTCGATCTCATCTATCCGAGCTCCCACTGTATCTGCTGGTACTCATGATTCCGGTATTTGAAATATCGAGACCAACATACTCCTGCATGGTCTTGTCATCGTCCAGGTATTCCTTCCGGTCCTTGTACATTATGCCTTCATTGAACACCACATTACGATTGCGAATAATTTTCCGATTTTGATAATCCCAAAATCTATACCCAAATTCGTCAGTCCCATATCCAATGAATGTACATTTGACGGACTTAGCATCCAGCTTTGTCCGGTCGTCATTCAAAACGTAAGCCAAACAACCAAAGGTACGTAAGAAAGAGAGATCAACTTTCTTACCACTCCGGACCTCTTCGGAATTTTGTTGTTCGAGTGGGACAGAAGGCCCCGGTTGATCAAGAAAGCGGCCGTGCTGGCCGCTTACGCCCAAAACATCTTGGGCAGTCCACTCTTCAATCGCATGCATCTCGCACGCTCATTCGGTGTTCTGTTCATCCTCTCCGCAATGCCATTTTGTTGAGGTGTCCACTGGGACCGTCTTACGCATCCGGATCCCATGATCGGCGCAGTATTCTTTGATGGCTTCACTGTTGTACTCGCCACCGTTGTCGGATCTGAGACATTTCACTTCCAGACCTGTCTCTTTCTCCACGAGTGCTCTCCATCTCCTGAAAGTATCAAAGGCTTCGGATTTTCTTTTCAGAAAGTACACCCATACCTTTCTTGTGCAGTCATCGACGAACGTCATGTAGTACATCGATCCTCCAAGAGATGTCACCGGTGCTGGCCCCCATAAGTCAGTGTGCACTAGCTCCAGTTTTTCTGTCTTTGGAGCTCTTCCGGTGGTTATGAAGCTCACTCGCTTCTGCTTTCCAAGCACGCATTGCTCGCAGAGACCCACGTCCACTGACTCCAACTCGGGCAAAAGTCCTCTCGACTTTAGTACCTTCATTCCTTTTTCGCTCATGTGGCCCAAGCGACTGTGCCATAAGTGCGATTGTGAGACAACTCCTGCCAGGAGAATGTTTGAGCTGGATCTACTCGCCGTGTAAAGCGTTCCTGACTTCAGCCCTCTTGCCAAAGTCATAGCTCCTCGGCTGACCTTCCACTTTCCGTCTCCAAACATTGTGTGGAAGCCGTCATTGTCCAGCTGTCCAACTGAGATGAGATTCCTCTTCAGTCCTGGAATGTGTCTCACATCACGTAGGGTCCAGCATGACCCATTTGCGGACTTGATCTGCACATCTCCCTTCCCTACAATTTTTAGGGATTTGTTGTCTGCAAGATATACCAAGCCAAAATCACCTGCGGTGTATGGCTCCATGATGTCTCTGCTACTGCATGAGTGAAATGAGGCCCCTGAGTCCACGATCCAGTCATCGAGCGAGCTTCTCACACTCAACAAGAGTGCATCCGCCGTGTCCTCCGTCGCGGCATTGGCTGTCCGACCTTCTTTGTCTTTCCTTGGTGCCCGGCATTCGCTTTTCATATGCCCAGGCTTCTCGCAGTTCCAACACACCATCTCTTTCTTGCCTTTATTCCTTCCCCTGGATTTTGACCTCCCACGGATTTTCCCTCGTGTTTCGGGTCTCCCTCTGGACTCTGTATGTAGGGCTGAGCCAGACGACCCACCCGCCTGATTTCTGCGGGTCTCCTCGTTCAACATCATATCTCTTATGTTGTCGAACTTCATCTTCTCCTTGCCAGAAGAAGTGCTCACCGAAGTAACGAGCCACGTCCCAACTGTCCAGGCAATGATGAGAGCAAGATTAGGGCTTTTACCTCATCATCAAACGAAATATCCACCGATGCCAACTGCGTAGTGAGTTGGTTGAAATCGTTGAGATGATCGGCCACTGACTTTCGCTCCTCCATTTGCAATTTGAACAGCTTTTTCATCAGCATCACCTTGTTTATTGCTGATGGTTTTTCATACATGTCGGCGAGTATCTGCAAGACCTCCTTCGTGCTTTTTGCTCCCTTCACATGGTAGGCGACGTTCCGAGAGAGCGAAAGAATTATAGCACTCATCGCCTTCCGATCGAGCACCTTCCATTCATCATCGCTCATCTTCTCGGGTTTTTCCCCAAGAGGTGCGTAGAGGTCCTTCCCGTATAGGTAAGCCTCCATTTGCATTCGCCGAGAATCCAAAGTCGGAACCATTGAACCGTTCGACTTGAATCTTTCCCTCCATCTTATCTCCAACCTCCCGGCTCGATACCAGTTGTTGGGAAATAAGGTCGGATAAGATGGAATAATAATAATACACCAATGTGAGATCAATAAAAGACACGAATATTTGTTAACCCAGTTCGGATTAAATCCTACATCTGGGGGCGAACCAAGCCAGGAGAATGAACTAGAATAAGAGGATAAACCGAATGTTACAATTCACACAAGCCCGTATGAATACACTCTCTCTACTCTTTCTTCACACTTGGATTGGATACAAATGAGGTTACAAAATGAGGTATTTATAGCCAAACAAATCCTTCTTGAGAGGAAGTTGAGAGGAAGCTCCCTTCCTTTGACCAGGAAGTTGCAAGGAAGTAGCCTTCCTTTGACCAGGAACTTACGAGGAAGTTCCCTATCTTTGACCGATCTTTACACCTCAACAATAATTACTCAGTTAAAAAGAAATACTAAATAGACATATATGATACTAATGATAAATGTTTAATGGCTATGTAAGAACGAATAATAGCTATAAGCAAGAATAATATGCTTCTAAACGTATGGTGACTCAACCTTCATCTTTGTGACCTTCTAAATGTATGATAGTCCACAAATTTTCATCTTTTTTTAATTTTCTAATTGCAAGTGTTATTTCTGATAAGGTACAAGTTTCAATCTTCATCTGAAGATGGAGAATCAAGCAATCGTAGAGGGGCAAAAGATTTCAAGTGGGGTGATCCGAGAATGGCCGCACATTTCATTGAAGAAACTGAAGTGGTGGGATTCGAACTCCCAAGAGATGAATTGATTGGTTGCTTAATAAAAGGAACCAACCAACGCTCATTGATTTCTGTGGTAGGCATGGGAGGACTTGGAAAAACCACTCTTGCTAAACACGTTTTTAATAATCAATTAGTGAAAAAACACTTTCATTGTCGTTCTTTTATCACAGTTTCTCAATCATACACTGTGAGGGGGCTATTGATAGATATGATACAGAAATTCTGCAAGGACGCCAATGAGCCTATTCCGAAAGGGCTGCATGAGATGGATGATAACACATTAATAACAGAAGTGAGACAATACCTTCAGACAAAGAGGTATTTGGTATTGTTTGATGATGTCTGGAAAGAAAACTTCTCGGATGATATTGAGCATGCCTTGCCTAATAACAAAGAAGGAAGTAGAATCATAATCACCACTAGAATGATGCCTGTTGCAGAGTATTTTAAGAAATCAGCTGCTGTTCATGTTCACCAACTACAACATTTGTCTCCAAACAAAGCATGGGAACTCTTCTGCAAGAAGGCATTTAGATTTGAGCCTACAGAGCAATGTCCGACGGATCTTGAGGATATGTCGCAGGAAATTGTTCAAAAATGTGGAGGGCTACCGCTAGCAATTGTTTCTATTGGTGGTCTTTTGTCAACAAAAGAAAAGACCATGTTTGAATGGAGAAATGTATGTCAGAATCTTAGAATGGAGTTAGAGCGCAATGCACATTTAACTAGTATAACAAAGATTTTATCTCTTAGTTATGACGATCTTCCTCACAATTTGAAATCATGCATGTTGTATTTTGGAATTTATCCGGAGGACTACTCCATCAATCGGAAGAGATTGACCAGACAATGGATGGCTGAAGGGTTCGTAAAAAATGAGAAGACAAGACCTATGGAGGAGGTTGCTGAAGAGTACTTGACACAGTTAATACATAGAAGCTTGATTCAAGTCTCCAGAGTTGGCTTTGATGGTAAAGTTAAAAGTTGTCAAGTCCATGATTTAATGCGTGAAGTCATCATTAGAAAAATGAAAGAGTTGAGTTTTTGCCACTTAATGCAGGAAGATGATGAACTAGACACAGTTGGAATAACTAGGCGCTTTTCTATAGCATCTTGTTCCAACAATGTGTTAAGAAGCATTAGTAAGTTGGGCATTCGTGCTATTTATGTTTTTAGCAAAAGTGAGTTGCCCAAAGATTTTGTGGGTAGATTATCTTCCAAGTTCAAGCTTTTGAAAGTTCTAGATTTTCAAAGCACTTTGTTGAATTATGTTCCTAATAATTTGGGAAATCTCTTCCACCTGAGGTACTTAAACTTGAGTCATACAAAAGTAGAAGTTCTTCCTAGATCCATTGGTAAGTTGCTGAACTTGGAAACCTTGGATCTAAGACAAACACACGTGCATGTGCTACCAAGAGAGATAAACAACCTCACAAAGCTACGACTTCTTCCAGTCTACTATAGAAAATATGAAGGACAGTACTCTATGTTGAATTTCACAATTGGGGTGAAAATGCATAAGGGTATTGGATGCTTGAAATCCTTACAAAAGCTTTACTTTTTGGAGGCTGAGCATGGTGGATTAGACCTTATGCAGGAGCTCAAGATGTTGAAACAGTTAAGGAAGTTAGGTATAAGGCAGGTGAAAACAGAATATGCAAATGCCCTATCTAGCGCAATAGGGGAGATGACCCACCTTGAATCTCTCAATGTTGGTGCTAAAGCTGAGAATGAAATCATTGACTTGAATTTTGTATCAACTCCACCCCACCTTCGAGTGTTGAATTTGAAAGCTCGAGTTACAAAGTTCCCTGAATGGATTCCGAAACTTAATTATCTTGTTAAGTTAAGGATTGGTTTATTTAATTTGGAACAAGATCCACTAGACTCACTGAAAGATTTGCCAAATCTGTTGCGGCTCAATATGTGGGATGATGCGTATGTCGGTGAAAGTTTGCATTTTAAAAGAGGAGGTTTTCCAAGGTTGAAGGAACTGGATCTCACTCGACTAAGCAAATTAAGTTCTATTTCCATAGATGAAGGAGCTTTGCTTCGTCTTGAACACTTCAGATTTAAAGATAACCCTCAAATGAAGGTGGTACCTCATGACCTCAAACACTTGAAAAGCCTTCAATTTCTTGGCTTTGCTGATATGCCAGCTGAATTAGTAGAAAGCATTGATCCAGCAAAAGGTGGACAAGATCACTCGGTTATCAAGCATATTCCCCTTGTCCTCATTCGTCAGAACGTGGGACCAAAATTCCATGACTATGAGTTGCGCCCTATTCCCACATAGCTAGTGTCTGAAATGTTAAGGTATTTTTTCCTCATGCCATGTATTGTTCTTGTTCTTATGAATGTTTGAAATTTTAACAATGCTATTGTCAGCAATATATGTCTTTTTCTTTTTGTTTTCAACATTTTGGATTCATTCATTTCATGCATCAATCTTCACTTAAAGTGTATTCCCACATATTTGAAACAAACCTATGCTTTATACATGCATAACTAGCTACTTTAAGAAATCAAGAATATCTTTCAGACCTGTTCATACCAAGATTGTTCTATTTTAAAAAATGAGTCATTATTTTTGGTTAAAACATTGATTTACTCTGTACATTGTAAAGTTATTTGGAGCTTTTTCAATGATGTGCAACTGATGCAAGTATTGCTCTATGGTACAAATATATCCATAACCTTTTGTGGTAGAGTGGAAGTGTCTATACTTTTCACTTCTGCATTGGTAACCTATTCTGTTTCTGCTAAATTCACCAGCATTTACACTTCATGTCTATCAGTTTTTAATTTATTATATTTCATGACGTAAAAAGTTGCAAATAACATACTAATTTTCGAAATCGCAGGTTGTAAAAATGATGCACTTTGTCTGTTCATTCCTTTCATGAAGCTTTTATGTTGGAATAAATTATTCATATTTCCTTGAACTTACATTACATACCCTGCTGCAGTCAAGGAATGTATGAACTCCATTTAGGGATTTGAGAATGAGTTATGCAGAATTGTACTTGTGGTGTTTATGATTGATTGTGTGACAGAGTTCCTGAAAACCTAGTCTTTGATTTTGGTTTTCGTTTTCATGGTGTTTGCTCCTGAGTTTGAGTGTGTACAAGTGATTATGCAGAGGCAGATATAAAGTTGTATAATTAACTGCATCATCCTCTCTTCTATCTTTTTATATTCTTTTAATAAATCAACTTTTCATTTCATTCATCAATATTTTCAACACATCTTACACTTTTTTTAATTACCAATATCTCCTTCCTATTATTTTATTAACAGTAGAATTAATCATATAAATAATATATTTTTTAAAATATTATTTAAATATAATCTCAATCAATTTATTTAATCGGTTAGATTTTTTTTATGGTTGATAGATAGTTTTTTTCTTACCATTTTTTTCTTTCACTTTCTTTATTTTTTTTTCATCTCATGTTCTTTTCAACCCTCCATAAAATTACAAATATTAATTAATTATTTAAAATGATAATAACAGTAAATAATTTTATTTATGATGATAATGAATAATTAATTTAAAATTATTTTATTATTATAATAAATTAATTATTCATCAAATTAAAAATATTAAATATTTAAGAGTTGAATTTATTTATTTTATTTAATAATATAATTTAGATTGGGTGATGATGGTTAGTTAGTTTAAATAATTTAAAAAATACTTTAAAATAAATATTAATTTTTTTAATAATTATAATATAACAATAATATTTTTCATTGTCTAAAGGTTATCACAGTAGTAATTGCCTATTCTCATAATTTTTTAAAAAGTTACCAATTTTTAAAATAACTAAAGTGAAATACATGAATTTAAAAAATAAGCTAAATAATAATAATAATAATAATAATAATAATAATAATAATAATAATAATAATAATAATAATAATAAAAAGAATAGAAGAAAATGAGTTGTGAATGAGGAGAGAAAAAAAACAATATAATGTTAAACAATTTTATATTTTAATATCAAATTTTAAATATAAACAATTTGATAGATAGACTGATATCCGTTTTAATTTTAAGTATTTTTTTCAAATAGATGTATAAGGTTAATTCACTGTGCTATTAATTATTCTTTTTTTTTCAGATAAATATATTCTGGGCAACATCTTATTAAAAAGAAAAATCAGATAATAAACTAATTTAAAAAAAAAGGGGCAAGTCAGTTGAATACACATTTGTTAGATAAAAAACTGAATACAAACACTGTCAACATATTTTAAAAATATAAAATAAAAAAATAGAAAAAAACTTTGCGAAATAAAATGTAAATAATTAAAATAATTTCTACTGCTATTAAAATTTTAGATTTTAAAATTGATACGAAGATAAATAATCTAAATATATATATATATATATATATATATATATATATATATATATATATATATTTTTTTAATCTTAATTTATTATCAGAAAGAAACGATTTATTTAACTAAAAAAAGTAAGATTTAATAACTTTTTCATTTTTATCATTTATTTTTTCATAATTTCATAATCAAAATAAATTATTATTTTAGATTATTAAATTAAGAAAATTACACAGATAAAAGATAAATCTTTAATTTTTATTTTTTGGTTTTATATATATATATATATATATATATCCATTTATTTTAATAATAGAGATTATTTATTATTATTATTTTTAAAATAAAAAGAATAGAAAAATAAATCTAAGGCTCTTTTATTCCTTCCCTCCGGTATATAATCTAATTTTTAAACATTAAACTAATGTGTAACATTTAAATTAAAAGACTTATAAAAATTTAAATTTAATGTAATGATCCAATAAAAAAAGTTACCAAAAAAATCAAATCTTTAAAATAAATAACTCAATTATCATATCAGTGTAATGCATGGCGTGTGGAGACATTATGAAAAATTAAGAATCAGAAATGATGCTAAAAAAAACCGAATGATCCCAATAAACTTACATATAAACTCCCACAATTACAATCGATTGTAACACCCCAAATGCTTAATCCCTATTTAGATCCTAAACTATATTCCTTCACTCAAGGAGATATGAACAATTTATTTGAAGATTCAAGCTTCATTGAAAAGAATGATCTGCAAAAGTGCATCATTTTCGCTATCTGCAATGCTGTACAGTGAAAATTTGAACCTCTATTCAGAGACACCCAAGAATTAGTCTAGTTTGAGCAGTAAATAAATAGGTATTAAAGTAAATTTATTTTAGCAAGACAAATCAAATACTTCAAACGGTTGATAAATAAGTATCTATATAAAGTAATTTGTATATTATTATATGATGTGTTTTTACAATAAGTTGTACATGATCAATTTATATATAGACATCTGGACATAGTCTCTCAATTACATGCATTCAATACAACTACTACCTATTAACTACATATATTCAATATAACCACAACCTCTCAACCACTATCTCTATAATCACTACCTCTCAACTACATGCATTTAATGTTTATCTAACAAAACCCCCCTTCATAAACTTAAATGTTTTTCTTGTCCTTCATTCTAAGCATCTTCTTACTGTTTTCGAACAGAGTGGTTGACAGTGGCTTCGTAAACATATTTGCAGCTTGTGCGCGGGTTCCGACGTGCTCTAACTCCACATTTCCTTCTTTCACGTCTTCTTGGATGAAGTGAAACCGAACATCAATACGCACTAATGCAGAAATGACATTTTACGTCACCCAATTGTCATTGCATGCAAAAATATTCGACGTAAATAAAATGCGGTGACAATTTTGTAAATAAGAGGCAAAAATTTTACATCGCATACCCTAGAAGGTGACGTAAAAAGCCTATTTTACATCGCGTTCTGGGGTGTGCGACGTAAAAAATGTCTTTTATTCTCTTCTAGACCCACTCTCTTGTCTCGCGCAACAAGGGTTTTTGAGAACGACGACGACAATTACAGTGACGGATCTTGACCATTGATCTTGGGGGGCCAAATAATATATTATTAATAAATATAAAAGGAAGAAAGAAGATGAAAGGGTGAAAAGATAAAATTGTAGATATATACTTAAATATATTAAATGATCATTAAGTTTGAGGGGAACAAAATCATAAATTATATGAGAGTTACAAAATTGAGGAGGGGCTAAGAGGATAAAATTGTAAATATATACAAGTAAATATATTAAATGTTCATTATGTTTGGGGGGCCAAAATCATAAATTGCATAGGAGTTACAAAATTTTGGGGGGGTCACGGCCCTCCTCAGCTCCCAAGAAGATCCGCCACTGGACAACTACCTTTCCACACCATTTTCGATCATTTTGACTGTGAAAAACATCAACATTGTGTCTCATTTTATGAATTTGACATTTCTCCCGATTGGATTCAAGTTTGAAATTGTTTTCATGTATACTCGAAGGTTAGTGTTCTATGTCTTCTGATATATGTTAAAATTGAATCCGTGATTGTTTTTTGGGATCTCAATCACGTTATTGTATGAATGTCTCCACTAGATTGTTATTGGAATGTCATTATCTGTTTATTTGTTTGAGTGCATTTTTGGTTTACACACTCCATTTACGTGTTTTGTTGTTTGTATATTAATTTCTTTTTAAATATAAATTTTGAATCTCTAGGAGTACATGACAGAATGTGAGGATGTTCTCATATCTATGTTGTTGACCATATTATCACGATTGAGGAAGAAACCGTGTCAGATACAGTGGGAAATTAGAGTGTTTGGAATTGACAATTCCAGTGTTCCATTATACATTTCCTTGCCCGATGCATTAGAAATTGTTGGAGGAAACTACATGTTAAACATTTTCATCATACAATTGTGAGCAATGTAAGTCATTTTTATTTATGTTTCTAAGATTATAATAATTATATTCAACTTATAATTCATTGTTTTAGGTACATTGACAAATTGAGTATGAAACAAGAAAAATCGAAGTATACGAATTTATTGAGCCTCAATCCATCCAAACATCTAGAAATACAAAGGTCGGAATCCAATAATATATGCAAACCGTGTATTTGGCTCCATACATTAAAGGGTTAGTATTTTAATTTATATTTTTATAACTAATTTTTATGTCATATAATGTATGTCCCATTGGCAGTTAATTGTAATCATGCCCGGGATTACATTGTGATTTGGTTTTGTTCATTATATTGAAACCGTGTCAAAAAATGAAAAACTAGTTACAAGGGTAACTTTATCTTTTATTCATTAATTATGTTTTTAAATTGTAAATACATATTGAATAATATATGACTTTTTTCACTTAGAATCGTGT